ATCGTTGTGTTTTTTAAAATAGTTTTCCCGAACAGTTGATAAAAAAATATAAAAAAATTACAAACAAAAATAAATAATAATATTAAATAATTGCATGGAATTGAAAGAGAAAATGTAGAAATAGTTATGAAAAGAAAAAATACAATAACAAAGAAATAAATTAATACCCGGAAAAGTAATATTATAATTAGCATTATATTAATATTGTAGTTATAATAGAATTATCATTCGCGCGCTGGCACTATCGATATAGGAAACTATTTACTATGATAATATGAATAATGAGTAATTTACTTTTATAATAATTAATAATTAATATGTAGTTACATACATTATATTGCGACGATATGTCTCTCGAAACGTATTTAATAGGAATTTAAATAATTATTTTTTTTTAAATACATTTAAAGATATATTTGATCAGTCGACTTTTCAACGATATAATTCGAATGAAAAAACACGTGATAAAACGATCATCATAGGATCGAGTAAATGAAATAAGAATAAGCCTTGTGAGATATATTAATCAATTTCTATTCTTTGAAAATATTTCTATAATTTAATATTCCGCGTATATATAGAGGATCTGGTAATAATTCGCCTCATCCATCGTAAAACGGGTTAAATCGAACAAGAAAGTCCTTTGTATAGGGTTGCAATTTACAGTGCAGTGCAGTTGTCATTTTTCGTTTGAATAGTTTCAATTTATTAGAAGAATGGTTAAAGTGGCTCAAAAAGTAAGACTTGAGAGAAATATTCATAAATAAGTAACATATAATATGATCTAATTTAATTGTTCAGAATCCAGAATCATACCTCATGCTCGATCTATATATGTCTGTTTTCTTCAAAAAATTGTTTTTTTTTATCTTTCTTTACATATATATGTGCTGTAAAATAATGTACTCTTTTGTTAATGTAAAAATAAATCTCATTTCGTTTACATTTTTATAAATTAGGAATATCTAATAATAATTGTTAGACTTTAGAAGACTTCCTTTTTTAGGTGAAAGAATCTTTTCTTGGCACTATTTTAAAACAGGATATTTTAAAAATAAATGAGAAATTCATAAAACGAGAATACAGTTTTTACAGTGATCGAGCTGAGAATCACAATCCAAAAATTATTCGTAAGCAATATTATACCGAATTATATGCTCTTTTATATATAAGAGATCAGCAGATAATAGTTTGAAATCTTTTTTTTCTATAAGCAAATTTCGCGTTCCACGGAAATATTCGGGGATATATATGCTTTAGATGCACAAAGCAATACTTATGACTGATGTGATATAAACCTACCAATCCACAACACGGATTCAAATATTTCAAAGTCCTACTTTTGGTAATTATTGATTTCTCGATTGAAAATGATATTCCATACGAGTTTGCTAGCTTCGTGAATATATTTCGATGTGTCTCTATATACATGTATATATGTATTCATTTGCGTTACCGAGCTTATTATTTGTGTTATTAAAAAGAAACGAAAAATATTGGAAATTGTGAAAAAACGATTAATATAACTTGTCGTATACGTAAGATTGGATTTATATTGGCATTCATTTTGATAATGTGACAATTTGATATTGATTGCAAGGTAAAAAGTGTCGTGCTACTTGAGATAAGCATATAGAATCTGAGAGAATATACAGAGATAGAGAGAGAGACTTACAAATCTTCTTGCAACGTAATTAACAAATTGTATTCTGTATTCGTGTATATACGCGTACAATAATAAACAGTCGCGTGCGTACAAGTGTGTTTAATGTGTGTGTGTTTATACATACATATACATATAGAAAGAGAGATAGATAGATAGATAGATAGATAGATAGAGAGAAATAGAGGAAAAGACAACAGTCAATAACCAGTCACAAAGTACCTTTTAGTCGAGTTAGCGAGCTTCTCTCTACGCTCAGGGTCAGACTGAAACAGACATCATGACGCGTCATTTTTAACGCGATTCACATTAACACAGTCGTTGATTGGTAGGTAAGTTGGGTAGCTTCATAGATTAACAGAATTGGCCCGATTTTGCCCTCTCGTTATATATAGTATTAGAAAAGGTGAACGCGAAAATTACTTGCAACAGGACAGAACGCGTACACTGGAAAACATTTCTTAACTTGATGAAACCTTTCAACTAAATTACTATTTTGTCCATCGAACATATATATTAGTATTTCAATATTTTTATATCTTCGATTAAGAAAATAATATTTAGTTGGTCAAACGTTTAGTCAAGTTGGCCATTTTTTCAGGGTACAAGATTCTGATTATTTTCTTTCTATTTATTATTATATTTATATAGTATATAATTGTATGCAAAGCATACTATTCGATTAATATACAAAAATATATATATATACACTAAAAAATGTCGCTAACTAAATCGTTCAACTAAATATTATTTTGTTAATAAACATATAGGAATATTTAAATTAAATATAACATATTAAATGTAACGAAACGTTTATTTGACTTAAATATTAATATATGTTCAATTAATAGTAAAAATAGTAATTTAGTTGAACGATTTAGTCAAGTTAACCATTGTTTTACTGTATAAATATTTAATTGTATAAAGGAAAAATGTGCCAAAACTATCCATTTACGAATTTTCAGAGTTTAAAATGAAATTAAAGTTTGAAAAAAAAACACTATTTCAGAATAATGAAACAATCTTAATATGACAAATAAATAGATATCTGTCTACCGGATGTTTTGGCATATTTACATACAAGTAATATAAGATATATATCACTTGTGTAGGAGAATAGCGCTATAATGGTTCAACCTTGTTTTCCTTGAATTCTATTATACTTATGAAAGCATACATCGTGTTTTCCTTCAGACATTTTTCTAGATGCTATTAATTGTTCAAGTACAAATGACGAAGCTCGATCAACGTAATTATTCCTCAAAAGAATGCAATAATTATAGAATTATTTCGAAAAAAAGTATCGATTGGCTTGTATATTTTGCGTCCAATCCTTTCTATAAACGTTCATATAAGCTTCTTATTTGCGACGCATTTAATTAGATTAGTGGAGATAAATATGTGTCAAGTGTGATTTTATACATATATGGTATATGATCGCAAATCAATCTTTATATAGATTACTGCGTTTTCAAAGAATAACATGTGGGTTTCCTAGAAAAGATTTTCAAGACATCGATTACACATTAATTTGTCTATCCGATGCTTTAGTAAATTTATGTGATTTTGGTTCATCGTACATTAAACACACACACATCAAAAATTAAAGCTTCAACCAAAATTTCAAAGAGTATATGTATATATGTATATATGTATATACATATACACACACATATATATATATATATATATATATATATATATATATTTCATATTAAAGTACACGAATGGCATAGAATTGTCAATTAAATAAATGTAAATTCTTGCAGAAAAGAGGAAGAAGATAGATTATGATTTTTAATTTATATCGCAAATTCTCAATTTGTTTTCGCGTAAATAATTTCTTAAAAAAACAGACTTATCAAGATTAATTAATCCAAATTTCTTTTGTCATTATAACTCAATTTATAATATGTATTTCCTTGTCATTCTAATTTCCATTTAATACGATTAATATCAATGTTAATATATTAATGTTGCAGCAAATGTTGCAGAAACAATGATTGTTGCGCGAATTCCCGTTCCGGATTTTTATTCAACTATATTCGAATAGCAATAATTTTTTTGATTTATTGCGAATAATAAGACGTGAAGAATAATAAATGAAAAAAAATATATTTACTAACGAATTGACAAGTAACCAGCATCAGTAATCAAGATAGATGTAATAATTAATTATATCGATGAAATATTAATTTGATCCTTACACTCAACTTGTGAAGCGCATCGATCTCTTTAAAAGCGATCGATAAATATTCCGATATTAGATGTATGTTAATTAAATAATTAAGATTATTGGTCACCAAACATGCGTCGTGCTCGCACGTGGGAGACAGAGAAAGACAGAAGGAGAGAGAGAGAGAGAGAGAGAGAGAGAGAGAGAGAGAGAGAGAGAGAGAGAGAGAGATAAATGAAGGCAGGAGAGAAAGAACAAAAATAATAATAATAATGGAAAGGAATAAAGAATCGTGTCGTGTTTTATAGCGTACCTCGATATAAAAGATCGATATAAAAGAGCGATTCGATAATGCAAAGATCGTTGATATCTCGCTCTTCGATGACTCATTGAAAAAATTGCAATTAAACTTGTAGACCCATTGAAAAAATTGTACATACAAATCTCTAACGAAATATCTCTGCAAAAGTATTTATTAATGCGATATACACGTTATTCGTGATGTAGTATTTTATATTCTCGATTCTGTATATGTAAGAAAAATAACTCTTTTTTTCACTCTTAATAGACGCGCGATCTTCATTTAAATCACTTGAAAGTACGTAGATTTGAGCAATTTTTACGAGATGCGACTACAGTGACTCTTATTATATATATTATGATATGAAAAACCGAAAAATATACGCGCTCAATTCTTGCAATAAATTATATGAATCTTTCTATCCGCTGTAAAAATGGTTAGTCTGTAGACTAAATCAGATTTGCAAGAATTGTTCACGTGTATTTTCTTATTCCTCACGTAACGATTCAAGATGTAGCCAACATGTGCACATATATGCACATGTATCTTAAATATTTATATATCAAAAAATTGTCGTTCACACAGTAAAAAGAATGCCTTACGAAACTTTATAACGGCGATAGAATAGCTATTGTGTATCAATAATCCAATCTTGTGAAAGAAAACCATTATCTGCTACTTAGCTTTCTGCAGCATTTCTACCAATTACTCGAGATGTTCGTAATATTAAAAATATACAATTGATCGTACGACGTGTCCACTCCTCATGCAAATTATCGAATAAAAACCGATATTTTCGAATAATTCGCAGCCTCTCGGTGAAGTGGACAATTGGAAAAGAAAATCGGTGATATACATACCCGTTTGCGAATGCGGAGATTCTATCCCACGATGTCCATCCTCGGGCCTAAGGACCGATGAAAATGTCGGCGCGCTCGAAACCGAGATTGTCGGCGACTTTTCAGTCTTATCGTTTCTTATTAACTGATGAACCGGTGGTGGGCCTGCGCATAGAAAATCACACGTAAACACAAATTTCAACTTTTTTTATTCATTTTTATTTTAGATCAATTTCATCTCTTCGAGAAATCAGGAATTTACACAATCATCGTTTTTGCGACATTTATTTTCTTTTTTTCCAAAATTGATCGAAGGGATGTAAAGTCCAATAACGCGAAATTTACATTGATATTTTCTTTCTTTTTTTTGTCCCAAATTAATTGAAGGAGTGTAAGATCCGTTTGCAATAATGCATGCGAAATTGAAAGGGTGGAATATTATAAAGCGAGACAATCTTCCGCTACATATGTAATTTAAGTTGGTAACTTATTTGCCTCGTTGACATTATTATTAAGTTGTAATGGTATATATACGGTTGATTGCGTGCTTCGCTCTCGTCTCGTGGAAGTGAAAAGGGAACGTAGGTACGTATTCGATAAAAGAAAATAAAGAAAAATATCACGGGAATATAGTTGGCGACAATCCAGATATACTTATCGCTGAAATTTTTCCGCGCATATATCACACTTGAGAAAGTGGTCATTTTATTTTGATTGTAAATTTCGTTCGCTGACTGATTGGCACCGTCCTCTATAAAATTAACATTGTTTTGTTGCAACGAGACTCGATATGTATACGATATCTCTTTGGCATCGCCCTTTCCAATATTGTCTTCTTTCTCTCTGTTTATTTCTTCTTCATCTTCTCACACGTTTTATTTTTACGAGCGCAATATCGGAAAAAGTGAATATGTAGGGTGTATTGAAGCACTTGTAACTGACTGCAAGATAATCCAGGATCTTGTAAACAAATCTCATCTTTTCTTTCCTTTCTTTCTTCATCCCTTTATTTTCGACGTTTATGTCAAATGCATATATTTATAAAATCTCCCTCCTTTTTATTCACTTTATTTGTCTGAAAAGTGTAACTCCTCAGGGAGGGATAACATAAGAATACACGTTTATATGAGAAACCCCCTTTAATTCTCGACAAAGAATCATGAAAAATTGTGCGCACTTATTTAGATACACCCTGTACAATAATCGTAACCGATAAAGAGAGCAAAGCGGGCTTTCCGGAGCAATGAGAAATTTTCAATGAGAGAGAGATCGAGTGGAGGAGAAACTACGTGCGTATGCAGATCGAATAAATAATTTCCTTGTTTGAAATTGGCGAGATTATCCTTTCCCGTACTCGCGGTGAACTAGTTTAAGAGAGAGAGAGAGAGAGAGCCGTGCGGCGATGCCGCATTCGACTCGACCCCGACTCTGTCTACTAAAAATAAGGGCAAAGGCAGATTTTGAAACTCACTGAAGCTAGCCGCCGGCTGAACGTGATCCGCGGTCGTGGCTGCGGATGGAGGGGTGTAGCTGCTGCAGTAGTACGGCGGGTGCTCTATTTTGATCGCGTTTATTTGAGGCTGCATGTCGCTGAGGTCATGCAGTATGGACGCTGAAACCAGACACACATTAGCACGGTTCCTAGCGCGTCTTCGTACGTGTCATTCGCTTCCCTTGCGCTATCGGGCAAAAAAATCGCCCGCTTCCGCGCGCATCACGAGGGAGAGAGAACATTTTTCTCTCGACCGTACACAGGCTGTCCCAGAACTAGCGCTTCATTCCTGGGATCGTCTCGAGGCACCGATCGTTTTCGAGCAATTATGAAAATAACGAGTTTCTTAAGGGACAAAATAAGCCTCTTAATAATTTTGCGCGGTTGCTTTATTAGAATTTTCATTGAAGGTTTCATCGGAACAAATTGGGAACGCGCGAAAATCGATGGCCCTCCCAGGAATCCGAGCATTAAAGGGACACCCTGTATACGTCGTCGAAATAAGACAATACACGACACGGTCTAGAAGAGAAGAAGCTGGATGCAAAGTTCGAGATTCGATTAAATTGGCGACCACCGCTTTGATTTCCAACGAATGGCGTATTGCCATTCGTTTGCCATCATTGCCAATGATGAGTCCTTAAGAGAGGTCGCGTATGAAAGCCTTTCCAAAAGGGTAACGACCCCCGTTTCGAGAGCTTCGAGAGTTCATAAACTTACCTTGAGACATATATCGTTATTTATATTTCTAACAGATGTTATCGATGGAAATTTGAGCAAAAATATATATATATATATGTATCAATATTCGTAGCTATATCAAAGGATGCTTTCAAAAGGTCTTTCGCATCGAGCTGTTCGTCACCTTTCGAAAGCATCCACAGAGAAACCGATCGCAAACACGCGGACAATCTTGACTTTATCTGGAATTGATCGTTTGGACAAATACGCGATACGAATAATGAAAATCGTTGCATGCAATCAATGAAAAGAGTAACTCCAAGTGTTCGAATCTGTGAGAAATATAGCGTCGTACCTTTTGAAAGCATCCAGAGCTCTTTGGAGCTGAAGACACCTGTCGCAAGGATCGTGTCATTGCAGACAACACCGTTATATAGTTCATGGTATCCTGTACCTGGGAACAAAACCCAGCGAATCATGTTTAATATCCGCTTATTGCTAGATCCGCGACACCCAGTGTACATATACGACTTTTTTTGGACGTGCAAGTGAACATTTTATCGAAAGTTGCGCCAAAAACAAAAAAAAAGAGACATGAATTTTTCAGCGCTATTTTTGAGAACAAAAATTCACGAAACAAACATAATAAACATAAACCGCGAAATCATGCGAGTACCTTTTCGACGTCTGTCTTCTTCTTTGCTAGCGTTGCAGATACCATTTAGAACCTCTGTAACAGAAAAAACATGACAAATTGCGATTAATTAATAACGAGTCGTTTATTTACAATAGTAAGCACGAATATATTTTTTTTCACGCGATTTTTTGTTTCTGAGAATTTAAATAGTTCATCAAATTGAATACTTAAAACGTCGCTAGTGATATTTAAAATAGGAACGATATATTAAATTCGACCCAAACTAGCCAAGAAAATTTTTATTTTATTTCACGCAGTTAGTTGTCATTATTAAACAATATGATTATATCTGAATTTTTAAAACATTTGAAAAAACTTTTGAAAGAAAGTAACCGCATCTTATCGTTATGATGGATCGTCAAAAACTGTTCTTGAGTTTTTTCAAATGTTTTAAAAATTCAGATATAATCATATTGTTTAATAATGACAACAGTGTCAACTAACTGCGCTTTTATTAAGAAATTTCTCACTTGAAAAGGACCAAAAACAGATGGTCGAAACGTTGTGGAAATAAAATAAAAATTTTCTTGGCTAGTTTGGGTCGAATTTAATATATCGTTCCTATTTTAAATATTTCAATTATATTACGCCGAAAGCTATGTAATATTGGAAAAAATATTCACACGAAGAAAATTACATAAAGTTATTCTTCCGACGAAAATGCGTGTAATGTTTTCACTGTTACACGGTGTTTTATACCACCACACGCGTTTTACGCAAATCTCATTACGCAACGTATCACCGAAATACTCGAGGGTCCGAAATATACGGCGATTTCTCGAGGATCGAGAGGGGTAAAGAGAGTTGTTCTTTTTTTTACACCGATGAAAACTCAAATTTTCCAAAAAAAAAAAAAAATGCTACAAATGATAAAATAAAATTAAAAAAAAAACATTCGTCAAAAAATTAAAGACCTACTTTTGTGTTGTATAGTATATATTCAGCGTTTTTTTTTTTAACTTTTCTTTTACTTTTCCAAATGGAAGACGGACAATCATATATCGTTAAAAAAAGATTATAAGATCTATATATATAAAATCTAATCTCTTCCTCCTCTCTCTTTCTCTCTCTTTCTTCCTCTTTGTCTCTATTTTTAGGCATTTGAAAATCGAAGATACATATGTTTAAAATAAAATAATGTCCAAAACAAAGCCTTGAAGTTTTCTTAAACTTGTGTAATCTAACGAGACGTGTCTGTCGCGAAAAAAAGAAATCATAAATTAAACAATTAAAATATATAAAAATGAATCTTTCTGTTTCAGTTTCGATCTCGCTTGACTTGTTAAACCAATAGACTCTAATCTTCACAATTATCAACTGGATTCGGATACAACGGGTGCGTATATATCGTTTCGAGTTTCGGAAGTGAATCGGAACGATATACAACGAATTTCGCAGGTACAAAAATATTCAGGTATTTTCAGTGGCATGAAAGAAAATGAACGTATAAGCGAAGCTCTGTGAGCTCGCTAAAGATGTCCGTTGCCTATTTATTTATAGAGCGAGCATACAGCGGCAAGCATGGTCACGCGCTTGCGTGCACATTTTCTCTACACGTTTCATTCGCGCTCGCGCACGACAAGAGACACACACGCAGTAGCACATCATAATATATATGTATATGTATATATCAAAACGTGCTCGGATATTTTATTGTGCCGATATAAATACTTAAGCGCTCTAGGAAGCACGCTTTACTCTCCGAAGAGCTTTTCCAAAAGAAAAAAAAATGCAAGAAAGGGCCCTACGCATTTATATTTTAAATTAAATTCAGATCAATCGTGTGAAATAAATAGTTGACAAAATTGACAAGAGTGAAAAGAATCTTTGAATTTGTTGAAAATTTAAGCAAAGTCACGAGCAACGTAATAAGAGAAAGAAAGAAGGAAAAATACAAGTGTCTCTATATGTAGGTTTGCCGCTATAGATCGCCATGTTCCATCGGTTGATTTTAGCCGAATTGTTTGGAAAACTCGAGGGGTCACGTCGTCACTTTAATAACTTTATTACACGACTTGCCTCCGCGTTATATATATATACTCGAAATATATATACGAAATTTCGCCAACTACGCTTCACGCGGTTTAATAGCATGTTCTATTAAAGGACTATCTATAATTACGTTCCACGTACTCTGAAAATTACATTTCACCGTGAAGTATATTTGTTGTAAATTATAAGACAAACATTTACAATCGAAAAAAAATGTTCATTTTTAATCAATTAATTAATATAATACTATGTTCTCTCTCGCTCTACCACGTCGTTTCTTTAAGAATCGAATTCGGTGTTTGAAATTCTAAGAAGCGAATCGGCTCTTTCGATCTCAGTCGGGCAAAATGAATAAATGAATAATTTTGCCTTACCGTGACTCGTGATAAAATTAGCGAGATAGAGATCCAGTTCCCGGACGGAAACGTTGATGTGATAGGGATTGACGCAGAGTCCTGGTTGCGCGCACTCGGCAGTCTTCTCCAGCCGTTCCCCGTCTGTCGATTCCAATGGAATTGCCTTGAAAAGGATCACCATAACTAGGTCCAACCTCCATACCTGCGGCACGAGAAAATCGAAACGATTCGTTACGGTATCGTCGGACGAAAAATAAACGTTACAAATCGCTCGTATTTTTCACTTGTCCCGTTTAATGAAAAGAGGATATATACGAGTTATTGGAATAACAGAGATGAGAGTAGCGGAAATTGGAATAACGTCGGCATACCTTGTCCGCTTGACGAAGGCAATCGATTCGACGCATTTTGCCCTTCTGATCAGGATTGCTCAGAACACACATCGCTGGTCTTTTCCCCGTAATACTCAGCACAAAGTCCTCCCGATATTCTTGCGTGATATCCTTCCGTAATTTCCCGAGAAGCCGCGAGGCCCATTTCTGTTTCACTTCCAGCTTCTCGTTCTAGAGAAAGGAAAGATTTAGATTAGATTTTTATTTACAACCTTATTCAATTAAATTAACAATTATTTCATCATTATTAAAATAATGAATTAAATAAATAAAATTATTCAATTAATAATCTTATGAAAGATTGAACCAAATAAAAATATTCTGTTTCACTTCCAGCTTCTCGTTCTAGAGAAAGGAAAGATTTAGATTAGATTTTTATTTACAACCTTATTCAATTAAATTAACAATTATTTCATAATTATTAAAATAATGAATTAAATAAATAAAATTATTCAATTAATAATCTTATGAAAGATTGAACGAAATAAAAATAGACACGTTTGAAAAAAAAAATATATATATATATAGAATGACAGAAAATGTAATTCACCGCGTATCGATACCGATCCCATCTGTCTTTCGGTATATAGCGGAACAATTGGAAAGTATCTCGGCGGTCCGATGTGAAAATTTCGTCGAGTTTGTAAAGCTTGTAACGAGAATAGCGACTAGCGACAATCTCGAAGAGAAGGAGAGGGACGTCTTTCTCGGGCGAGCGATATGCAGCGCACGCGTGCGACCCTCGTCACACTCGGAATAGCAAATACACACGCATGCATAAGATCCCTGAGAAATGCATTGAAAGTGCGTGGAATGCATCGCGAGAGAGAGAGAGAGAGAGAGAGAGAGAGAGAGATGCGATCTATCTCGCCTAGCCCGTTTTTGCTACTCACGTACGCGAGACGAAACGTTTTTTTCCTACCTCGCGGCTAAGCTAAATACCGTCCGAGTATCCTCCTCCTATCGTCGATAGATTCCCAACCAACGCCGATAATCGTTCGTCAAAAATATTACAGCTGATTGTATTCATCCGAAATTTATTAAGCATACGCAGGGTGTACTCGGCGAATCACTGATATACAGTTAAGATTCCTGACGTCATTTGGAGACGAGGAATATCATTTTATACATGTTTCCAATTTTTTACCATCATGCAGTTTTGCAACTATAAATCTTAAATTAAAATTCAAACAAAACAAATTAAAATTAAAATTCAAAACACAAACTGTAGCAAACTGACGTCATTCGACGTGTAATGACGTCAATTTGGGTACAAAATAAAATGAAAAAAAAGGAAGAATCGACTTTTGTGGCAATGATCAAATTTGGCAGAGTCAATTAAGTGTAACAAGCACGGTCTTATATACAGGTCAGGACACTCATTAAAATGAAGTGTATAAAAAATGTAACCAATATGGCAGCCAACTCTCTCTCTGGCCTGTCATATAATAATATATTTTTGTAGTACCTACTATTTGTAGCACTATTTTTAAATAATTTAATAAAAACTATTCTTAATATTTAATATTTATTCCGACGGTTTTTTAACCGTGACAAAACTGTCAAAAAACTGTCAAAATAAAAAAAATCTGTGCTGGCGCACATTGAATAAATTGGCCCGAGTTAGCAGCCATATTAGTTACATTTTGTTAGGCTTGACAGCATATAGTCGATATATGGTACTAGAAGTGTCCTGACCTGTATATAAGACCGTGGTAACAAGTGTGTATAATGAACGGTAATAAATTGGCGATAGTTTTTTTTTTTTTTTTTTTTGTTAGCGATGGCGGGCGAAAGAGCGGAGCGGCAGTTTGCGCGTCACGCGCATGTCGACGTTCCGACATTTCCGCGCGCGAATAAAATGTCAGGCACGTTTTTGCGCGCGCACTCGCGAATAAAGCGAGGGATGTAGGTGCGCGTTCGCGCGGATTTTGCTCGCGATGCGCTCACGCTCTCGGAGAAAGCGTGCACGCTCGATATCAGGTATGCCGAATGCGAAGGAGAACCTTGTTCGTGTTCGCGAGAATCGTCGTGTTTCTAGAGAGTACGCACGTTAACACCGTGACATGCGTACGTATATAAGCTGTATATACCCTGTCGAAGGCGCGGCTTTTACGCGGACGACTCCGCTTTTTCCCTATAATATATATATATATATTTTTTTTAATCATTTTTTTCCTTCCGAATCAATTTGATGTCGCATTTCGGCCTTATTTTCCTAAGCGTTCACTCGATGACATACACATATGCACACATGTACGCAGCACACCTGTCACGACAGCTGTTGCCAATTTATTTCAGATCAAATATGAAAACCCCGATTCTTCCCTTTTCTCTCTTCTTCGCTATCTGTCGCGTGCGCGCAGTTCTAGAAATCAAATGCATCAATAATCTTTGTTACTTTGCCGATGATAATCTCGAAAAATTCTCGAAAAACGATATTTTCGACATCCTGGTTTGTAATACAACATTGTAATTATTTCTATGTACTCTCCTCTCGTTGATTTTAATTTTCAATCCTCCCTTCCTCAAATCGCTTCGCACTTTAATGCTAAATCTAGTCGCTAGAACGTTCTACGTCCACGAGCTATTTTGAAACACGAGGAATAAAGTACGAACGCGATGTTTGCATTATCAATATGCACATTTCCTCGAAAGTGCTGCATCGCATCATTCAATGCTTGGAAACGGGAAACAAAGAAGAAAAGCTTTCTTCTAAATTTACGAGCAAAACATGACAAACCCGCTGATATTTAGTTGTTATAGATAACTAAAACGTATTTGCAGGGGAGACAGAAGAAATTTATCGCTCGTATTCGCGCAAGTCGATACAAAATCAAAGCAACGCATTCGAGGTCAGAGACTAGATCAGCCCGGAGTAGATTGTCGTTCGATGATAAGAATAGGTGCATGGAATGGAACGAAGAAAATTCCAAGCGGGGTAGAGAGAACGGGAATATATATTTATTAATTTGGCAAGCTTCCCGACCGTGTATATCTAGCCGACCCTTTACGTTACTACGTTATGACGCGAACAAAGCGATTCTGCGATTTCTTTATAGGCAATTCCGAGGTCTACACAGAATGTTGTAAATATTATAACCCCTCTCGAGTCGTCCCATAAGGACTATCTTTCTTGGACCTCCGAATCGTCGATGTTACCCCAAAGTTGAGCTCGTCTCCTTATTAACCCTTACTTTTTCTTCCTTTTCTCATTTTAGAAACGACATTTTTGTTTTGCCAATCTTTGATAAGTACGAGGATATAGGTTCCACAGAGTTTTCGTTCAACTCTCCGGAATTTACTTGTAATCAAACAATGTATTAAGATTGTATAACATCAAGGCTCGACAATTTTGGTAATAAATTATAATAATCCAAATTGAAACGAAAATGTACCTCTTGGCGTAATTGCTGGTCACCAATTATCGGTGAATAGTGAACCGAACGAACGAGTTTATATTAAAAGCTGAAGAAATGAACGCGTTATCAGAACGTTGGGAACAGGATTCGGTGGATTAATTTTCAATTGTTATCCCCTTTGGGCCGGAACGAATCGCAATGTAGAAAACGTATTGAGACAAATGTGCAATTACGCTGTATATATATGTGTAGTTTGGCTAACGAGGCGGAAAAGGTGACAATGCTCGGCGACGAGCGAACGGAAGCGCAGTAGGAAGGGAGTAGCGCCGCTAGTTTGCATAAATTTAGGAAATACAGGGTGGAAAATCGATATCTGCATAGAGATTATAGATGGTGGTTGGTAGGCGCCGCGTAGCCGCAGCCTCCGTCGCGACGGCGTATGCGCTACATGTCTACGTCCTCCCCAACACCATTTTCGACCGCCCTAAACCCTCCCTCGCTTATCCCCGATTCACCCCTTGGTTGCCGAAAAGTTGGTGTGCGTCGTGCCTGTGCCCTGCTGTAGCGGATACTTCTCTCGTGGGTGTTGGTGTTGGTGTTGGTGCTGGTAACCCCTCTCGATCCACCACGACCCTTTCAAACCTTCCTACACATACTCTATATACTCTTCGTGTATGCTCTTCCTTGCTCTTCCTTGCTCTTCCTTGCTCTTACGAGCGACGCGACGCGCCGGGTCGAGCCACCCCCTTCTCTCGTTCTGGTTTATCCCCGTCTATCCATCCATTGCGAGCGCTCTCTTTCTTTTTCTCCGACTTGCTCGCTTCTTCTCGCTCGGTCCCTCGCGATGCCCTACACCCGAATTCAAGTAGTCGATATCGTACTGCGGTCTGTCTCGAAATTAAGAGAAAACGACAGACCTGCGTCGCACGTAGTCTCTGCCTCATATGTATGTACATCGTGTATACATGCTCTCTTGTTTTCTTTTCATCCCCCTTTATTCCTTTCTTCGATGTATATTAAGGGGATGCTGACTGTGTCTTTCATCGATAAATATTATTTTCGTCCAACTATTTATTGGCTGTACCATAGAATGAACAATCTTTTATTAAGTTAAATAATTGCGGTCTTCTTATCGGTTAGATTAGGTTAACCCAAAACTGTAATTATTTTGCTTTCTTGGGTTTTTTTTATAATATATACATATGTAGTAGCCCCGATTTGTTATTATAAATACTTAAGTGAAGTAGACTCGAGAAGAAACTTTTCTTCAAAACATGCTTGTATATTCCTTACATTATTATCTCTTATCTAGAACCTCATCATTTCATCCTGCAAAGTAAACTACGTTGGAACAACACCTATCATATTTTAACCGTCTCCCTAGAGAGAGTTCCAAGAGGAAAGAGCGCATCTTAATTCCTGAATGTGTGTAACGCGTTACCTTACACCGAACACCGCATCGTGCCAGTATTCATACGTACACTTTAGCATGTGGCCAACGACCTTTTACTTTCATTCATGTTCGTATCGTTCGCAAGGCCAGCAGATTGACACACGTACGCGAATGATCGCGAGACGAGCGTAATTTTCCATTTTTTTCCCCCCAATGTTTTACTCCAGAGACGCAATTTTCGCCAAAGTTTGCCGTCGTGAAATGGTGAAAATGACTGCTTTGTTGTGTGATTACGGCGACGTGAATTTACGCGAAACGTCCTCATTGTTTAGATATGCCAGGAACGAAAATGAGAGGAAAATACTGAAAATGTAAAAAGAAGACGAAGAGAAGAAGAAACGCCTATGCGCCACCAGTTAATGCCAGCCGCTCTTCCGCTAAATACCGCAACATCGCGAAATTAAAATATTGATCGAACCCTGTCGCAAGGGGGAGGATGGGAATGACGGTGGAGAAGCAACGGCCCGATAACATTACCAACGATAGCACTATTCGAATGCACTATCGTCGAACACCGCGACGGTCTCCGGCAGAAATTTTGTCGGAAACATTATTTTATTTATTTTGTTTGCGCGTCTTGAAATTTTTGCAACGATTCAATTCCTACACTGAAAAGAAAAATTTGTTGATTCGACTAAATATGCGTTTTGTTAAATTTAATATGTTATATTTCGTTTAAATATTTTTATAGGTTTAATTAACAAAATAATATTTAGCTGAAAGGTTTAGTCGAGTTAACAATTTATAATCCTCATCGTTCGCAGTTAATTGTTAACGGACGAGACTTTATTTATTGGTATAATTCAATCTCTGTTCTTTATCGAAGATAATGCAAGAGAATAGGGTGGAAAAATCAGAGAAAGGTAAAATGAATTTCTTAAAGAGTCTCTCTCACCTGAAGTTCCTCCTTGCACTGACGTTCCTCTTCCAAGCTCATCCGCTTTTCGTGTTTCTTATAGTATCGTCTCTTGGCAGCTTGTAGGTTGAACCATGTGTACGAGAAAGACTTCACGAATGGTAGAAGAGCCTCGATAAATGGATGGAACTCATCCTGCAATCACACAATGTTTATTTCTTTTTTATGTCATGTTATCTACATTCTCTTGTCTTGTCAGTTGAAACTTTGCAGTTGAAAATTTTCTTCTTTTTTTCAAGTACACATGCAACTGTCAACTGCCTATACATATTATTAAATTTAATTTAGCAACATCAGTTTTGATCAATTCAAATGTCTTTGTTATCAAACCAACAAGCAAGTTTCTATTATTTTCTTCGTGTCGGCAAAAATGCAAACTAAAGTAAACAAATTATGTGAGAGCTAATTTGTAACAATAAACCTTCTTCTAAATAATTTGGTAAAATTAATACAGCTAAAGTCGTTAAAAATATCCGCTATTTTTGGTCAAAAGAAACATTTATCATGCATTCGGTCAATTTTAGAGAATAATTTGATTTAATATCCATGAATCTCGCTAAAAATAGAAATACAATCGTATCCTGGAAAATGAGCGAAAGAAAATAAAAGTAATAGCACAAAATTCTATAAACTATTTGCATAAATTGAGATTGATATGTTGATACACCTGTACCAGCAATGTTGATTATCTCTGTTAAAATTATAAATGTATCAGTGAATGACTTGTGATGGATCACATGCATTTCGTGACATAAAGGATAATTCTTTTATTTAACTTGTTTTATTATTATCAATAATCTTTGCGCTATTTTATTCCTCATTCGTTTACGCTCGGTTTACCTTACTCTTTTTATTTATCTTTGTATTTTAAATATAAAAAATATATTTAGAATACATCAGACACACGATTAATATTATTTTCATTCAACAATTTATTGGCTGGACAGATTGAAAAATTCTTTACCAGAATTGAAGTGTTCTTAATAACAAATCTGGGCTACTCTATATGTATATCAAAAAAAACAAGAAAGTTAAACAATTACAGTTTTCTTATCGGTTTTTTTTGCTTGCAGGTCAAGCTAATCAAATCTAACCGATAAGAAAACTGTAATTATTTCGCTTTCTTGTTTTTTATATACAATATATAGAATAGCCCAGATTTGTTATTAGGAACACTTAAATTCTAAGTGGAGTTTTTTTTCATTCTGCACAGCCGATAAAGAGTTAAATGCAAATAATATTAATATTTTTGGCTTCCTCCTCCCTAGTCTTTTCTTTGATATTCTCTATCTATAGTGTAATTGCAAGAAATCTCTCTCGGCGTGCACATCTTGCTACGAATAAAGTGCTAAAAAAACATAAACGAACCATCGAGTATTCGCAAACACCGCAGCTGCTGTAGCACACTACCGTCGTCCGTTCGTCCCTCCTGTCAGCGTCCAGCTGTCAGAAGCAGCGATCCTCGCGGTAACGATTACGAAGAGCTCGATACTCCGCCAGCTCGCAGCCGCGAGTCGCTCGCGGCCTCATCTGTCCCCGTATCTCCCAGGAGGAAGCGCAAACTCTGGGCCTCTCTCCTCGCACGTGTGCCTTTATTTATCGTCTCTACTTATCCGCACTTTTTGACAGAGGGTCTCACCAGCCGCCGCCAGGAATCTCTTGAATACCTCGCGACACTGTCCCCGTCCATGTAATATACTTCCGGGTATTATTAATCCTACGCGTAATTATTATCGACGCTAACCACGTGGAGAGCTGCGTTTCGCCGTTTATCGAGTGATCATCATCCTCTTCAGGCGGGATCCCTAACTTTAGGAAGACGAGAGACGCGATATGTATTTTTTTCTTTTCTTTTTTTTCCGTGGATTTCTCTCACTTGTGCAATCTTTGTCGTCTACAAGAGTAGCTTATTCCCAACTGAGAGATTTGCGCCGCGCAATTTTTAAATTTTAGCTACCAGCAACCTTGCCGAGATGTTTGCGCGCGCGACGAAAGAGGAAAAAGAGCAGAAGGAGAAGTAAAACATTTTTCTTTCTTGTTTTCGCTCTTTTTTTACGTGTTTTGGACAGACATTAGAATCGAAAGACCCCGAGACGGACGAAACAATGAGAAAACGAGCACACCTGGGGAAGATGAGAGCGTCGTTTACGGACGTTTTAATATACGGACACGCCTTTGTACGTTGGACGCGCGCGTCCATCTGTGTATAGGTAACGCTGTTATTTTCGGAGCCAACGAAAATCAGGAACGTTAAACACTCTCGTCGTCTCGCGGCAAGGATGAAAACACGTTGGAAGAAGAGAAACGCGCGACAAACCTTGGGATGTGTTTTGGGAGAGGTACAAGCGCGCGAAAGCTATAAAAGAGAAACGCGTCCATTTCTTTCTTTCTTTTTTTTTTCTTTTATTACAAATTATTCTTCACGCGATAGAGAGAAAATCCATGCGAAAAATCGACGAGCAGCCAAGCAGGTAGAAGCGCAAAAGTGAATCACTCCCGGAAAACGATGGTCACACGGAAAACGTACCATTGTCAGGTACGAGCGATTCGCGAACTCAAATTAGAGAGTCCGTCACCTTCTCCTTCTTGTCTTCCGCCACCACCGTCTCTCCTTCTCCTTCTTTTCCTCCTCCTCCTCCTCCTTCTTTTCCTCTTCTGTACTTACTCGCGCAATATTGCGTGGCGCGAACTTATTATTCGAAGAGGTCCACGAGTCGCAACCGAATTCAACATTTCAGGGTTCAGAATTTTTTACCAAACACAAGAAACCCGTAAAAAAAATATTCTCTCGAGATTCAAACTCTTCGCCTATTATTAACTAATAAAGGGTAGAAAGAGAGAGAGAGAGAGACCGCAAGAATCACCAACAACAACAAGCACCACTTTGGTACCTCTCTATGCTAAATATTACGCATTATATCGTGCACCGATTCGACACGCGCGCGACAAGAATATAATCCAAGAGTAGTGGATGATATAAATAAAAGGTAAAATTCGAGCGATCAAGATTTAGCGGCGCAAACTGCGACGGAACAAGAAGCACACATGATATACAGATTCCCCATACTCTTTACAGAGGAAGAGTGGCGCATTTCGACGTTGAAAAATTTCTGGCAAAGCGTACGCCGGATAGTGTTTCGGAGGGAGCTCTGGACCCACGGGTAACAGCCAAGAGTGTATCTCTCTCTTTCTTTCTCGAAGCTCCAAAACGCTCTCGTCTTCGGCTATTTAACACGCGCGATTACGTAGGCGAGGGCGCTGCTTCGGAGTATCCCCGAAGATCGAGAAGCGCACCGCGAATCTTATAGTCCTACGAGAGTGCGGAACGCGTCGGTCGTCGCGACGACACTGAGACGCCGCGCCGGTCGTCGAGACGCGCGTATCGAGACGCGGACGGCACCGCGCGGCGGCCAGGTACGGCACCCTAAACAGTTATTAATAGCCCCTGTCCTAGCTTACTAGATTTGCCCTCGAACCGACGCGATGCGACGCGACGCGACGCGACGCAACGCGACGCTACGCAACGTCGACCGCTGGTCGACGTCTCCCATCCCCTTTGTATATATTAACCCTCTCTCGTCCATTTTTCCCCGTTCCTCGACAGAGTTTGCTCTCTCCTTCTCTTTATGCCACCCTCGACGTTTTAGACATTTAGGAAAATAGTACAAAGAAGAGGGTGATTTGATGATGAGCGCCCTCTCACGTCTTCAAAATTAATTTAGAATAAAAAAGTGTTGATTCGATCAACACTCTCTGATAGCTTCAAAATTTAGAATGAAAAATGTACAAAGAAGAGTGTGATTGGATAAGCACTCTTTCTTTAACTTCAAAATTTATAAAAAAAGAACCAAAGAAGAGGGTGATTTAATGATGAACATCCTCTCACGTCTTCAAAATTAACTTAGAATAAAAAAACAAGAGTTGATTCAATGAACACTCTCTGATAGCTTCAAAATTTAGAATGAAAGATGTACAAAGAAGAGTGTAATTGGATAAGCCACTCTTTCTTTAACTTCAAAATTTATAAAAAAAGAACCAAAAAAGAGGGTGATTTAATGATGAACATCCTCTCACGTCTTCAAAATTAACTTAGAATAAAAAAACAAGAGTTGATTCAATGAACACTCTCTGATAGCTTCAAAATTTAGAATGAAAGATGTACAAAGAAGAGTGTGATTCGATAAGCACTCTTTTTTTAGCTTCTAAATTTATACAAAAACTAAAGGAAAGGGTGATTTGATGAACGCTCTGACATCTTCAAAATTAATTTAAAATAAAAAAACAAGAGTTGATTCGATGAGTTCATTCTCTTTCTTTAACTTCAAAATTTATTTCAAAAACATCAAATAAGAGAGTGATTTGATTCGCCTTAATTCTGGCATCTTCAACATTTAGAATAAAAAAATAAGATTTGGTGAACACTCTCTGACATCTTCAAAATTCAGAAAAAAACCAAAGAAGAGGGTGATTCAGTGAGCATTCTCTGACATCTTCAAATTTAAAAATAAAACAAGAATAGATTTTCTTTAAAATTTAGAAAAAAATGTACAAAGAAGAGTATGATTCTGTCTGATCAATAGCGATACAATCATAAAATGTTTCTTGAGAAAATGGAATAAAAAAATTGAAAGGAAAAGGAACCGCTTTGTTAAAAATAAATAAATAAATGAATAAACTATCAAAGATGATGCGAGACGGAGAAGAAATATTTTCAGCGTAAAGTGTTTGAGACAAGAGTTGTAGCTATATTGCTGAAAATTGGTTCTGTATCAACAAGACTTCATTATATTATAACATGTCTCGAGATAAGATTGGCCATTGGCTTAAATAGCGTAACGGAGCACCGAAGCGCGCGCAACGTTCGAAATGCACTCGTACTCGCGCGATAACCGCCAAAAGACAAATATCGAGTCTCCAACTCTTTCGCAGTTTTCATCTTTACATTACAAAGAAAAGAATAAAGCATTTGCACCGTATATATCGCGATAATCGGAAAATTATAAAACCACCTCTACGCAAGCAAGATGCGAGGACGTAAACATATATAGCAGAACTAGGTAAAAAAGGCTGCGTTCAGCAGAAAAAGCTGCAAAAAGCTGATTGGTGTACGCTCTCAGATTCAACTAAGATGAAGAGCATAGACGAATTTCATTCGTAAATTTGACAAGAGTCGCGAAGCTGCTTTTTCTGACAAACGCGCAGCGAAAAAGATGAAGATGATTGAAAAGTGAAGCACCTGTCCGACGGAAGGAGCCTGCAGGTAAGTCGAGACATCCGGTTCCACCATGCAGCTTCTCAGAGTGTCTGGGATGAACATGAGTAGTCTGGACGTGGTCTGAGAGCCAGGCTGGAGCCGGCTGGTCACGACCCCGCCGCCGCTGTCTGACGCCGTTTGATACCGCTCGACGCCGCTCGACGCCGCTCGACGCCGCTCGACGTCGCTCGTCGTCGCTCGTCGTCGTCCAATAAAAAATACAACGGCGCTTTAAAGCCCAGGTCCGACGACGATGATTATTATCATGTAGGGAAGAAACGGCTCTCTCTCTCTCTCTCTCAGTGCGGAGCGCAGAGGTGTCCGATCGCAGGGGATCGCCGCGTCCTAAGGACGGTTGCACCAGCAGAACTCGGATGAGGGACTCGGTCGAGCTTTCCCAGGACGAAACACGTGGTACCGAGCTTTCCGGACAACGGTGCGCTGCGACGCCAATTTTTCAAGCCCGGAACCAGCCTCTTCCGGTCTTCGCTCTTCCTCTCGTCCACGACGGCACTGGCGAGCGAGCTGCTGGCACCTCTCGCAAACGATTCCGCGGGACTGATGTCGTTCCCGACACCGGGCTCGCCGACGTTGGTGCGGGTGGCAGGATTCCGGACGCTTTTGACGCTGCTAAACTGTCGTTTGTCGGGTGGTGACGAGACGCCGCACCCAAGCACACGCATCCTATCTAGCCGCGGTTGAGAATTTCTTTTCGATTTCGGATCTCCTGCTCTCTTCTGTGTTTCTCTCGTGCCGCACGCAGAGTGTCTGCGATTCTCCCCCACACTATGTCGTACCTCTCTCTTTCTCCCTCTCTCCCTTCCGCTTTTTCACCCCTTCCTCTGGTCTCGATATCGCCTTCTTTCCTTCCCGTCTTTTGGAATGTCCTCTTTTTTTGGCCTTCTTTTTCCTTTTTTCTTACGTGTATTCCTTGCTCTTCTTTTCCTTGATTTTACCGTTTCGATTCTTCGTGCTCTTCCGCTTCCTCTCTCGTCCCATCTGTATCTTTATCCAGGATTTGCACCCTCTCCTCTTTTTCTCTTCCACCCTGTTTCTCTCTCTATTCCTCTTGTTGCCGCTCAATTTTCAGGTTGTCTTTATTGTCGCATCGACGCGAATGACGAGGACGACAAGGACGACGACGGCAAGAGAGCTCTCTTGAGCTCTCGGTTCCTTCTAGTTTCCCTTGCCCTCGATCGGAAGACGCCAGGCCTCGGACTACGTCGACTCCAAAGCACGAAAGCTGCGTCGGCGTTGGCGTCGGCGTCGGCGTCGGCGTCGGCGTCGGTGTCGGCGTCGGCGTAAAAAGCGACCAGCGTCGCGCAAGCTCGATGTCAGAGTGCAGGCTCTGCCACGAGATATATAGAAGGGTATAATTCGAAAAGAGAATAAAACAACTAAAATATTAAAATCAGATTTTTAAATATTGTGCAGGAGTTACGCGCGAAAATAAAATGCAAAATGAGAAATCCATGTTTGAAATCATCAAATCATATAAGAATAATCTTTAAAAGAAAGAGGAAATATTAATGAAAATACATATATGATTATTGATTATATTAATGTGATTATTATATATAATAACACAAAAACGTGTAATTATTTTTTATTTATAATAATATACGACTGTTTGAATAAGTAAGGATTATCTACTACACGAATAATAATCGATGCGGCGATAATTTCGAACATTTTTTATTATGCGGTTCTGTTCTGTTTGCTGCAATAATCTGTGATGCAAGTTTTAAAACCTTGCGTTTGTTTAATAAGAATTTGTCATTACATACATTAAAACGACTTTAATATCTATATAGGTTTGCATCAATTTTTATCAATAACAATTTGTCAATAAAAAACTATATATCTTGAGAGAGACAGAGAGAGAGAGAGAGAGAGAGAGAGAAAATTTTAATTTTCGAACAAAACAATATCTTTCATCAGTGAATGATACTGAAAATCTAATATGTAATAAGCTTAATGCAGACCTTAAATTTATATTAAAATCTCGTATAAAAGATCGCAAGATTAATTTCCAGACAGAAAAGAAAAAAGATGAAATATAGTGAATATATAGAAATCTCGATAGAGATTTCAGGAAAATAACTCACGTGGTCGTGTAGTTGAAAAACACTCGCAAATCACACTGCACTGACGTTTGGGGCGATCGATCGATCATAAATATATAAACGGAATATTTTTCTACGCAGAGGAGAGGATTTACGGAGCCATCGTGAATGCGATCACAACACTTTTACACATTTCACACAAGCGTTGATCGAGTTGCAGCTCTGAAGGCGCACTTTCGTTATCTAATTGACAATAAAAAATATTTTGTCTCAAGATAATCATCGAAACAGATAATTACACGAGTTTGTCTAATAAATGAAATAAAATTGAGACTCTAAATTCTAAATACATCGTTGTACTACTAATATAAAAAATGATCTGATTTTTCGTGAATACAATTGGCTGCGTTCAGCGGAACCGTTTAGTAACACTCGAATGTGATTGGCTCTCTGACTTTTAGAACCAACCAATCAACGTAGATTATTGACAACTCGGCACTTGTTCTTCTAAACGCGCCAATTTTGAATTATTATTACTTTGTTCGATGGTAAAATCACTGACGAGGTACTCCTCCTTTTAATGTAATAAACGATCTAAATTCCTAGTAACATATTATTTGATTGTGATATAAAAATATTTTTAGAAATATTTTTTTCAGAACTAACATTAAAAAAATAGATGCTTATTAAATAATCATTTATTAATTATATGCCAAGATTTTTCAAATTTGAGATAATTTTGCTAAATTATATTTTACATTGTAGTTCAAATGCTATTTCAACTACAGGTGTGTACATTTATAAGATTATAAAAATTTATAAATAGTAAAAAGTATATAAATTCAAATATTACAAAAAACACCCATAATTATTTAATAATATCTAACAAAGTTTAACTAAAATTAAATTGATTGATAAAGCAATTTCCATAATAACGACAAAAATTTGTCCAAACATTTCTGATAATTATAAATTTGATAGTCATATAATAGGTTTTGAAATTATACCTAATTACAATAGAAATAATTGTGTATATGCATGTGTATGTGTGTGTGTATATATATGTTAATTGATCATAATTTTTTAAGAATTTCCAACTTTTTAGCAAACATTAATAAAAGTAAATTATTCCATGTCAAATAGTCTAATCTGAAAAGAAATTTAATTCAAACTTGTGGCTTTGCTTAAAATTACAATAGTTGATCCTTACGAATATTCCTGAACTATTCAAATATCATTTTCTTCATAATTTGCTTACAAATATACAAATAATTTTGGTTTTAAATTTCTCCAAATTTTTTCTTATAAAAATGCTTAAAAATCAATATCATAAATATGTAAATAACACTATTCAAACTTAATAATTCCTGAATTGCCATATAACAAGATTTGAAGCAAGTTTTATCAGTAACATTAATGGCTTATTTAACATGGAATGATCCAAGTATATGGAGAAGGATATTTCGTTGGATATTTTATAAAAATGTTTTTCCTAATTTTGTCAGAGTTATTGTTCAAAGTTGTACGATGGACAATATCAATGCACAATAAATATCCATTGTGTGCTTCAATTCTTTCAATTATTCATATATTACTAATAGTTGATATAAGTGGATTAAAACTGAAAAATTGAAAATTTAATGTTAGATTAATATTGTTTATAAATGTTACAAACTCGATAAAAGCAGTAACTCGATACTCACTCTTTTTAAGAATTCCTCTGCGCATATGCGCGCTCTGGCATTAACCGATAACTTCATTTCACTGATTTCTCTATCGATCTCCTCCATAAAGTGAATAACAAAATCTACTATCTTATGTTTGTACATTTGCTCAACATGAATATTGGTGATTAAAAAGCTAATGTCATAGCCCTAAAACATACATTGTATAAGATATACTTGATCACAGGTAAATAATTAAACAATTAGCTTTTAATTACTTACCTCTACTGGTTTTCTTCTGAGTATCATAAAATGTTCGGCTCTCATTGTCATGAATCTTGTAAAATTATGACAAAGAATCTTTTCTAGATCATCGGCTTGTTTCACAGCGATACTTATCCTCATACTGTTTATGCTAGATTCGATCAAGACCTTCTCCTTATCATTTCTACTTATCAGGATAGGAGTTAAAAGCAGTTCTTTGCTGGCTCTTACTTCTACTTCAGGTTTATTGTGCTTTTCCACAATTTGAGAGGAAAAATTCTCCAGACACATAGCAGCGGTGAGTGTACGCCTAACTGCTGTCAAATAGGGTTTTAGCGTTCCTGACTGCAAAACAAACAGCGAAACAGTATTAGAAAAATGTTTCATACTAGTAATTGTCACAATTAATTATTGCAGAAATGCACTTTTCGTTTCAAATAATGGTAGCTAGCAAAAGTCAAAGATATCTTAAGGGAAAATTAAAATTCAGGGAAACAAATCAAAACTCACACCTTCTAACACATCCGCAATCGGTAAAGTGTGATTTTATAAGCTAGTCAAGATACAATTTTTTGGATAAAATGACTCACCATATTTGCAAAAGATAACTCACAAAATTCGATAAAACATTCGATATAACATCCGTATTAGTTAATATATTAGTTTCTTTAAAAGCCTGTCGAGCTTTTCACTGTTTAGGAGATTTGGTAAAGATACACGACAGGGAAACATGAAACATTACATGGATCAGGACAACTTTGAGTCTTCAAACCTATAAATCGCAACTCTTTTAATTAGTCTGATTCTCTAATTGAAATCGAGCGACTCGATCTATTTTTATTCGACAAAACCGGTGTTTTCTTCAACTTTACTCCGCTTTCCACCGATTTAGGGCGTGCACATACACTGCTGAGAGTGCTGAGTGTATAGAATGCCTTCTTCGCACGAAGTTGGCCATTCGAGTCATTTGCATTTATTCCCAAATGTGCCTAACTTCAGGCAGGAGGGCAAGTCGATTTTGCTCCAATGAGAGAAGAGAAACTCATCTATTTTCAATCTACGACCAATCACAATTCCACAAGCATCATGTGAATACGTCTTAATATTCACCAGATCCAATTTCCCTAGATACTTTTTGGCTCGTCATATCGTAAAATTGAGAAATTAAAAATTAAAAAGTGAAATTTTAGTTCAATCTGAACAAAGAAATTTTAGTTTCTATTGTTTTAATTTTTTCAAATTTTAATAATCTTCAATCCTCAATGCATAAGTCTGACAATGATTTTATACATCCATATCAATTTGTTTGGACAGGATCTAATAATAGCTGTACATATTTGACAGATTATATATATGTATACATGTATTTATAAAAGAAAATGTTTTTTCAACTGTCTATAAATAGATGGGATCCCACAAGCTATTCGAAAAGAATTCATTTGTATGTCACCAATTTCGAGTCCCTTTTCAAATACATATAGAATTCATTTTGTAAAATCATTTTACAGACAGCACCAAGCCCAAAATTGGCGCATAAGATATCATTAAGAAATCTTTAAGACAGCTTTAAGAAATCTTATGATATGATATCCGAAAGACATCTTAAATATATTTTAAAGATATCTTATGCGCCGACTTTGAATTTGGTGCTGTCTGGGATGCGTTTGAAAAACGCGCGACTACAAGGCGCATGAATATAGTTCCAAACTAGGTGAGAAAAATCGAAACATCGTTCGTCCTGGACAATCGAACTTTGTTTGAGACCAACTTCACGACGTTGTTGCGTTTCTCCACTCTTGTTCGCGAACGTGCGCTTTCCTTCCGCTCGGGGGAAAGGCAAAACAGTTTAACTTTTAATCATTAAAATCAACTGAAACGATTGACGATTAACGTGCAACGGACAGGAGCCATTTTCCCGGTGAGTCCCGCAGATTACTTGGTAACAGTGTCGTGAGACAGAGCGCAACAACCTCTTTTGTAGGGCCGCGAGCTTTTCTTATCATGTTTTTTTTTACACGCGTTTTCGAGCTCCTAGAAACGAATAAACTTTCGAGGAGAAGCGTTCCTTCCAGTCATCCTACGTCGCACGCGTTTACACGTTTCAAGCTCGACAATGAACTGACAATTACGTCCGCAGGCATGTAAAAGTACGTGTACCCTTTATTATGTACTCGCCAAAGCGTCGTCAGGTATCAGTCAATGCGAGTAACCAATTGGAGTCGAAAAAATCAAGTACATGTCAGTTACTTCCAGTTGACGATAAAGTGCGCTCGTACGTCGTAAGTGAAATTAATAATAGGTATGTGACTGAACGAGACTTCATTTTGGGTGCTGTCACTACTGAGTTTATCGCAGCTCGTCGAAATGTATGTCGAATCTGATCGGTGAACGTTACCTACCGTTAATCAATGTTTCCCTCGACTATCTATAACAATATTGTAACAATGGTGATATTTTAATTGGATGCGGCAAAAGGAGGTACACAGTTGCGCAAACAATTCTTTCTAAGATGGGAAGATGGATCTGTAGTTTAATAATTGTTCACAGTTTTACAATTACAGCCTTTAATTTTATATTAATCATCAGCGACTTGCGACAAAAGCACATAAAAATATATATGGCCCCGATGCCAAGGACAATGACATTGTATCATATTGTGTAATCGGAAGAAACTGTGCCAGCAATGTATTTGATAATTGTACATTGGAAGATACAATGCGATCGTACAATGTAAAACATTTTGCAATATTTTGGGTCTTTATCTCGACTTAATCTAGCATTGTTACAATTTATGTATTTGACATGGAGAGATTAGAGTCTTGTCTATTGGATTAGATTAATAATAGAGGTGAAAGCAAATCCTTTCTTTTCTCCTCTCTAATTTTCTCTTTGTTTCATGTAAGATAGAGTACAGTGCAATTGTGTAAATTCAAATCGGAAGTAGATTCAAGATGTACGGATGTATTTTTCTCTCGAATCAAAACATTTCATTCTTCCTGTTATATTTCACAATGACATACATTCTGTACGCCAAGAGATACTAAAGTATTATTAGTACGATATTGGTTTTCTCTTTATTTTACTTATGCATTTCTTTATTGTTACTTGAATCAATGATTTTATGCAAAATTAATGTTTTTCTCTTCTATGCAAAGTATTAATGTTTAGCAAATTGCAAAAATGTTTTACAATTGTAACTTTGCATTGTAGAATTTAAAGAAAATATATTTATACGTGTATGTATGTATGTATGTGTGTATGTATGTGTGTGTGTGTATGTGTGAATGAGATTGTGATACAAATGATACAATTAACCGCCATCTATCACGCTGGAAAGAGAAAGAGAGAAAGAGAGAGAGTCGATAATTAAATTATAACGAGGACAACACGCGGAAAGATTCGCGCGAGCGAAGGACGTCGCGAAATCCTTTTCCTTCGATATGTCGTTCTCTGGCCAAATATGTAAAACTGACGTCACGCTTCTCTGTGAGAACATGAAGAACATAAGGACGCCCACTGGAATCGCTTCGCTCTCCGCGAAAATCTCTCAGAGAGAGAAAGAGAGAGAGATTGCTAAATATATTTCCTTCCGCGATCATTTTCGGCCCTCGAAAAGTTTGATCGATCGGAGGACGTTGCTCGATTTAGAAGCGTTACCGTGAAAATTCAAGGTCGAACTTCGACTCGAGAGAAAGAGAGAAACAAGGTCCGCTCAAATTTTCGGGATCTTGTTGCAGCGACGCGATAAAATCTAACGAGATAAGAATAATCGAAGATAGTGGGAATTTATAATATATCGAGATAAAACGAAATTCGTGTAGTTATTACGCAGGCGGGAGATATATATATATATATATATATATATATATATATATATACATATACGTAGGATTACGTGGTCGCTGGACGACCCACGTCGCGATGACGAGCACGTTGGCTACGAGCTACGACTTCACCTGAGAGTCTGTGAGAGATCCGCGAAACGCGTAGGCAGTATTTCGATGGACCAAAATCGAATCCAAAAGTAGCGCGACGAGCATCTCTGTCCCTACACGGAGAGAATTTTCTCTTAGAATTTACCTTGAAAATCATGTCATTGTGGGACAATATGGAAGAATTTTATATGAGTTTCTCCGATTAATCAAAATAAAAATTAATCGAACATATTTTTTATATCTTATTGTAGTAGATATTTAAATGTTTTATTGACGTAAATATATTAATCAGAGAAACTTGTAAAATTCTTACCATAAATTTTAAGAGAAAATTCTCTCTGTGTATAAATGAAAGTACACATCAGCTTTATGGGATGGAAAACGTCTCCAATTTGCGGAGGATTCCGGGATCTCATGTATTTATGCTAATTTTTGTAATATATTGTCCATTTTTAATGTAATATATTAATTTCGTTTCATATAGACATCCACTTCTTTTGTAAGATTTTTTTTCATTTGTTTATGTTTCTTTTTTTTTGTTTATATACTTTTTGAAGATGACCCGAAGTAGGACCAAAACGTTCATTTCAAACTAATAAACAGTATCCGAATTGATTTAGGTTTTTTATTCGCGCGTTTTTGGCTCGTCTTACCTCTTTGTATTATTTATATTTGCTTCTGATCTTTATAATGTTTTCACGTTAGGCTCGTCTCTACACGGAGAGAATTTTCTTTTACAATTTCTTCTGAAAATCGTCGGACAATAAATTAAATAATTAATACAATAAAAAATCATTAATATTTTTTATTGGTGGTAAATATTTTAGAGAAACTCTTCATTGATTTTCAATTAAATTCTAAGAGAAAATTCTCTCTGTGTACGATTCCTTGGATTCAACAGAGAGAGAGATGGGGTGTTTACAGATTTCAATTTGGCAGAGATTCAGAGTTATCAGAGGCAAAAGTGGTATCAGTAGTATCAAAGATACATTGATACTTTGTGTTAGCAAGAAGCGAAAATTGTCAAAGATATCGCGCGATGCTTCGCGTACATTTTTTCCTTCATTTATTGTTAATTTAATTTCCATGGCAATTAGCGGTATATCGATAGCGATAAAAACACAAATAGGCCGGGCGACTTTGTATTCGTAACAATCTCTATACCCCTCCATGTTTCAAACTATTTTCGATAGTCGACTTGGCTAACTTTAGCAATTTCGTCGCCCTCCTCTCGCGAGTTTGCAAACGCTTAGATTTTCATCATTTTATGTATGTGTACGTGTGAACGAGTAGCATGTTGCATATTCGACCCAAAAAAAATGATGCGACACCGCAATAGATAGCAATAGGCGATAATGCGCTATCTATTTTTATCCGCGGTCTATTTAAATTGTTAATGACATTTATGTGCGTCGTATATCGCTATACATCACACAGCCACGACGCAGAATCGTGATAAATTATTTATTCGTCAAAACATTAGAAATTATCATATATTACAAGCGAGAATATCGTCACCTAAAAGGATGCCCGAGAAAGCATGGCGACACTTATTGTTAGTAATCGGACTTTTCATCATACGTCTCTCTCTCTCTCTCTTTGCAGCATTGTATTACAATCGACTCGCTCATTAATTACCATATCAGTTATAATAATAAAGACTCGCATTGTCCAACAGGTGGTTTCCTAAGCCTTGATTCCGGACGTGCCGAACGATGGTCGACTATTACAAAGTGCTCGAAGTGCAGCGAAATGCTGGCGGTGTAGAGATCAAAAAAGCGTAAGTTATTTCATTTGTTTAAAATAATAAGTCGAGAAAAAATTATCTACACAGAGAGCATTTTCTCTTAGAATTTATCCTCAAAATCATGGTAATTATGTGGGACAGTATGGTATTGGAAGTATCTTTTAAGAACTTATTTTTACCACAATAAAGAATCTTAATATCTACCACAATAAAATATAAAATCTATTCGATTAATTTTACTATGTATATATTATTTTTTTTATTCTGGTAAATATTAATTAGAGAAACTCCTGTAATGTTCCACGATTATCAAGGTAAATTTCAAGGTAAATTCTAAGAAAAAATTCTCTCTGTATATATAAATAAATATATATTCAAGTATGTAAAGAACTAGAAAGAAATTCTAATAGTCTCATCTTCGTCCGGATTTATACACGTGATTTTTTTTTTTATAAATAATTGATATGTTGAGGATGGTCCTAAGGAAAGAATCAAAATGTTGAAGATAAATATAGAGGAATTTAAAAATAATTTTGTCGCATCTAATAACTCTTATTAACTCTTGTCATATCTGAATTTGTAAGTAATCTGTTTATTGTATTGGTTAATTGTTAATAAAATATTTGTATCTCATTTTGTGTAATTGTAAACCAGTTTTGCAAGTTTCGAATAATATTGCAATTTTATTCTTACGCGAACGGATGTTTTTAATAATCTCCGCTAACGCAATATCCGGCATTTTCATTCCTTAGGTATAGAAAGTTGGCATTGAAATGGCATCCAGACAAGAATCCGGATAATTTGGAAGAGGCAAATAAAAGATTCAAGGAGATCTCAGAAGCTTATGAAGTTTTGAGCGATGGTAAGTGCGTTCTACGACGATAATAAATCAAATTGAGAGGACACGCTCCATGATTCTCGTCGAGAAATCATTTTTTAGTCATAAAACGCAACTTGGTGTCGCGAAACACACACGATATGCTTTGATTAGATTCTGTAAAAGCATAGCAGATTTCTAGGATTAATGCGATAGAAACTGCCGCCTTCTTTTTAACGAAAGGTCATATAAAATGCTCGTTCCGAGGATATAGATTGCATAATAGAGTGTCAAAAAATGTCAAAAGAACGAGCGCAAACGAGGAACGTGCGTGTATAATTTGTAAGAGAAGATCGGGGCGATATAGAAAATCTTTCCAGATGTGAAGAGACGCACTTACGATCAGCGCTTATATCAGAAGGCGGCATCAAGGCCTGGCCGTGGATTCACCTTCCGAAGTTTCTTTGATTCTCCTTTCCAGCGATATTTCGGTATCACTTGAACAACAAATTTATTTGCAGAGTGTTCAAAACATTTTGTATACAGTGTAGTTTTTCTTTTCTCTTTTTTTTTTTCTCGCCTTAATGTGCCTTATTGTGCCACACAAAATGTGCATATATCCGCCTCTCTCTTCTCCATTTTTTCGCAAAAAAAATTTAAACGCGCGCGAAATCTAACACGACGCAAGGAGCGAGGATTTTCGAGATCAATTTTGATTTACGGCTATTTATAAAAACTGTGCTACCATGTGTAATCTATAATTTACAAATATTTATTTATTTTTATTTATTAGAACGACACTTTGTATCTTAAGTATAAACAGAATACACATCCCTGATCGCTCATCCTTTTTATTCCTGTAAAAATAGTAGCGTAATAATAGAAGAAACTTTGCGAGTTTTCCCTATAGTATCACGCTGAATAACTACCACATTGCAGTTAACCCTGCCTGCATTATATTGTCAGCGTGTGTCTAACAGCTAGCGAATTATAACTCGATCGAAACGGTTACATTCTTGATAAAAAGAAAAAAGAACGATCAATACTTGTATATGTATTATAATAGCGTAAGCTAAATCAAGCGAGAGCTACATTAGTCGCGATAAATCCTCGAGCATTGTTGACACTCTGAAACGTTTTTCTCATGTTGTATTTGAATTTATCGATTGATATTGGACTAACCTTGCGGCGAACTTTGCAGAAGCCTTCGCTTGTTGAGTTTTGATTGAAAGGAATAAAATTTTCAACGATAATGATCGAAGCCGATGGAAAGTGATAATCGTTTTGCTTGGAAATTTTTAGAAAAGAAGAGGCGCGTTTACGATCAGTATGGCAAGGAAGGTCTTCAAATGCCCGGAAGCAAACGACGCCATGGAGATGACTTTGATTCGCACTTTGCCGGCACGTTCGTCTTCAGAGATCCCGAGGAAGTATTTAGAGAATTTTTCGACGGTGTACCGTTCGAAGATTTATTTGCCGGTCAGTATTTACGTGCGCACAATGAAATAGTAAATATATACAATGAATACAAAACGTGATTGTCGAATCTTGCAGGTTTTCACGGCTGTTCCCGAAGAGGCGCTACGGGGAGACACGGTCATCCGACTAATAATAGTCTGAGTACTTCCTTCTTCGGTCCCTTTGGATTCGGCTTTCGTTTACCGTTCGACAATTTAATGGAGAATGCCAGCGCAACGGGCAACTTTACCTCTTTTAATACTTTTACTAGTTTCGACGGAGCGAGCAGTGGTGCCGCTGTGAAACGTACCAGTACGTCGACCCGTTTCATCGACGGAAAGAAAATTACAACTAAAAAGTATGTCCGATAATGTACATGTCGCAAATCTCGTGAATGCTATATGTGTATATATATATATATATATATATATATCTTTCTAATCGTCTATTTTCTCTTTTTTTGCAGAGTCTTGGAAAATGGGAAAGAAACTATAATGTCTTACGAAAACGATGTACTGAAATCGAAGACGGTGAACGGCGTACCACAGTCAATAACGTACAGTTAAAACTCATCTCATCATTCGCTCGATCTCTCCTTGGCAATTGAGAAATTCCTGTCGTCACGGTTCGAACATCAGCAAACCTGGTATCCGCGTAGATATCTACCGCGACATATAATTTCTCCTCTCCCTCGCAATGGTTTCGTCGAGAACGTAACGTATTTGAACGCGTTACTCATCGAAATTGACAATCGATGATAGTGAGATAGGCTCTCTAAGCCCGAGTGATCGGAGCGTTGATAATTGGAATTTAACAATAAGACAGAACGAGATATTGCCTTTCACAAACTTCGATTTTCCGTCATCTCGTCTTTGTTTATGTGTGTATTAGGTTCGACGAAGCATCGACGAGTCGACAAGTCTGTGAGAACGTCAATGATAACACGATGGGTAGCCACAGCTCGAACGCGATCCACAGCGACTATCTAAAAGCTAGCAGAGTAAAGACGCGTCATCATCCGCACACGAGTAAGAAGCACGATAGAAGTAAGAGGAAATAAATTTTGCTCTTGTCAAGTTCCTTATATATTCAAGTCGACAAGTATGCGCTCTTAATGTACTCGATTGATGTGATTTGATTCAAATTTCATGTGGTTTGATTCAAATTTTCATTTTATATACATATATGTCACTATTATCCACCATCTACTATCCAATAGAAATTTAAAAAAAAATCAAATATTGCCAATTTATATATAAAGTTATTATACATTTAAAGGGGGAGAGAGAGAGAAAGAAAAAATATCATATAAAAACATGATACAATTAATTTTTTGACGTATCCACGCGGTTTCGATTAATAAAATTCACTTGAAAAAACAAGATTCGTCAACTTTTGGTTTCAAAAGCGAAGCGGCGCGCTATCCGTTAGCGTTAAATCATTTAGTTTTGTAAAAAAAAAAAAAAATGAGCTGTTCGAGTCGAATTAGGTACTCGTGATAGCGTATCGCTTACGCTGCTAATCCAAACTATAATTTGCAAGTAACATCCGCCTCTATCTATAGCTGTAAAATGTAACCGACGGCATTCGCGTTAACTTAAATCTTGATTAAACTAGGTATCGCTAGGTTACAGAACTGACGCAAACTTACGATTTCTCAAACAAAAATGCCTTATACATCTTTCGTATCGGTTAATAATAGTTATAATTTATTTTCGTCGCTGCGTATTTTTATTGTCGCGTTGGCTATATAGCGTTATTTACCAATTTAAGTTTTAGTTAAATACACACACACACACACACACACGTTGAAATATATCGTTGAAAGTGTGTTTAGGGAACTATTTTTCTTTAATTAGTTATTTCCATATGTGTATATAATGATAAGCAAAATGTTATATATATATAAAAATACATTATTAATATACACTAATAATCGTGAGTCGGTGTGAGTGAACTTTAGTATGGGACTGAAACGCAAATGGCAAAGTTAAATTATTGTTCGTGTTAAAAAGGGAAAATAATTGTGACAAAGAGAGACATATGCGACAAGTAATTTTATGTTGACTGTAATAAAGTGAATACAAGATTTGTAAAAACAAGATTAAAAAAGCCTTATACAAGTGCGTGTAGCTGCTAAACAATAGAAAAAATTGACATCCTACATCCGTATCCAATTATTCACATGTGAATACATAATTCCTGCACTTTCCATATAAAAATGAAAAGTGTCACATTTTAGTGAGATTAGACACATAATTATTTATGCATACATGTATGCGTAATAACAAATCTACTTTTTCCCAATCGCAGCAATTAATGCCTCCACTTTAGCAATGTACTGCTCTTTCGCAGTTTCTTGTCCCATGCTTTTTCTACTGTTCCAAGCATCCCACTTTGCTTTGCCTTTAAAATCCAACATACCTGGCCTGTCTAAAAAATTTAAAGACATTATTGAAATTATATACATATATGAAAATAGGCGCGACAAGTAATCTATTTTATATAAAAATTCTGTGAATGCAAACCTGTGTTACAATCACCAATGATGGATTGTTTGTACAATGCGTACAGTTCAAGTAGATCCTCATCTTCTGGTTGCGCAGCCAATTCTTTTACCGCTAAGGCGGCATTCTCAAATCTCTGAAAAAAATATTTATACAATAATATAGAAATTTCTCTCTATTGTGTACTTTTTGTATACATCTGATGAATAATTGCAATTTAATCAAAATAATGAATTTGCAATTTAAATTGAAATTTGTTAGGTCAGAAATTATATATATATATATTTGATTTAAAATTTGAACATTTTTTTCTCTTTCTTTATATCACAAAATTTGTGTGATCTAATCGTTATATAAATAACAGTTTATCTACAAATTGCAAATATCAATGCTATGAATTATCAGTGGAATTGAAGCGCTATTGGCTGAATGATATAACCTGATCTTGTCTAGTGAATTTTTTCTTTAGATTTATTTAGGAATTAGTTTAATATTTAATAAGATTATTTTTAAGAAGAGAAATAAATTTTTTACTACGCCGTATTAGTACATCGTCCCTCTAAAACAATTTCGAGCATAATAATCAGGTCCGACATTTGTTCACACCTATACTGACATTTCAAATGTAAACATTTAAAAAGTTTGCAATTGATAGTTGAACATCACTATAGTCCACTGGTAAAAGCTTGACTCGCTGATAACTAACAAAAACCGGTCGGAGGATGGGTTTCGCGATGTAATTTCTGAGCTATGTCGATTGCATTTTTCATTTAAACGAATAAAAGTAATCGAATACTCACTTCGTCCAGCGACATGACGGAAAATGTGAATTCCGACACGGAAATTTACAAAATGACGATCCCGAGGGAAGAATATCGCGCGAGAGGTTACGACACTCGCGTGTTGACGACTTGACGAAGGCTGATGATAAGGACGATAACTACGTACGTGGCCGTATATACGTGGTGCTCTTAGCGTCCGGTTTAATGCAACGATTAATAATTTACTACGGACATTATCGAACGACCTTTGTAACAGCTGAAATCATCGCTATACACGAGATTCGTGCTTCGCCTAAATTATTTATTCATCATATATCATGCGAAAGTGCTGCAGATATTTTAGTGCAAAAAAGGTGATGATGAATTGTTTTATTTTTAACAGCCTAAAAGATTAAGAAATTATTGAAATTATTTATTGAATATAAAATTGCGAATATAATTATTGAATAAATTAATTAATATAGAATTAAATTTAAAAAATTATTGAATTTTTATAGAAAAATGTTTGATGTATATAGAGCTGCGCGAAGTTGAATAATTAAGTTGATAAATGAATGACAAGGATGAAGAGAAGCTATTAATAGCATGCCACGGTTACTAGTTGCATCCAATCAATATGTAATTAATTCAAAATGATAGCGTATTATCGTAAAATATGTAGCCAATTCTGTCCACTTGGTTCAATGATTTTATTTCCTTCGTAAAATTGAATCGCAGATAGAGGTGTCCTCTATGAAAAAACATTTCCATCTGGTAAACCAATAAACAATCGTTTTTGTTACATGAATATCGACGCACGGTAAACGATTTGTATTGCGTAAAAACATTCTACTCACATAACACAAATTTGCATATTCTGAATAAATAAATAATATTATTTAAAAAAATGATAAATTTTAAAAGGGAAAAATACGTAAATATGTATCTTTTTCGTTCAGTCCAAGATGGTGGGATATTTTTGTTCATTCAAAACAAAGCGAATTTTTAAAATAAGCTTTCAACAAATTTGCAATTTTATCCTTTTTTGACATTTTGAATGAAAAAAAAAAATGATAACGTTGCATTGAGAGAAACTCGGAATGTGTGAACTAATTCCATATATAATAGACCTTTATTCAATTCTCTCTCTCTCTCTCTCTCTCTCTCTCTCTCTCTCTCTCTCTCTCTCTCTCTCTCTCTCTCTCTGTGCGCGCGCATATATATGCTGATCTATGCAATGAAGGCTCTTTAAAATTCATACAAGCACATTATACGAGAAATACAATGAGGCCTACGCGAACCGTTGACAACTCAAGACAGATCAAGATGATCACGATGATGTATACGTCGTAAATATTTTTCAATTGACGAGAGTTCAGACAACTGGGGTAAATGTCAAAGCTACATAAAACACGACTCTCAATCGTTAATTCTCTATAATTATACAGACGTAAACACCTGTGTTTCAAAGTTACATATGAGTGATCGATAGCGCGGGAAGGCAAGAGTCGAGCAAGTAAGACGATTCGATCACACGCAACTTTTATAACTTACAACGATATGCCGAACCAATTTGCGAGAAAGGATTCTGATTTCGCTGCTTGTCGCTATAAAGAATCAATTGTACTCATTGAATGTGTCTACTACATTATGTCTGATCATTCTGTCGTAACCGACTGCACCACACGCCGCGTCGTATTGCGGTATTTTTACCCTTGACAACTTACAGTTTACTGTATACACGTTATCGTACCCCAAATTTCAGAGTACAACTACCGCAACCGAGCATTATGAAGTATAACACGAACTAGCCTAGACTATCCTCAAAATTATTCTAGAGACTATCCCGAATTATCCTAGAGCTCTTTCGTACTTCTTTCTCAAAAATATACGTCTTTGATATTATATAGAATATGTAACACCAACTATCCTGAAAATTATTTTAGAGACTATCCTAAACTATCCCAGATCCTGAACTCTTTCGTACTTCTTTCTCAAAGATATATACATCTTTGAGGATATTATAGAATGTAAAACACCAAATATCCTAAAAATTATTCTAGAGACTATTCTGAACTACCCCAGACTATATTCTGAACTATTCTAGAGCTCTTTCGTGCTTCTTTCTCAAAGATACGTCTTTAATGATCTCATGGAATGTATATATATATATCTATAATATTATAATCGTTTGAGAGGAATGCAAAAGATCGTACTTCTCCTCTTCTCGTTCCATCATATATATATTATTCAAATGTATGTACATTACATCTGTCTGAGACACATATTGTAATATAACATCACACAATGAGATTCAGCGTAGCATATAATACAATTTAGCAGAATAGAATAAGGTTTCATAAAATGTAACCATTGCATATGCTAAGAGTGTTATATGCTGCTAGCCACACACTTTTTATGCGGTCGTGCTTCTTCAGTGCATATATACGTTCTTCAAGAATATAACGCATTTCTCTCTTTCATTTCTTAATAATTTATTCGAAAAAAGAATTAAGTTTCAAAGTGCAAGCGTCTCTTAATTTAAGGTCGCGATAAAATAATTTAGTAGCAAAATACACTAACATACTTGATGCAAAAGTATGTCAAAAATACATCTTTTATACACATTATTAAATTATAAATTATAAATTTGGTGTACACGCAGGGAGAAGATGCAGAAAAAATCACGATATATAAAAAAGAATAGCAGATTTTTTATCATACTCATAAAGTAATAATTAAACAATACAATCTTAATCATATTATTCAATTTTTAAGAATGTTTACATGTTCAACTAATTGGACTTTATCGAGAATAGTCATCGTATAAGAATGAAAAAAATGCATTACCTATATCTATTATATTTTGAATTATTTCTCTAAAGTGGATACATATATCATTTTTTTATCTCTATAATTTTCTATAGAGACATTTGAAACACTAATATAAAATATTAACCGAAAAAATTAAATTAAACACGCAAAGAAGATAATTTATATTGATGGGTGAAGTCGCACACATTTAATCCCTATTATTAGATTTCGACACGATGACACTTACTTGATAATTATATTTTATTGAAGTGTCACGAGGGATAATTTACGGCTCCTCAGGTTTTCACCCTCTTTTTCTCTCGCTTCCAGCTTTAAGACCATATATATATATATTTGTATACACGCAAGGATGCAATAATTATATTATATTTTATGCTATAATTGTCATAGCATTAAAAATCTGTGTAATTTATTACATTTATAAACCAGTTTTGAGAAAGAGAGAGAGAGAGAGCAGTTTTGACTTGAAATTTGTGCACTTTAACTCATTTTCACAATATCGTTTCATTACGAAACTTGGGAGAAAATGCACGCATCGCCCAGAAATTAGTTTATATACTAGTGTACTAATTTCTCGGCTTATTACTAACTTGATTCGAGTCACGTACGCGACAGCTGTAATTAAGGACATTACGTCTTCTGATTGCAAAAGTAAGAAATGTTGGAAGATGTAATCCACCCAGTTTTTAGAACGGATGCCACTATCTTTCGAAGATTAAATTTTATCTATACATACGTGCTGATGCAACTATATATTTTCGCTATTACTGCACTCTCTATCAGAATAAGGAATATAATATGCGATGATAATATTATACAATGATGAAAAAAGGGAGCAGCTCTCGAGTAGTAAATGTAATCCACTTAAGCAGCTAAACAAGTAGTAAACAAGAAGTGGATGAGTATAGTAAATCGGGTTTACATACAAATTGAATCAGGACAAATGTAATTACTGGATCGCAAATTATCAACATTTTAATAAATTTTTCGTCGAATCGTGCATGATAAAATTTCGGAATGTTGAACCAAATTATCTAGATTCAACTAAATTTTTTCAAGAGGTAAGATTTCAAAGAATATCTTGTTATATCTCACTACGTCATTTTAAATTGATGAGAGATACAAGAAATATCTTGAAATATTAAGAAAATATATAAGAACATGCATTAAATTTTATCTATATATTCTACAAAAATTCACTTGTGCAAAAAAAAATATCATTAAATGTATGTTTTGCTTATAGCTAGGCTATACTCTATTTCAAATCTGAATTAATAACAAAGTATGAATGCTTCTACAAATAATATACATAAAAGATTAAAGAAGAAATTTGTATTTATGTACAAGAGCTATAGTTGGGAAAGAGATATAAGATAGTATACTATATATACATATATACCTTAATAAAAATTCTTCGGGACAAGAATAGGAAATACAAAAGTGTTTGAAAAGAAACGATGCATAGTTATGTAAATTTGAGAAAACCGTTTTCAACTCTATAAAGCTCTTTTCCGGAGAAGGAGAGAGAAAAGAGTCTTATGTAAGCGAAGAAGATACACATCCGCGCCCTACCATTTCCTTCGACCATATTCGACTTACGTGTCAATCGATGTAGCAATGTTCGATAATTTATCTCGCTACAGAGATAAGCCTATTTTCTAGTAGAGATCAATATCGGAGATATATCAATTTCCCAATTGTGTGTGAGACACGTTTCCGCTTCATTCGTACGAGTTATCACGAGATTCATTCACGATACACGTATTTGCATATCAGAGAAATCAAAAAAATGGCGAGAAATCAAACTCGAACCTTTATCTTTCTCGCCATTTATTATTTATTCGTTGCTTGTCGCCCTCGCGTATATAGGGTACATCGATTTTATACGTTATGTTTCTATTATTCACTCGACAGGACACACAATTTCATATTTTATATGTCGAAAGATATTCATTCCTATAATGTTTCTTTTGACAAGTATCAACTTGGCGCCTTTGCATTTTTACGATGTGTAAATTGCCTCTCCTTCACTATAATTTCAGTTAATTCCCAACCATCGTCGGTTATATTTACCTAATTAACAAGTGGATTATATATAAATGTATTTTGTGTTCTTTTCTTTCGACAGCTAAAACATCAATTTTTTCTATATTTTTTCTTAAGAGAATTTTCTCTTAGAATTTACCCTGAAAATCATAGGAATCGTGATGAGACAATAAATTAAATAATAAAAAAATAATATTTGATTTTGATAAATATTTTAATCAGAGAAATTCATAAACGTTTAATTTCAATTGATAAATATAGCACCTCAAATAATTGAAGAACTTTTTCACACCTTTATCTCGCGTTATACGAATTCCTTTTTATTATATCAAGCATTTTATCGAACAACGCAAATTAGATGGGATTTACTATGGTCGTGCTTGCCACACCTTTTAAAGTACATGTGCAGTTGTGCACGATATAAAATGCGTGAGACAAATGTATATATAAATACGTCCTTGCACACGTGCATTTGTTGCGTCACACGACCGACATTTGTATGGTATTTTAAAATTGTAATTATATGCAATTACGTGTAATAACAAGTAAATTATAATGACCGCATTACTACGCTTGTACAGATAACACACTCAAAGATTCAAAATAAAGTAAAGATTCGCTTTATCGCAATTTTCACCCAGTTATTCTTTTTTTCTCGTATATATATAACGATTTTTACTGTAAACAAAGCTTAGTAATGAAACTCGTTTTATTGACATGTTTCAATATTTATGAGGTCATTTCCTGCTTACGCGCGTTGATTAATATATACGATGTACTTTAATTACAACGAAGGATTCTTCGAAAAGCTATTGGATCGATTACTAAAGAGAGGAGAGAAAATCCAAGTTATTTATTAAAAATCAAAGTCGAGAGATTTTTTTATAACTCAACGATCCATCAGAAATAAATTCGAAAACCGCGAAATAATCGTAATGACTCAATGATCAGTTATCTATGAGATACCGCTTCGCTTTACAATGATTCACCTTCTATATACTTTAGACATCGGTGTTATCATATCAAATGACATTCGCGCGACGATGACGTTTCAAAATGTCTTATTATTACTTGTTTTTATTTAATGAGAGAAAAATAGCGAAATCTTTTTATTTGTATATTCTTCATAGCCTTGATGAATATTACACATCTTAAGATTCTCTCGATTAGGATAAATTTATATCGTTATTCACGAGATGATCTGAAATGTTCATTCACGCACACATGCACACAAAATCACGCATTGATCTGTCAATTATACGTTGACTACGTTATTTTTATTTCTTCAACAATTCTCATGAAATGCACTCTTTATATCCAATTAGAGAATTTGTATTTCAATTGTATCGCCGCAAAAAAACAAATTCTTTTATATTTAATATCACATTTGCGCACTCGGAGAATCATTGAAAGAGAGTCTCGCAAACTATCGATTATATATATACTTATATATTAATATATATAATATATTATTTGAATGTATATGAATGTGAATGAAATATTGATGTCATTGATGTAGTGTTGTTCTTATGAATGTATCGAAAGGTTGGGAGGAGAAAAAAAGAACATTGAAATTCACATAATCATTCTATTTGGAGTGTTTACGAATGTTAAGCAATCTCTGACTTTGCTGAAGCAAACAATTGGATTTCCATAACGTTATCACATATATATGGAATAATAATACGTTTCCTGTCATACACAAGTATAATATACATAATCATCGATCGTGTGATAAAATAGATAAAATCTATAAGACACATCAATTATATAAGAATCAATTATACTCATCGTTAATGTGGTACTTATTGTTTCTGCTTTATTTTAAAAATTTTCGTAATAACGTATACAGAGAGATAGAGAGAGAAAAAGAGAGCCTAATCGCGTTTATTACGGGTTAATAGCGCACCCGTTTACAAATTTCAAGATTAAGTCGGGGCCTTATCGTTCTAAGTGTGCGTTTTATTCGAGTTTCAAACCAATTATGTCGCTCACTTAACGCAGATATCGCGTTTTGCACAACAAGCGCACTATGGAAGGCTCGTTTCCAGAAACCAAATAATTGCGACTCGGGTATAATAAGATATCGATTATCGGCAAACAATGATAAAGAGAATCTATGTCGAGAGATTAGAAATCAAATAAATTTTCCAAAAAAAAAAAAATAAAGCAAAGTGAGAAGAAAGAAAAACGTTGTATTATACAAACGGTGAACGTGTAAACATTATAAAAATATCATAAAACTATTTTAACCAAATTTTTTCAAAAAAAAATAAAAATAAAAATAAATAAAAAAAAAATTCAGTTGCACTAAAAACAAAACTGTGTAAACGCATGTGTAAATATTAATAAAAAATAGATACATCATAATAGAAAAAGAAATAAATAACATTTCTGAACGTCGACAGTCGAGTAACATCTACATATAACCGGTGCCCGGATAATTGATGTCTTATTACAAACATATGTATATAAATGTGTATCTAACGTTAAGTACAGCGTGAGTACAGTTTCGGAGTAAATCAGCGGAAACGAATGTATCACGTAACCGTATTAGCATAAGACATATACTTTACCAAGAGTTTCTAGGTCACTAATAATTTCCCATTTTTGCAAGACTTTAGAGAACTGAGAAATAAATAGACGCCACATAAAAAAAATACGTGTGCCTATCTATACATTATAATTGTATGTATATATATATATATATATATATATATATATATATATATATATATATTTATATTCACACGTACACACATACATACATTCATTCATTCATACATACATGCGCGCACACACATACACGGAACACATTTGCGCAATTTTAAATCTAAATTATAATAGCAGGATGTGTGTGTGTGTGTGTGAGAATACTTGAATCTTCGACCGCGATTCTGATTAAAAGTCGTCGAAAAGCCTCCGCGAATACATCTCGCACGATTCATTTATCGTCTTTATAATTTTTCTAATCGTATAGCGCGCAATCTCGATGAATCTTATCGTGAATAGAATGCGCTTTTTCGACGCGGATCGTGGAAAGACGAATGCCGTACGATACTCGCCGACCTGTACATCTTAAATCTCACGACTAGCTTTACGTATCGATAAAAACTATATTACAAATAAATAATGTCTTTTTTTCACGGAGAGAAAAAATCTCCACACATTGCAGCACATTGTGTGTTGAGCATACCGTGACTCGAGATGGAAATGTAATACGCGTCTAATATTTCTCTCGTTGACACGTCGATGTATCGCGAATATAGATCGATTCGGCCAACTTTATTTTCTCGTTGCGCAAATATGAGTTTTTCCATTTTTTTTATTCGTTTTCTCTTTTTTTCTTACGCTCGACGTAACACCAGGACTTGAGTCTGCCTGGTTCGTCGCCGATCATGTTAAAATTGTAACGTCAGAGGTGAGAAAACCTAGGCTAAAAACTCTTGCGTGTCATTTTTAGATAAAAAGATACCTTGATGAAACGTTACTTCAGATAGCTTTAATATAAACTTTTAAAATAGCTTGAAAACTATCTTTTTCCCTTTATAATTAATCAACAGTTGTAAAATGACTGTAATACGAGGTCCAGTCCGTTTGATCTTTGCACATGCACAGTCATTCCGTATGATAAAGTCTGATATCACGATTATTTTACAATTATTAATTGACCGTCGAGAAATCATTTTCGGACTATTTTACAAGTGCGCCGAGAGATTTGCACGAATTTTCAGCGTGTATTTTCTCACCTCTGACGTCACAATCCAACATGTATCTTTGAATTTGCATTCGGCATTTTCATTGACAAAATTTGTAATAATGAGAAGCAGAATCTTATACAATTTATCCGACATATTATATATATGTATATATATATATTCCTTGACATATCTCTGTATTGTACATAAAAAGAAGAGCCAATTACCTATCGTTAAAGTTGGACCCGTTGGATCGATTCGCGCGATAAGTTTCAAACGCGTATAACGATAAAATCGCGTACTCACATTATCTTGTAACTTGTAACACTATAGATTCCTCGTCGAAAACTTTTGTTCGGATCTCTTATCGTGGTGAAAATTGAAGTCGCAACACATATTCGCGTCGAGGAAATTCTTTCACCATTAATAATACATAGTTTTATTTGTTCGGGATTTGTCGAGTTGTAACAATCGAGCTTCGATATTAATCAATATTTTGATAGATAATCGAGTCGCAAATGAAAATGCCACAGTCAATTTCTTTTAAAAAAATGAAACAAAGACGCTCGATTAATTAAAGATTTGTTTCGCCCTTGATCGGTTATAAATTAAAAAACCACGAGTTTATGCAGGGTGTTAAAGAATTAGGAATCCATTTACTACTGTAAAAGGAGTGAAATGTTTGAAACGTCGTATTTCCTCTCTATAAAAAAAAAAATAAATAAAAATAAAAATAAAAAAAAAGTCCAATTGTTCAACACCTTGCACATTTGTTGCGAGAAAAAAGGGCCGCTAAGCTAAAAAAAAGAAGCCTCGGGACTCGGGGCATTCGACACGATCATCAGAGTCCTAGAGAGTATATATCATCGTTAATATTTGACTTTCGCCTTAACCTCCTCCGCGACGCCGCCCCATTTGAGCTTGTAAACGCGCGAGCGCCACTGTATAAGAGGATCCAGAACAGCCTGAAAGAAAAGATAGGGCCTGGTAATCTCGCTGAGCCACCAACCGCACACAAACTCGAGTTTGTTGAAGGGCAGTGGACCGTTTTGCACGACGCACAGGAGGGTCCAGTCGAACATAAACCACAAAAGTATGTGCACCAGGTAGAAAACTAGAGAGTCCCACTCAAAGAGGACACTGGCGGCCCAGGAAGCGAAGCCACCCAGAACCAGGCACTCGCTGAGCGGCTCGAAGACGATGGTGCTGGGTATCATCGCCACCCGCAGCTTCACCCATCGTCTTAATCTCGCCTGGAAGGAGGTGACCTCGCAGAGACCGCTGTTCTGCAAGGCCGGTTGCGAGGAGACGGTGATGCGCCAGCCACGATCCGTGAGCGACTTGGCGTAGAAAAAGTCCTCGGCCAGGTAGATGCCGAAGGCTCTCAGGCCGCCGACTTCGTCGAGGACGCACTTCCTCAGGAGGGCCGACATGCCGGTGTGGCAGTTGATCCTGAGGAGATCCGCGGCGAGGTATATCCGGGACTGGAACGTCCCGAAGAAGATCTTCTCGTAGGCGGCGGCGAAGCCCTCGCGATCGCAGGTGAAGGGCATCTGATGGACCAGGGCCACCTTATCCGTCATGTGATCGACCATGTCCAGGAGAGTGTCCTCCTTCATCCGGATCCCGCTGTCGCTGATGAGAACGAGCTCGTACTTGGCGGCCTCGTAGGCCGGCTGCATATTGTTGATCTTGGGATTGACCCCGACGTTGCAGCCGCCGACGAAGAGTCCGGCGTCCACCTCCGGATACTTCTCGATGAGCTTGCGCACCAGCATCAGCACCGGGTCGGAATCGTCCTCGACGCAGAAGAGCAACTCGTACCGGGGGTACTCCATGGTGAAGAAGGTCTCGAGGTTGCCGAAGAGATTCGGGTCCACTCCCATCAAGGGCTTGATGACGGAGACCCCCGGCAACGGAACCTCGTAGCTCGGTGCCTGATTCGTCTTCCGGTGTAGCTTCCAACGGCCGGCGATCAATGCCAGCACGTGCACGACCCACATACCTGCCCAGAATAGCATAAACAATATCGCGATCACGTAAAAAGTATATAACATGGAGTTCATTTTCCAGAGGACGAGCGAAGGTCCGTTTCGGCCCTCTCGCTCTACCTTCCTTTCCGCTTTTCTGCCTTTTCCGTTTGTCTCGTCGCGTAACGCAATCTCCCGGGCAATAACATGATTGTCGGCGGACGACGACGGCATCCTTCAGCTCGAGCGCGGCTGTCTACTCCTCATCCTCGCAGCGGCGACGACGACGGCGACGACGACGGCGACGGCGACGACGACGGCGGCGGCGGCAACGCTCCTGGCAACGCATTCACAACCTTTTTTCAATCCGACCCCTTTCGCGCTCTAATTCCCTCTAATTCCCTCTAGCGATAACCTCCTCCGCGTCAACTGCGCGCCGCCGACCATCTCCCGGGTTCCTGCGCTCCTGAGCTCTGGCTCTGGCTGCGCTCTTGGAAACGTGTACGGGACCTCCGTCGTGACCTCTCGACGAACCAGACGACGACATTCGTGCCGAGCATCGTCGAGCGGACCGATCTTTACCTGCCTCTGGCTCCGACTTGGGATCTTCCCTCTCGACGACGCCGCCAATTCCTCTGCCGGCGTTCTCGTTGCCGATGTCGTTGCCGTTGCCGATGCTCCTCGAGCTAGCTCGTGGCATTGACGCTTTCCTCTCTCGACACTATCGCACCGCTGCGATCTCTCCGGTGTTCATCCGCGTGCGTGCTGTTCCCCGTTCCTGGGTGTCGGGTGTCGCGCGAATCGAGCGATGGAAAGCGAAAGGGACCCAAGCCTCGCGCACGGAAAAGCGGAACGTCTCGCCCCGAAACGAACTTCTCCCCACTCCATCGGAACGTGACGCGCGCAGTGACGCGTCGACTCTCTCTGTCTCTCCTCTTTTTTTCTCTCCCCGCCGCCGTCTCTTCTTCGTTCGTGCATGCGTGCCAGGAGAACCGAACTTTTATTTCGTCACGGATGACTCACGCGTGCATGTCCAACGAGCAGCCATTCGACTACATGCGTAACAACGTATCGAAAAGTCTACAAAGCAGACGACCTCGAGTCGAGGGAGATAGCTGCCAAGAGGGTGATGCCGTTTCTATTTTTATATCGGAGAAATAGAGAGCGAAATACTGAAATACCGAGGATCGCGGAACGAGAGAGAGAGAGGGCGTCACCCTCTTCGAGACCAGACGTTTTTATTGGTGGGCCTTCGTCCAATAATATCGCGTAATTCGATGCGGGCGGGCAGATTTAGTTTCTCAATTGTCAGATGACGCTGTTCATAATTATTATGTATTTGCCTTGGCATTTATATTATTATTTTATCACACATTTGTTTTGTTACTATTATTACGAGAGCGATATGTAAATAATACAGTTAAATGTCGCGGTAATAGGGTATAAATATATTTCCAATTTCTGCTAAGAGACTCATGTCCTGAACTTCTTAAAAAGAGGATGCTTATTTGCCGTCGACGAGCCAGGACCTTTCTTGCACTCGTAATAGACCGCGTCATCCGCTCCCGACATTGATGTCATAGTACCAGTTTTACGTATAATCTACAAACAAATTTTACTACTTTAGTACCTACACACATTTTAATACATATGCGTGTTTCTAATTTCATTATTTTAACAGTTTCACGAAATCCAATCTATTCATTCTACACTCGACGTTGTACTCACCGGTCTGGGTCCTTCGTTAGGTATTCTTTCTTCATCCGCATCTGTGTCGCTGGCTGTTAAAACTTGCTGCAACAATTGACCTTGTTCTTCTCGGTTCCCGTACATTAGATCCGGCTCCTATTTAAAGCAAAATTACGTCTCATTAGCGTATCCTTAAATAAGAGTGCAAATACTTTAGAAGCACACATAATTGTCTTGTCGACTGTAGCCTCACCTCATCCATGCCTGCGAGTTTAGTGATAACTTTGTAGGCATATCCTTGATTTACGAGAAACCGTTGACGCTTCCTCGAGTAATTCATTTCCATCGTATCTTGGGATACGAGCGTGTAAAAGAATGCGTTGTACTCTTCCGCAATTGCTCCTACAAATTACAATATAACAATACATTTTCAATTACGATAACTCGACGTTCGATAGACGAGCAAATTCTCTATACCTTTTTAGCTCTAAGAATACGTCCTAATCGTTGTGCTTCTTGTCTTCTAGATCCGCCGTGGGATGAAATTTGGATCAAGACGTTAGCCTCTGGTAAATCGAAAGAAGTATCTGCCACTTTGCTGACAAATATCGTGTTCACTTTCATGTTAAATTTAAAGTTTTGCAAAATGTGTATTCTTTCGCTCTAAAAGTGGTGAAAAAAAGATGATACTTTGCTTGCAAAGTAATAATTTTACACGTCTTAAAAATCATCGCGTGCTTACGACTTACCTGAATGGTAGGACCGTAAATGTACGGTTTATTCATTTTCACAGCATAGTGTTTCAATGCAAACACATTGTCGGAAAAGACAATTGTTTTATCGCCACGTCTTTCGTGATATCGAATTAAATATTGACAGCAACGAAATTTATTTGGATTCATCACGTACAGCAACTGAAATTATTAAGAGAAGATACATAAAAGAATTATAAGAGATCGTAAAAAATATAATAGTAATGATAAATTATGTCTCTAACCAGTTTTCTGCTCATCTTGCAGCTAAGATACTCTCTGTAAAACTCTGGCGTCATGGGGCACCAAACTTCTGCACATTGCACCCTTGCGATAAATCCTCTCTTTTGCAATTCTAACCAGTTAGCCTCGTATAATTTAGGGCCGATCAAAAAATTTAAATCAGCAATTTTGTCGTCCTCCCGCAAAAGTGTCGCCGTTAAACCCAACTTGCAGTGAGACTGAACAATCGTTAATACTCTGCGAAACATTTTGGCAGGAATAGTGTGTACCTCTAAAAATAAATATTACAATTATTATATGTAGAAATCACAGTGTTACTTTTTGTTTGAAATAATACGAATAATGAAAGATTTACCATCCAAAACCATAATACCCCATTCCTGTTCTTGAAGCCAACGCATCGTGTTTTCGGCGTCCCAGGAACGTTTTTGAGTGTGCGTAATCATAGAATATGTGGTTATCAATATGCCACAACCCATAAATTTATCCTTTGCTTCGCTAGTAAATCGGCAAATCATTGAATCGTCAGCGGTGGACCACATTTTAAATTGCTGTTTCCACTGTTCTACGGATACACCAGAGTTGCATAATACTAAAGCGCGTTTACGTACAGTACAGCAGGCCGTCACTCCAACTAAACTTTTACCAGCGCCTACATTTAGAATAATAGATTAAAAATTCTCATTTTCTGAGGGATTATCTTATATATTCAATATGGCTAAAAGTATTATCAACCCACTTACCACAGGGTAAAACTATTACTCCGGATCTAGCTCGTCCATTACCAAACATTTTCCGCAAACTCTTTTCTTGGTAAGGCCTCAATACAGCTGATGGTTTCAAGTCAATGCTAAAATACAAATTACAAAGTGTTTTTAATTTTTGCCAAGGAACGAATCATAATGTTTTTTATAAATATTACTTACTTTATGTCTGGATTTACACTGTCATTACGGAAATCGTATTCTGCTAATAAAGGATGCTCGAGTTCAATGCAACGTTTTTGTATAACTTCAATTTTTTCCTTTAAAAGATGACAACATATACGATTTTTAAGATGTACTTTATATATATATATATATATAAAATAAAATATTTTAAAACATAGATACATACCTGATTCACCTCAAAACTAACTGTCTTTAATTCTTGATCTTCATCTTCATCTTCATCATCTTTATCAATTTTGTCATAAAAAGCAGTTATATCTTCTGGAATGGTAGCTGTTTCTGCTATTATTTGATCAGGTTCAGTCTCTGAAGTTGTTTTACTAGGAGCTGGAGTATTTGTGAGGGCTTTTGCTCCAAACTGTAATCCAATACATAGAAATAAGTATTTTATTACCGTATTAGAAACTATTCAATTCATAATTAGCACATCTCTATTTCTACAGACCTGTGGAACTTTTGTTTTAGTTTGAACACTCGTGACAATATCATCGGTCTCTGTATCTTCCATAATCTTCCTCAATCGACATTCTTGAATAACTGGATCCTTTAGTAACTTTTGCAGCACTTCGGGAAATGGTGATTCGATAAAATATTTATTATGTTTTAAAACTAATTTGACCTGTGAAAATGTTTAATATTTTATCTCGTTTGTTTCTCAACATTAAATAAACTTATTAAAATTATCTTTCCTTACTTTTCCATAGGATAATGTACACAGTTTTATAAACTCTATTATGCCATCAGGAATACTGGTTTTACTTAATCTCTTTAAATATTCTATTATATCTTGCGTTTGCAGGCCCACGCTAACTGCAGCATAGAGCGAATACGCAGTCAGTTTGTACTGAAAAGAAAAAAATTGCATCACATATATCCCTTCCTCTCTCTAATAATATTTTATTTGCTGTCGATTAAAATTTTTTTATTCATACTTCGTGAATAAATTCTGGCCGGCATACAGGTTCCGATATAGCTATTAAGAAATCATGAGCATGTTTATACACAGGAGAAAAGGATTCCAAAAAGATGTGTCCATTTGGTGCCTATAAAAAAATGCATAGCCTGTTAATGCTTATTTTATGTGCGACTTGAAACATTTCTTTACAAAATAAATTCAACTCTTTCACTAAATTTGTGTAAAATTTTAGTCTTACCACCCATAATGGTCTAGATGCGCAATCTGGCTTTAAAGTCATTTGCAAACGATAATCTTTCGCTCCAAACTCATCTTCAAGAGCACCCTCATCTTGCTTTTCCACATCATTCTTTGCCGCATCTGGCACACCATCTGCTTCATTACTGTCTATCGAATCATCGTCGTTGTATTTATCGTAATCGTCTTTGCGCTTTTTCAATTTACCTTTATTTTAATAAACATAGTATTAGTAAATGCAAACGGGATGTAAAGTATAATTATTTTTGTACAATAAAATATAATTAAATTATCAAAAAAATATAGAGAAAAAGAAGTGAATTCGGGGAAAAAAATAACAAAACAAATAGGCTCTAATATAAAAATTCAATTTGTAACGAAAGATAACCTATGGACAAACATGGATTACACTTACTGTTATCTTTCTTAATTCGCTTTGGCGGACCCATTATTGAAAGATAGCGTAATTAAATAAATCTCGGTTACGATTACGTTATGCTAATTTTCCTTGTGAATGTTGTCGATCAATGTTATCAAAAGGGACATAACAAAGATCGAACACAAATCCACACGAATCTATGGAGATTTGAGGTCTGACACATAGCCTCAACATATCTCGTCGTTTTAACATGGGTGTGTTCGGAAATCTTACGGTAGAATAAAGAACTGAGACTATAGGATTCTAATTTGAATCTCTGCTCTATATTAATACATTTTTAATGACAATATATATAATAAATTTCTTAATAAAAAGTCAAAATTTATTTACAGAAAGAATATTTACATGTATGCATCCAAGCATTTTTGGATGTATAGGATAGAACAAATCCTGAGATATCATCGTGAAATGATGTTACCACTTGCTGAAAGACTTTCCTCATCGATCACTCCTAAGAAATAGAGACCTACTAAAGCGGCGCCTTGTTCAGCCCATTTTTATTTTTTTCCCTGAAAAGAGAAAACATTAAATGAAAAAGTAAAAACAAAAGAAGTTTCTTTTTAAATATATAACTTACCAGAAGGAGGAACCATACTTTCTACCATCGACAGTAACTATAGAACAAAAAAGTTTATCTTCTTGCCGAGTATTGTATACTGGCATTTTTTTACGATTTTCCTTGGTCCACTTGAGTAATCTGGTCTTTGGCAGTTCAGAGTCTGTCGAGTAGCTGTTTCTCAAAAAAGCACAACGCATCAGAGAAACATCGCTGTCTTCATAAATTTTTCTTTTCTGAGAAAAATTATTGTCCTTTGTATCTTTGTCGAGCATTACTGGCATTACTTGAAATCGACCTAACAAACCCTTTTCTCGAAATTCCTTATTTTTGGATCGGCAATAGTCACCCAATCCCCATACTTCACTGAAAAACATGTTTTTAAGCAAAAATAGAGACAGCAAAGAAAAAGAAAAGAATATATTTGATATCCAATCCACTCACCATATTTGTTCCAACGTTTGCGAATCGAGAAACTTTCTCCCTAGAGGAGATTCCTGAAGTTCCCGTAGAATATTCTGTACGCAATATTTCGTATTGGAAGGTGAATTGTCATAATCAACTGCGTACTTTAAATATGATTTTATGACACTTTCCATTGGTAGCAGACCATCTTTACGAAATATCGAGCAGTTCCATTCAGCTGCGCGAGCGAGCATCACACTGCTACAACCTGTTTCCTCTTTAAACCTACAGAAACAGATCGAGTAAAACTCTTGGTTGAAAGTTGATGGATATTTGATTGATATGCCAAAATATTACCTAAATATGTCGGAATGACGTTGAATATCTTTGGAGCCACCATTCGCAATAACTGGTATCGAGAGCCTCTCCGAAATCTGCTTGAGAACATGATTTCGATTGGGATGTTGCGGTCTCTCCTCAATTGTGCGACCATGTACGGCAATAGCTTCAATACCAGTAGAAGTGAGAATATCACAAAGTCGGAGAGTCTCTTCCAGATTAGGCAAAACACGTATTTTACACGTAATTGGTATCGTTACAGTTTTAATTAGTTTTTGCAGAATACTGGTTGCCTTTTGTGGATCGTTGAGAAGAGAGGCGCCCATTCCTCCGAGCATTGAAAATTTCTTTGGACAGCCCATGTTAATATCTATCCCGGCAACATCCTTTTCCACCATACGAGCGACTTCGGCAGCTCTTGAAGGATCTGACGTACCAATTTGAAGAACCACGTGCTCTAGTTCTCGAGGACAAGTTCGAAACACTACGGTACCATCAGTCTTGTCGATGTAATCGATTGTGCCCAGGACATCTGTGAATCGAATAACAATAAATAAGATTCTAAAGACAAATTAAATCAGGGAACAAAGATTTTATTATATATATGTAAAGTTTATATCAGCTTCTCGCCAAAAAGGGACACAATTCATCCATCCATTCCACTTATTGCTCTCTCTCTCTCTCCCTATCTACTATATTATTTCTTTTCCTAATAAAATAAAATAAATATTAACCTAATAAAATTAATAAATATTAACCTAATAAAATTAAATTACAATTAAGTTAAATAATAAAGATCTTATTAAAATTAGACGAAATATAAAAATTAAGAAATATAATTATAGAAGAAATGCAATTTGGCTTTTTCAAGAAATGTCATTTTATTTGACTGTATAAAATTGAAGCCAAATGAACAACTATGTGAGAGTTTAATACGTAACAAACTTTTGCATATTATTTCCAGTTGTTGAGCAGAAAAGAATGCATTTTACCATTCTCGCGACGAATCGAACGAAGCAATTTTCTATCGATCAGCTCCTCGGTGTAAACTATGTCCGCACCGTAATCCAGAGCGAGTAAACGCATTGGAAGCGTTCCGATACGCACCATAGGTGCCAAAATGAGTTTGTTGTCATATTTGAGTCTCGCTCTTGAAACCGTGATCGACTCCTTTTCCATTTTATCACGAGGACGATGGATCGCAGCAATTCATGCAGATATTTCCATATGTCAATTCATCCACGTGGACCTATATATATGTGTAGTATTAATAAGAGAAACTTTGACTATCCAAATTAATGTTTTCCTTGTTTACTTACTCGATTTACTCTGTCATATCGGACAAAACCTTGCATGGGACGCCGGTGCACAATTGTTTTATGAAAAACTTGTTGCTTTATTAAAAACGAAGATCAAGGAAATTTTTATAACTTTTAATCTTCTGGTATCTTGTTTTCTTTTTTCGAAGTAGAGAGGTTAAAACCATGTGAATGTATGTGTGCGCGCGCACACAACCTTGACACTTGTCAACTTTCTTCATTCACCGCCAATTTCATTCTTTACTATATATATGTACACAAGGGTGCGTTCGAAAATCCTACCCAATCAGAAGAAAGAAATCGTCGCTTCTTCGCGCCGATTGGTCAGATTAAACGTCACTTTGTCCCGCGAATAGGATTTTTGAATGCGCCAGAATGCGTAGACTGGTTTAAATTTCTAGTCAAGTTAGGTAAAGTGCGTAGTTGTGTATGCGGCGTTTTCATTCTTTCTATGGTTTCATGCACCTTTTCCAGAATAATTCGCGACGTCGTGGAATTGGTTTGCCATTTTAACAATGACATTTTGTTTAGCACACGTGCCCGCTTTTATTCGCGATTAAACTAGAGAACTTACAAAAAAGAAAAAAAAAGAAAAAAATAGTGACAAGGGTTCGAATGGAAAATTCGATCCGTCCTCGATTAGGCCAGCGAGACGCAACGAAACGGTGATCATCATGGTAAACGCGAGCAGCGTCGTGGCGCATTTCGTGAAATTGTTGGTGACCGCGATATGCATGAGGCATCTCGCCGAGCCCTATCGGGCAAAGGCCTCGCCGACTACGTGGTCTCTGCGTGCCTTTCGAATTCTCTTCATGCATTCGATCCTGGGAATCTTCAGATTCGGTAAGACGCGCTTATGAGTATACACTCCTTTTTCTGGAAGCAAAAATCTTATTTCTATCAAAACGCAAATACATCAATTTCGTCTACTTTAAACAATTTTTTTTATTTTTTTATTTGTTATTTTCAGCTTATTTATTTTTAACCACCTCCCTCGCATTTCTGTGTTTCTTCGAATAATTTCTTCTCTAAATAATTAATTTAATATATATATTATATATATATTGTATATATATTATATATATATATATATATATATATATATATATATTACATCTTTACACAAACATCTTTTATAACCTAATGATTTGGTAGCATATTGTGTGTATTGCACATTTTTTCATAATCTGCCTTTTTCAATCGCTATCCTATTCGTTCAAAGCTTAATAACTTGTAGGTATGGACCATCTAAGATTCCATGTCATAACTTTGGGGGGAAGGGGGTCACAGCGAAGAGCGATTGATACAATATGACACATGGCCACACATTAATTTTTGTGTCTAAATCAAGAATGGAAGAAGAAGATGTATTTTCCATTTATCAACGAATTAAGGATTTACGGTAATTTGTTACAAATTATTTCCTACAGTTGGAACAAGTGAGGAATCATTGTTAAAAAATGTATTTTAATTGTATCTTTGAGATTCCTATAAATTATTTAATCATGGCCAAATTACTAGCAATTGTATTTTATAGCTATTTTATATCATTTTATAGTTTTACAAATTTTGTTCAGACTTTTGCACACTTTTTTTCGTCTTTAATGCTTTCAACGATATTCAATCTTATTTGAAGCAATACGCAATATTAAAATATTGTATACACACAAGCATTCAGTCTATAAGCTTTTACGTGCACCTTTGTTGGAATGTTTAAGCACATATATTCATGGCACATATAACATTTCACATAAAAGTTTTTCATATCTAACGTGAGTTTTAGCCAGCACTATTTCTTTTTTTTCTTGTATATTATTTTGTACATAGTTATTATTTCTTACATGTTCCAACACAGTCAATGAGGCAATCTAATAATTTATGGTATGGTCATGTGATCAAATTACGTTTGTTTATACACTGTTTTTCTACAAACTACAGCACAGTTATAACATTGAATCTTGTATCCTTTCAATGCCTATTTAACTTAACACGATTGTATATTAATCCTACATTTATTTTTTTATCATATAATTTTAATATTTTCAGGAGTTCCGTTTACTTCGTCGTCGACACCTACAGCGAAATATTTTCGAAGCTTTTACGATTGGTTTTCCAATGTCATTGAAATTGTTCCCTTGGCATTGCTGACTTCTGGTATATTGAGTGCATATCAAATAGACGAAAAGATACGTATGCTCTTACTATTTCTTGGTACAATACCAATATTTTTTCCATTAGCGATAAAACAGAAGGAAAAAGAAATTAGAAAGCTCCGTTTTCTAACTAATATCACTATCATATTACAAATATTGCCGATAATGATACTTGGTTTACAAAACGGCAATTATAATGTCATTAGTTTGGTTGCTTCCTATACGTTTGAACGTTTCTTCGTGGAAGAATTTTGTTATCGATATAGCATACCGTACACTGACTTGATGCAATATTGTATATGCTTTGTCGAGGTCTTTACAGTATCGACGTTGCAGGAATTGTAAGAATTATAAGAGTTTAATTTGAATTGACTTTATCGTCTATTCAAAGCAGTTGTCTTTTGATATTTAACAAATTGTTTGATTATATTTGATACAAAGATATATATTTGATATGTCAATTCTCAGAAATGGCCTAAAGAATCTGTGCCACAGTTACAATAATCTTTCAACTATTGTTCTATAAATATAGATTTATAGATGGCATAATATCTCCTAGTGATAGCATTATTTTCATCAAGTCAAAGTAAATGTTTACGAATTTTCATACATTTATGTGCATTGCAAAAAATACTGCCGATTTTCAAAGTAAGATATGTCAATTACAATTTGTATAATATGTATAAAAATTATGTCGGTTTTTTTTTTTTTTTTTTTTTTATTTTTTTTTGCACAGCCAAAAAAATTAATACTCTTTTTTAGAAAACCGTTTAATATATTCTAATGTTACTAAATTGTTCTAGCAAAAAAAATAGCGCAGAATTTTCTGACATAGTCAATATAAAAAAATAACTCGAATTACTGAATATTCTTTGAAATGACAAGAATTAAATGCATAATATATTTGTCGATCTAACTTATGTAATCAATTTTTTTATCTACGTAAAACTTGCATAAAAAGGAAAATATTTAATCGCCGGCCTATTTAAATATTATAGATATATATGTATGTGTATAATACACACAACGGCCATAAAATACGATGTTTTCATAACTAATAGAGGCTGATGGAGATTTATATTCTGCGTTTGCATATATGAAACAATTTGTTTGAATAATTTATTGCTTAGGTACAGTAAGGATAATAATATTTTTATCTGATAATATGTTATTAGAATTGTTAAGATTATATCTAATTCAGTAATGGATAATAGCGCCATCAAAGCACAATTCTCTGACAGGGAAACGCTCCAATTTTAAGACTTGTGTACTACAATTTATCTACGATTTACTAACGAAACATTTTTACCTGATAATATTTTGATAAGTGATATAAAATAATGATAATTTCTTTCCATAAGATTTTGCTACAAGTTTATCAGAGAAATGTATCACGTCTTATAAATGTAAAATTTTTCTACATACAAACTTGACTGTGTCATTTATTTATTAATACTAACACGTCCACGTACGTTAAGTGACTGTTATTCTCCGCAAACTTGTCTCTAATTTAATATTTCTACCTCTACCAATGTAGTAAATTCTTAAAATATAGTAAAAGATATTTCCAATAAGATTATTTAACGCAGTACATTTTGTTATATATATATATATATATATATATATTTTCAGTAGTGGGAAGGCCACGATAATATCGTTATAATAGAGACGAGCACAATTTACCTCTTTATATTGTACAACACATGAATCTTTTTCCAGTTATTCGCGATTAATAAGAACCTTAGGAATGAAGAGAACCATCGGAAAGAATACCTCTGACCTATTTTTTCCCTCCGACTGGAAAATGCGCGGGAAGATGATGAATCGTTCGCGTCAGGAGAAATAGCCCACGATATATTTTTACATCATTCTAGCTGCATGCTAGGCATGTTGTAACGGTTTGCAGCCACGGAACGCGTAGGCAGCGACCTAAGAACGGTAATACGTTGCCCTATTTCAAGAACTTGGAGTATCACCCAATAAACGATTATATGGAATGGATCGCGCGCACATGTCATAACGAGGGCACAATTTTTATTTTTATCAGAGGTGCGCACGTGCGAATATTTTCAATTCATCCTGTTTATTTTAGTTTTTTTTTCTATCAAAACTAATATATAATTAATTAATGTCAAAAAAACTACATAACTAATTATAGCGATAGCCACTTTAATATTATTTATAATAATATTATATTCTCTCTCTTTCTGTTTTGGTTCTCGTGTGTATGTAATATATAAATTTATTCAAACACTATAAATACTTGCCAAATCTTACACATATCTTTTCTATATGTACCATTTCTTAGGCAAACTTGAAAATAATGTAAACTATCGGTGCTATTAATTTTAACTCTTTTATAATTGAAGTTTTTAACATACTCTGATATTAATAATTTTGTTCTATAAACGTAGATGAGAGAGTATATAGTAAAGAAAAAGTCTATATACACTTATATAAAATAGATATTTTTCTGAATATTCTAAAAATGTGCTTCATAAAGCGCTCGATGAACTCGATTTTCTCTTCAACGAAAATATCTCTGTCAATCGCATCGAAGCTGATATTATGCATCGACCTTCGCATGAAACGGCGTGAAGAGGCGTAGGTACTCATTTATAATATATTTCATTTTTCGTCGGCGTTGCGCTCTATTTTTGCGTCCACCGACTTTCTAGCTGGTTTAGCCGATGACGGAGAGGAAGTCTTTATACCGGGACGGAAGAAGCGATTCTCTTCAAGTGTCCGTCGTCCGCCGCGTTCGTACGCTCACGGTTTCCCTAATACGGCGTAAAAAGTCCCCTTATTAATCGCCATGGTAAGAAGATAAAGACACTTTATTCCTTAAAGAAAAAAAAATAGTGCAATTTTTTAAGATTCGACTTGCAAAAAAGGCTGTAAGAGTGTCGCACATATTATTCGATCAACGATATTTGAAACGTTACCAGTTCTATTTATAAGAGAGAAGATATTTTTCCTACTCTTCGGAGAATAAAAAATGTTATTTAAGAATCTCTTCGCAAAGAAATGCTGATATTTTAAATCTTGGCGTGCGCGCCCTTGCGGCCTTTTTTCTTCGATTATAAATAAGAGCAATATGATACATCGGGTAACACTTGAAGAGATAAAAAGTTTTCTATACCGACATACACACTCAACAGGAGGAAGAACAGGATCAAAAAGTGGCCGTAATGCGTAAAGCATTCCAAATGTTCGATACAACGAAAAGCGGTTTCATCGAAACCATGAAGATCTCGACAATACTAAACACAATGGGGCAACTATTCGATGATGGCGAATTAAATTCTTTAATCGAGGAAAATGATCCCGAGGGCTCTGGCAAGGTGAATTTCGACGGTTTTTGCAAAATTGCCGGTCGATTTCTTGAAGAGGAAGATGCTGAAGCGATGCAGGAGGAACTGAAAGAGGCGTTTCGATTATACGACCGTGAAGGCAACGGATACATTACTACGGCTACCTTGAAAGAGATTTTGGCAGCACTCGACGATAAACTCACCAGCTCTGACCTTGATGGAATAATCGCAGAGATCGATACGGACGGCTCCGGTACAGTGGACTTTGACGGTGTGTATAATATATCATACGACAGAAATGATTTATCGTTTGGATTGTGATGGACGTTTGATCCGTTTGCAGAATTTATGGAGATGATGACTGGAGAATGATCGCGAACAACGACGGATTGCACAATCGCTAAAAAGGCAATAAACTTAATAATATTTTTTCGTAAAAGTAATTATTCTATTTTTATCGTTAATTAATCCTTATAGTTGTAAGAGAGCATGAAATCGATAGGAAATGTAAGGAGGTATGTATGAAAGAGACAGAGAGAATTGTGTACGAGTAAATATCTAGATATCTGCGTTTTAGGGCAATTTATTAATTGCATTTGCTATATCAAGAAATATTTTTTGACATTGAAAAAATAAAAAAAAAATGCTCTTGTTTAAACATCATCGTTACAGATGACAATGTCGCATCTATTAAGTCTGATTTATAGGAACATTTTTCACTGATTGTTCACTTCGTTGGTAGGTTGGCCTTTATGATGAATGTAGACCGTTTGTACATGTAAATTAGGTACGGAAAGAGCGCTAGTGCTCAAGGGTCTGTCAAACGGATAGCCGAGGGGCTTACCGTCGAGAGAAATAGCACCACCAATAATTTGGGAGATGTGCTTATTCTGGTAGTATTGGTGGACAGAACTGTCTTGTATCTTTTGTCCTTGACTGAAGATACCTTGGAAACCGCCAGCGTGATATTGTCCCCTACCAATGTGTCCTGCACCGTATCCTTGCTGCTGTTGGCTCTGTCCTTGGTAGGTAGTTTGGTATTTACCATGAATTCCAGACTGAATGCCACCAACATTTTGCAGACCTTGTAATTCTTGTACGTTTTGCGTTACTCCTTGTACACCTTGTACGTTCTGCTGTACTCCTTGTACGCCTTGGTTGTTTTGTTGTGTATCTTGTACACCAGTTGGCACTACATGGTGGACTCCGCTGTACTGTTGTCCCTGGTGGATGCCTTGAGATTGACTCCATTGCTGTTGTTCTTGGACGTTTTGGGACTGTTGTTGCCACGATCCATGCACCCATTGGCTTTGTACCCACGGGCCAACGTTTTGTTCTTGTCCTTGTACTTGTCCCTGGCCGACTTGATATTGAGTATGCGTGTACGGATAGTGTCCGTGTTGTTGGGTGTAGAGATTGGCATAATGGTTCCTTACAGCTGTAAGGAAGAAATGACTCAGTCTTTTGGTGCTATTTAATAACGAACAATTTTGTCTTTGTGGCATCGATAAGGTACCTTGATTTATTTGCTGATTGATTGGCAGAACTTCAGGCACAACTTCCACAGTTTGCTGCAGACCCTTGATATTTTGATGTTGAACCTGTTGGTATTCCTCGGTGCCAACTACTTGATATTCATTTTGTTGGTACGTTTGGAATTGTTGCGGGATTACTGGTCCATAAGAGGGGCTTTGTTGTCCTGGCTGAGAAATTACAACAAAGAATTGAACTGGGAATCCTTGACCCTGTTGACCTTTAGGAAGAGCCAATCTAGCCGGGAAACCAAAGAGTTGTTGCGGCTGAAAAAATATTAATGTTTAATTTCGCGTTATACTCATCGAAATAATCATATAATTGTGAATTATTTATACAGGAGAAAAATAATCACCTCGGTGATGTAGTATGGTTGCTGAGCGTGGATAGCGTTGTTGACGCTCTGCTTGATTTCTTGAACAGATGGGTAATCGAAGCTATGGCTTGGCGCCTGTTGAGAATTCCTGACAATGACGTTCTGTCCTTGTTGAACTGTAAAACGAAGAAACAGTTTTAATCTGTTTGATTAAGAAGACAAATTGACGAGATAATCTTGCAATCGAAAACATACGGTCGGTTGTAAATTGATCGAGTTCGACGAATTGCTGTCTATGTTGAGAGATGCTGATGGGCTTGCCCTGATAGTCGTATTTCGGTCCCAAGTAGACGCGGACGACGGCACCGGGAACGTTCTGCTCGCTCTGAACAGTGATCTTGTACTCGTATGGTGTATGATCTAATCTCTTCAAATGTCCCTTGATTTCTTGCTGTTGCTGTTGTTGCTGTGCTGTTGTTGCTGTTGTTGGACTTGTTGCGGACCAGTTTGCTGTTGAGCGCTTACGCTATCCAGATCAACGTAGTAATCGTTGAAGAAAGTCTCAAGTGGGCTAATCTGGACGTTTTGGATGCTAACGCCGGATAAAACGACATCGTTGTACTGGTATGCGGGCAGAGAGTCCTGATATTGATGGAACAATTGGATGACTTTTTTGTAAAGCTGATAGAAAGCTGGGTCTTGAACGGCGGTATTTCCCAATTCCAGAACAGAAGGAGTGTAGTCGTAGATGTTCTGTACTTCAGGGGCGTTACCAAGGAGTTGACGCGCGGCTGCTTGAAGATTACCATAGTACCTGTAGTAAAAAACATCATCATAAGTATCATATAACATTGTTGGATATAATCAAGCGATTAATAGAATAGAAGATTAACCTTGGGTTAACGCTCTTGCCCGTTCCTTGGATAAGTTGTCCAAGAATGTTCAAACCTTGCGGCTGATAGAGGGAGAGGAAAGCACCTTGCGGAGTGATGACATGGCCAGACTCAATAGCTTCAATCAATCTTTGTTCGATTTTCTTAACAGTCTTGATAAGCTCATTCTTGTGAGGGCTGAGCTGAAGATTCCAGGGACGTGAAGGAAATTCGAGTCCGTTGATGTGTCGGAGATGCGGTTGGTACGGCGCGTTTACGTTGATGTAATCGGTGTTTTGAATCGGGCCAAGTCCGTTTGCGAGACGGTTCAGCTCGTAATGGGCCAGTAGTTGTCGGTGAAGGTAATAGTAGAGAGATCCCTGGCCTATTTGACTTTCCTGATTCTGAACGTTTTGATACTGCACCGGTGTTTGCTGTTGCTGTCCATTATACTAAAATTATATTTATAATATATCGGGCATGCGAATAGACACATCAGTAAGACTAATACATTTTTCTCATTTTTTATGCGAGTAAAAGTTTCAAATAAATATTTGTTTAAAACACGCGTACCTGTTGCAATAAGGATCCAGCGAGATTAACGAAGGTGTAGTAGTTGGAAAGGCCGATGTCTTGCGTAAAGTAGGAAAGCTGATGTTCACCGTTGAGCAAATTGGAGGAATAGTTCACGGGAATAACAACGGGGCTTTGTTCAACAACGCCTTGTGCAACAACATTTTGAACTTCTTGGATGATCCTAGCATCGAAATAAGACTGAGGAATAATTTCATAAAGAGGCGGCAGAATGACACCCTGGGTCTCTGGGTGTTGCAGAACAGCTGAGATGAAAGCCTTGACGAATTGTCCTTCGTTAACGTGAACGCGGGCCCAAGCAGCGGTTGCCAAAAATGTCTGATAATTTTTGGCACCTAATAAAATTCTATAGAGAAGCGCGACCTCCTTGCGAAGTTGACTAACGCTGCTGGAAAAAGCAGTGCCTTTCGGTTGTACTAGACCGGCCTGCACAGCACCTGCATAGTACTTGACAAGGATCGGATTTTCATACTGTTGCCAATTGCCCTGGATATCATAGGTAGTGCCAAGGTTCTGCAGATGTTCGCTCGGGATTTCTTGGGGAATCTGTTGCAATAGCTGGATAACGTGTTGCTGCTTCTGCAGAAGATCTTGATCAGCTTAAAAAAAAAAAGAAAAATGATCGATTATACATTCTATGTGGACATCGGCATACAACGATGTGTCATCTTTTAGACAAATATTAAAATTTAATTAAGAGAGCGCAACTCCTGATCGCACCATGTCCAAAATTGAATAAGACGTCTTTAAGTTGTTTTTAAGATTTCTCATAAAGATGATGTCTTATGCACCAATTTAAACCTGGTGCTGTCTGGGACATTAATAAATGGTATTTTGAAGAATATTTGAATAAGAATCGCTCGGACGAAAACCAAATAAGAAAGAGGAAGAAAGTAAAGTGACAATGACTTACCAGCACGTTGCTTCTGCTGTTGCTGCTGATAGGGCAGAGCCGCCCCAAAAGCTGCTAGAGCCAGTAGAACGATCGCGCACCTCATTGTGATGCTGTCAATGCCGTCTGCCGCATGCTGTTCACCGAGCAATGCGAGTCTTATATACCAAAATCGTATCGGACAAAGACATTATCGGTAACGACCCGGTTGACCCATCGCCGTGTAAGAGTCCATCTGTTTACGTGCGATACCCCCTGCTATTTCGGATTCGAATCCGTCGAAGCTAATCAAAGGTTAAACCAAATGATAATCATTCCTCCGGCGCGAAGCAAGACCAAATTGCATCATCAGTTACGGAATTAAAGTTTCATATATAACGTCTTCGTTCTCGTATTTCTTATTTAATTCATTTTATAATTATATTTTATTGCTTTGTCACTCATATTTTATTACCTACTTTAATATTGCCATATTTTTATACAAATATCGATTTTGCGTCAAAAATAAAAGTTTACTGCTCAGTAGTTTCGTCCCTTTAAATATGATGTCATTTTGATGATGCAATCAAATGCAGAACGCGAGAGTATTTTATACAAGAATAATTCCAAGTATAAGAAATTGATTTCTCTCATCTCTTTTTATCTTTTGATTATCTTCTTCTTTTCTTTATGGCTGGGTGGGCTTCATATCACTTTTGATTATAATAATAGATAAAATATGCGAATAAACTTGATTGTAAAGTCGATCTTTGTAGATCTCGTAAATCAATTATATATTTATATATTACAAAATTGATTTATTTTTAACTGAATAACACAATATTATTGAATAAATAACTGCATCGATATAAAAAATATAAATAACATGTACAAAGTAACAAAGTACACAAATAAGGGATACCGTGAATTCTTTTTAAAATATACGATGAGAGAATAAAATCTTTTACTTCCATTAATGATAAAGAAACAAATAAATATTAATTAATTACTAGGATTTGTCTAAATAATTTCTGTAGTAAATTATACAATTTAACAAACGTGTAGTTGTTATGCGTTTGACTTATTTGTGCTTCAAACTTCTATTCGTCGAGGCTTGATAATTGGCCATTATCTCATATGTTCTTATGTAATTCGCGTATCTTTGATTAAAACATTTTAAATTCTTTATAAATATGTATAAATTTTTAAATTAGAAATGCTCTAGTCGATATATATATTTCAAGAAATTCGAGAAAGAAGAAAAGCGGTATTTCAAATTTTGTCATTTATTATATAATATTTATATTATTATAATATAAAAGATATAATAGAGAATATAACATATTGTAAAATTAATATAGATTTGTATATGTAGAAAATAAGTAATAATTAAAAACAGATAATTTATTATATAACAAAATTATAATTATAAAATATTTTATTTATTAAAAATTGTTTAATTTTAAATATCTTTAAAAATTGTATAAACAGGCAATAATGCTCAACGAGTGATGTATTTACCTTTATTCTCTCTTATTTCTTTTTTTAATAAATATAATGGATATTTTGTCTTGCAAGTAATTATATATATACACACATTTCTATATAGTAATATATGTATGTACATACACATACCCAGATAGCCACAGTAATTATTATGACATCAAAATGCATCATTTTGATGGCAAATGATGCATTTTGACATCAAAATGATGTCATAATAATTACTGTGGCTATCTGGGTACAAATATATGTTAAAAATAATAATTGTCATCTAGAATGTGTTATATAATAAAAGAATCTAACAATTTTTATATAAATAAAATGTATGTGTAAAAATAAAATGTATGTATTTTATCACAGTAAATTTATCAGTATGTTATTTACTTCTCAAGTAGCGGATTGTATTTTTCCATCATAAAATATATCAGTAAGATGTTTGCTAGACGCAAACATCATACAAGATATAAAAAGTATTCACAAATATTTTTATGTATATGTAAAAGTCATTATAGTTATTTTTTTATTAACGCGTTTCAAATAAATAATTATTATTTTTTATTTAGATGATATAATAAATATATTATTCTTCCATGAACGAAAGGATCCATTCTGGTGAATTCTTGTATAACAACATAATGCATAAAATAGTTCACTTAATTATTCTTAAAAAAAAAAATATATATATATATATATATATATATAAATTAAGAATTAAATATTAAAAATATTAAAATTATTATTTAAATTTTAAATAGCTATATTTTACCATTAATTTACTGCTATTATATATATATATATATGTATATATTAATACATTTGTTATTATAATAGCTTCGTTATCATTTTATCGATATATTATATAGTTGAAAAAATAAAATAAGCTATATATATATAAATTAATTTATGTGCTATATAGTAAAATATTCTTGCTAATAATAAATTTATAGCAGCTATATACTTAGCAAAATTTGTTCTCATAATAAATTTTTGGCTGCTCTAGCAGGATACTTATTTACATATGAAAAACATTTGTTATAATTATTTTTGAATTATGATATAGTCGTAAATTTCTGAGATATGCGCCGTTATATATATATATATATACACATGCATACAAAAACATCGACATAATAAATAAATTGTTCAAAATTGAAAAAAATTGCCAAGTTCTCCAATATAAATATATATATATATATATATAGACACACACACACACAATACATGGCGATTCATATATAGTAATATTATTTATAAATATATTAATTTTTTACCATATTTAATGTATACATTCATTTTTCTCTCTTTCTCTCTCTTATCTTTCTCTCCCCTGAAGCTGAAGTATTGCATTTCGTGATGTAAGTTACATTTATCATATGTAAGTTGCATTTGATGAATCGATCCTTGATCCTTGTTTCAGAGTTCTTTTCTTCTGTGTCATGAATGCATGAATATCTAGATACGATGTATCGTGCAAACTGCGACAACTTCAGTACCTTAGGGCGTATTCAGATATAAAAAAATCAGCCAATCGCGCATTTAATCTCCGATGCAAACGGATGCAAGTTTGTTTGGGAATAGACCCTTAAACTTTATTTGAGACATTGAATGGTGAAAACAAACATTGATCCAGTCCGACCATTCTGGAGCAAAAGAGTATTCAAGGCTACTTGAATGTAATTTTATAATTGCAAATAAATACATTGTGTTTAAAGATTTTCGCTCGATACGTATGCACGTATCGAGATATAATTGAGAAAAAAATTACATTGATTATCGTGTAATAAACAAAAAAATATGGCAACTATGGGCGAGCCTCTTACTTTAGCAAGAGGTAAGTTTTTATCAGATTCAATTAACGCAAATGAATTATATGACATTTTTCATCAATTATTATATTTTATCTTTTTTGTTTTTTTTTTTTCAGACGTCAAAAGATCTATAGAATTGTTAGATAAATTACAGAAAGGTGAGCAATTTAAACAATAAATTCTTTCATATATTCATTAATATAATACCTGGCTTTATAATATTTTTTATTCAGGAGGTGAAGTTCCTACGACAAAATTGGCAGCATTACAAAAAGTGTTACAAAGTGATTTTCTTAGTGCAGTGCGAGAAGTATACGAGCATGTATATGAAACTGTCGATATTCAGGTAAGATTATAGGCAATAAATAACTGTCGTTTAAAATTGACAGATATTTCTTGTTTTATAGTTATAATTACAATCGTTAAAAATTGTTTCATCAGGGTTCACAAGATGTACGTGCATCTGCAACAGCAAAAGCAACCGTTGCTGCTTTCGCAGCCAGTGAGGGTCATGCTCATCCACGTGTAGTTGAATTGCCAAAAACGGAAGAAGGACTTGGGTTTAATGTAATGGGAGGTAAAGAACAGAATTCGCCGATATATATATCTCGCATTATTCCTGGTGGTGTTGCTGATAGACATGGTGGTTTAAAACGCGGAGATCAACTTTTATCTGTTAACGGAGTGGTTAGTAGAAATTTGTACTTCCTTTTTTTTTTTAAACATTAGAGATAAAATTTTTTTTATAACAAAGATAACATTTGTTTCAGTGTGTCGAAGGAGAAAATCATGAAAAAGCAGTAGAATTATTAAAGCAGGCACAAAATTCTGTAAAATTGGTAGTGCGGTATACTCCACGTGTCTTAGAAGAAATGGAGTTACGTTTCGATAAACAGAGAGCTGCTCGTAGACGTCAACACATGCAATAAATATATTAAAAAATTGCAATATATTATTATTGTTAAATGCCAATTATATCAAATTATAATATTCATATATTTCAACTATATTTATGCTCATAATCATAGTTTAGCTGGCTTACAGCATTCTGGCAACTGTATTTATATTCTTATTCATATCAATAAATGTTATCTATTATCTATGTATTCTTTACATTTCTTTATTCAAGTTTTGTAGAGTAACTAATTTCTTTTTGGAGGATTTTTGTTAAATAAATAAGCATATCTCTTTGTTTCTTTGTATATGTGCAAATTATTAGTTTCATGATAGTGCAGAAATAATACAGTTCAAAATTATCAAAATTTTGAAACAGCACAAAAAAACGAGAGAAAATAATTTTAGCGCATGCGCAAAAAGACAAGAAATGTCTATTTCCTGTTGTATTCGTTGACATCAAATAACTCCGTATGCTGCGTTTTTATATAGCTTATATATCTAAAATAAGTGTGTCCTTCTCTATGCTTTTTCTATAAATATATAAAAGAGAGAAAGAGGAAGAGGGAAAGAGGATTTTTTCATCTTTCCTCTTAGCGTGATGATCAAGGGATCAAGGTATATTATCGAAATGACGTATCAAAAATGGCTTCCAGCTTTACATATATCGTGCATTCTGTATGCTTGGATCCATGTATTTTATACGTTTATGGCTTCTCATTGAAACGACACTCGACTCTCGTTTTTAGCGTTAAAAAATGTATGATTAAAAATGACGAAAATTGCTATCTTTATTTTATTTATAGTTACGCCATATGTTGAAAATGAGCGTCGAGCTTCGATATTGAATTGCTAGAGACCCTTTAATCAATAAATAATTAATAAATGATAAATAAATAATAAAAAAATAAAAAAAATAATAATTTTTGATTTTGGATGAAAGAGTGATGAAAGGTTCTCTATCGGAATCGGCAGCTTGACGGAACGACGTAAAGATGTCGCTGCGGTTCTCGTCGCTCTTGGCGAAACATCACGTAGGCGGTTTCCGTTCTAGAGTGCGGAGGTTTGCGGCGGGTTGCCGGCTGCCATCTTGCACCTCGCTCGTTTGAGAAGCCGGCCGCCCTCAAAAATCCGTAGTTTCACGCGTTTGCGCGGCCTCAGCTACTCCGAGACTAAGATTCGTGCATTCGCAACGAATTGAAGAATCCATCGTATTTAATCCGATCAAGATTCGGGCTCGGAATGCTCTAGGTGAGTCGAAAATACGCCTACATCGGTTTGCTCGATCGTGATGGCGTGTGATTTACTGGGGTACATGTGTGTACGTGCCTTGTACCTCTTGCATGTGCGTGCTTTTCGTTCGGTTCGGCCGGTAGCCAGGTAATCTTGTTAAGACGTGCCTCGGATCGTGGCACATTTGCGAAAGGAATTCCGTCCTTACGCCTACGATTTTTTCTCACGAATAATTCTGACAACTCGCTGCACGCGTTGGATATATCTGAGCGTTACAATCGATAAAGGAAAATAAAATAACGTGCTTTCTCCTTTTCTATCTCTGTCTCTCTTTTTATTACAATTACTAATGACTCGGTTTTATATTTCTAATTGTAGATTTTTCTCCTATCTGCTTCTATCTTCCTTGGACATTTTTTATGGATTTTGAAATTTATTTCGCAGTTTTTTTAATCACAAGCAACTTTTATAATAATTATGTTTGGAGATTCAAATCTTTTCAAGGTTTCTCAAATATAGACACGTCTCTATTTTTCACAAATTTTTGGAGTAAAGATATATATACATATTACAATACATCATTCTGATAAATCTCTGATATAATTCATCTATCTGTATAAACTCCAAACTCTGTGCTTCACAATCCATCAATGTACATATTAGAACAATAAAAAATGATGTTATCTCAAATGGTCTCTTATCTTTTTAGTTGATTTATCATTGAAATATATTATCCTACTTTATATACTTGTATAGAGATACAAATTTGCTCTCAATTAAAATTATACAAATTGTTTAGGTTTATTACTGTTCTCACATGTACGTAGTTGGGTGAGCAGAGGAAACAAAGTCATTAATAGCTGTAAGTTTGGATCAGACAGTCGAGACAGTATATCAATCAACAAGACGCTTATCGATAATAATACTTCTGAGAGAATGGCTTTACCTAGTAGAGCGCGAGTCTATGCCGATGTAAATTCACATAAACCAAGAGAATACTGGGATTATGAATCTTATGTTGTCGATTGGGGGTAAGCTTTATCACGCATCAAGTATTATTGCTATTATAACGATATTATATTATAACCTGTTGCACTTATTTTTATATTTTCTGATCTAGACAACAAGATGATTACCAATTAGTAAGAAAATTAGGCAGGGGTAAATATAGCGAAGTATTTGAGGCCATAAATGTTACAAACAATGAAAAATGTGTCGTAAAAATATTGAAGGTAATAAACAATAATTTATATATTGTATTACATTTGATAAGTATTTTATACAAAACAGCTAAAAGTGAAAATGTATAATACTAACTAATTATATTTTTTATTTGTTATAGCCTGTAAAAAAGAAGAAAATAAAAAGGGAAATAAAAATTTTAGAAAATCTTAAAGGTGGGACCAACATAATTACACTCCAAGCAGTTGTCAAAGATCCAGTTTCAAGGACACCAGCATTGATTTTTGAACATGTCAACAACACTGATTTCAAGCAATTATACCAGACGCTAACTGACTACGACATAAGATACTACCTCTACGAATTATTAAAAGTGCGTGTATTGTTATAAGTGCAATGGAACTAAATATCCATCGTGAACCTTCGAGATTATTGTTTTGATAGATGTAGGTGTATATATATATATATTATAGGTTCCAGGAAAACCTCAAAGATACCGTTTTTATCTTTCTCATTATTATTAGGATTATAAATTCAATTTTATTGCTTAGCTTTATTTTTTATGCAGCATTTCTGCATTTTGGAAGATATTACTATTTTGAATGAAAAGGAAGACTATTATACATGTTTTATCTTTCTAATAATTAGTAATTTGTTTATGGATTTTTCAGTTCTCAATAGCTTCTGTACAATGCTTTTCCTTCTCTTTTTATCTTTTTGTTTTTATAATTATCAATTTTATTATTGCCATTTACGTTTCTTCTATGAAAATATTTGAGATATTAATAGCTAAAAAATTATAGTTACATTAATATAAATTGAAAAACTGGTATGTAAATATCTCTAATGGTTTTGTATTTATCTTGTTTATTTTCTCTTTACAATATGGAATAATTTGAAGAGTTTGTAATAAAAAATGAAAAAGCTCTGGTATATAAATACGAAATTTAGGTAGGAAATTCGTTAATAAGAACTATGTTCAACAAACTTTCTTAAAATCTTAATTTGAACGTTTTGTTCTTTCTTTGGACCATTGATGGATCAAACAAAAAATTCATGCATCTTGATTTCATTCTATTAAAGCAAAGATAAATATGTGAGAGAAACTTCCTTTTCATTCTGTTAGGTATTTTATCTTGTTAGAAATTTGTTTAAAGTTTTAGCAATTTTTTTTTATTTTAGACTTGTCAATCTAAAGTTCTCAGTAATATCTCGTAATAGTACGTTCGTTTACGTCCGTTGCATCGTCTAATCGCAAATACAGAGATAATATTTTATAATTAATATGTTTTTTGTTTCGTTTCTGTACAGGCGCTAGATTATTGTCACAGTATGGGAATTATGCACAGGGATGTGAAACCGCACAATGTTATGATAGACCATGAAAATCGAAAATTACGATTAATCGACTGGGGATTAGCAGAATTTTATCATCCTGGTCAAGAATACAATGTACGAGTAGCATCCCGTTATTTCAAAGGTCCGGAACTACTTGTAGATTATCAAGTAAGTATTGCAGCATAGAAAATGTGAAAGGGGAAAGAGATGGAGAGGAAAAAAGAATTAATAAGTTCATATATATGTATTCAAATTGCAGATACTATATATATATAAGTTAATGAGAAATATTTTTCGATGTCTTACAGATGTACGACTATTCATTAGATATGTGGTCGTTGGGTTGTATGCTCGCAAGTATGATATTTAGGAAAGAACCGTTCTTTCATGGACATGATAACTATGACCAATTAGTTCGAATTGCAAAAGTTCTTGGGACTGAGGAATTATTTGAATATCTTGACAAGTATCACATTGAATTAGATCCTCGTTTCAACGACATCCTAGGTCGACATTCGCGTAAACGTTGGGAACGTTTTGTACATTCGGAAAATCAACATCTAGTATCGCCCGAAAGCTTGGATTTTCTTGATAAACTCTTACGCTATGACCATTATGAGAGATTAACTGCGCGCGAAGCAATGGAACATCCTTATTTTTGTAAGCATATATATACATATATATAATTTTTTCTGTTATTTTTGCATATTATACACTGTAAAATCGTCAATGATAGAGTGTATCTTTCTGTCTAATCATTTTCTTTTTTTTTTCCTAGATCCCATAGTAAAAGAACAAGGTCGATTGACCATGGTGTCATCATCACCTACTCCCATGACAGGCTCAGTGCCTGTAGGTGAGTAGCGGCCCAGGTAATGTCACCACTTTAATCTACCTCTAACTCTATACTCTAATTGACATAATTATAATATAGTTAACTTATATATATATTGGACATTAAAAATTTAATACTGTAAAATATGTTTCTCTTATTTCATCAAGAATTGTGTTCTCTTAAGTATGTATCTTTTTCGTTTTTTTCTTCTTTTTTTCAAAAATTATTACTTTTAGCATTTTATACCCTTATCGTCACAACAGATTTATAATAATATATCTTACGAAGCAGTTACATTCGCCTGTATAAATTTTTATGCGTAAAATTGCATTCAGATAGATGTAATCGCGAATGTTGTTTGCACTTTACATTGAAATAACTTGTATTTAATTAAGGTAAAAGGAAAATGTAAGTTGTAAATACATTATTATAAATAGAAAATATTGATTACACATACACATACATTGTTCATTTGTTATATTAGCTCGTCTTACATGTTAACAATCGACCGTAATGAATATATAAGCGTGTGACATTCAAGCAATAATTATATACATATATATTTTATATAAATGGCACATAATTCTACTCTTAGTAAGCTTCTAGATCCTCGTTTTTTTGTGCCGGTTTTTGTACCGTCCTATATATATCTATTGCTTTCCTTCTAATAAATTAAAAGATAATTGTAGCAATTATTTGAACATATAATATAGTTTTTATAATGAAAAATACATTTAATGTTACAATAAGGTGCACTTCACTCTGCATTACAAAATTGATTCGAATTGTTTGATTGGCCGAATCTAGAAAAAATGAGGGATAAATATTTCTTTGTCTCAATAAGTCAATCAAAATATGTGTTTCGAAACATTTGTAACGCCGAATGGAGAAGACATATGTAAACGGATACTTTCGAATAATGAACGATTCGTGATATTTTTCTATCTGTCTTGAAATGAAACAAAATGATAGAGAGAGACATCTTACATGTTGACATAGATTGTGCGACACATTGATATTAGTAAAAGGTCTCGTATCAAAGTGATTTTTTAACTAGGAGATTATTACAGATCATCGTGGCGTAACAATGACCACTGTATCGATTCATGGGACAAACGGATTGGAAAGCATGGAAGAAATTGGAAGCGGGTGTTTGACCCTTTCAGAAGAACTGCCTCAAGTAATCTTATAAGTTCAGCAATTCTGAATTTCAACAACCCGATTTTCAATCTACCACAAAATATTGCAATGCAGCAGCAGATATTTCGTATTGCCAAGTATATTCTTCTCCATACGAAAATCATTCTGATTTGTAACGACAACGGCTTGATCGATGATCCCATCGTTAAGACTGAAGTATCTAATTTCGCTTTCTCTCTTTCAAAAATATATAATCACTCAAAATTTGCGATGTACTTAGTGTATCACGGGAGATTAGGATTCTGGCACAAACTCTATCACACGAGAATACATGCTCCGTCCATATTGGCCGGTGTGCATGCGATATCAAAAACAGCGAGTCGCTCATTTCCGTTTTACGATTCGCGATGCGTCCCATTACTATATATACTATTTTTTCTGATGTTGCTATTATTATCATATTTTTGGCAGAATTATAAATGCATAAAGATGCAGCTAGATTCACTCTCATTTGATGAAAGATGATTACATCGTGATTACACGATACGTGCAGTGGTGGAGATTTTAAGCGAGCCAGCCACTCATTTGCATTCACATACATTCATGTACACAGACACGCAAATGAACATATACACAGTCATACTTATACCTTAGGCCATTCGGTTTAGTACTTTTAACAATGATAAAAAAATGTTCGTTTATATCTGATACCACAATAGTTGAATAAAATGTTTGTTATAGCCAAGTACTCTTTGTGCTTTGTGAATACCTGCTCTGTGTATCCAGCGCATATTATCATTGTTATTCAATAAGTATCGAAAAATTATATATCCATTCGAAGGCGCGTCGTAAGATAAATATTTGTTATACGTACGTACGTGTGTTCTCCCTACTATACAACGTTCTTATACTTATATAAAGAGAAATTTACTTATAAATAAAAGCAGGTTTTGCGGTAAAATTCGTCAGTTATCGCATGTAAATTCACAAGCACCTTAAACACTTGGCACAAAGCCTATGAACATTATTAATTATATATATTAATTTTTAAAAAACTGTGTATATATATATATATATATATATACATATACATATGTATGTACGTATTTATAAACTTGGTTTCTTTGTATGTTGATCATTCTTACAATAACTTACACTGAAATTTGCTTTTCATAGTTTCGCAAAATTATCAGTATTTTTTATTACGTGCATTAAATAAATATGAATTATTTTATATAAATATATATACTGTAAGATCGATTCATACATAATGTACATTCAAGAGAATTTATCAACATTAAGACACACTTGTAAAGAATGTATAGGAATACAATATTTCTTGTATACTGTAGCTTTTTTGTATAATTTTTCAAAGATTTGTGTCAGTTCCTATATAAATATGCATTATAAGATTAATCGATCGCCATTTATATTCTCGCGCGTTAAAGTATTGTGGCTTAGTATCACAAGCGTAATCTGATAAAAATATAAGTGTTCTACACGATTAGTTAAAGTAATAATATTGTTTCTCTCTCTCTTTCTCTCTCTCTCTCTCTCTCTCTCTCTCTTCTTTCTCTCTCTCTCTCTCTCTCTCTCTCTCTGATTGCTACATTATTTTCGTTTATATATATATATATATATATATATATATATATATATATATAAATATATAATTTTAAAAAATATATTTATGAACATACAGGCCAGTAAAATTATGCATATATTATCATGGACATAAAGTGACATATAAAAATGTGTAAAAAAGAGACTATATATACTATATGGTAGCTATATAAAAATGTTTACTTTATCCACTTTACATTGTTACATATGACTATTCATCAAATATTAGTATTTATATATATACATGTTTAACTTTAATTATCTTTTTTTAATATTAAATTAACAGTAATATAATCTATAATTATATGAAGAAGGGAAATGTGAATAATAATTGCTACATTTAATACAAATAAACAAATTAGTTTGAAAACATGAAAATTAAATGAATAATTAATAAAAATAAAATATATTGAACTAAATTTTGGCTAATGTTTTTTATATTGTAATATATATTTCGAGAGAGGGGCATGGAGAAGAGATGGATAAATGCATGTATAGAATCGTTTGGAATACTTTATCTTTGAATAAATTCAAACAATTTTTTTATTTTGTTCTTTTTTCCGTCTTTCCTAATTCTCTCCATCCATCATTCTTTTTTTTCTCTTCTAATCATTTCTCCTATTTCTCCATATGGAAAAATCGTAAAATAAAAAACTGCTGTTATATTTCTTTATTTCTTATTGTTCTATAATTTGAAACATGCTACAAAAATAGACATGATTAAAATACGACAATAAAATTTGCGTTAAATTGCAATTAATTTGAATTACACTGATGTGCAAGTCGCAAAAACTATAGCGTATTTAATATTTTTTATGTCGAATATTAATATAATTTATAAACTATATGATGATAAAAATAAAGATTATCTTTTTTTCTAATGTTACAAATACATAATATTTCTGTCTATGTGTAACAATTAATTTTCTGTAATACCTACCTACTATATGTTCGCTAAGGACTAAGTTATTATAATTAAAAGATAAAAATAATTTTATTCTTGACAAATCAATTCTATTATATTAAAAGAAAATATACATTCGAGCAAAAACATTTTATTTTATTATATATTTCTATTAATTTGAACAACAAAGAAAGCATTCTCTTTTTACTACTAAAGATGAATTAAAAAATTGGTCATTTTTTATATACATTTTATATAATTTTATTTTATACAGATAGAAAATGCTTTAGATAATTTCATCATTGCAGCCTGGAACATGTAATTAGACAAATGTATAGAATATAATTAAAATCAACCGAGGTAATGGTTCGTTGTCAGTCTATTCATGTACATAAAAAATCAAGATCTTCTTTTCCATATCAGCAGCTTAGAAAGGATCCCGTTAGCAAATATTAGACACCGTTCACATTGATTGATTGGTCAATCATATGCTCCGACATATTAGAGCGGATATTGGCTAACTAAAACACTAGAACCTTTTGATTGGTCGATCGTGCTGATGTCAACAGGACCCTCCCTATCAGCTGTCAAGCTGTATTGTGCTGTCATCAGGGTCTTTAACAGTTGGTCTCGTACAAAGCTTATTCTTCATAATTAAATAATTTTTCTCTCATCAAAATATGGATGAAATAGATAGTTTGAAAAAGAAAATTAAAGAACTCGAAAACGAGTTACGAGAAAAGAAAGATAAGGATGCAGCAGCAACGAGAGAAAAGATCGAACATATGTCAGCAGAGGTGGTGGATTCGAATCCTTATAGGTAAATTTTAAATATTTTTCGCTGTTTTTCATCGCTTATGTTTATATATTGCGTTTATTGTAAAAATCAATTTTTGTGTAAAATCAAACTTCTATAAATCGGCTTGTTAAATGTTTAAAATTAAAATATTATTTCTTTTAAAAAACAATTTACAAAAAACTTATGAGCATTTGATGTTATATACACAAACATACAATATGAATGATTAAATAATATTAAAGTGTATATATACATGTATAGTTTAACAACTAAAATATTTACTATATATAAAAGATATATATATAGATTTTACAAGAAGTAGTAACTTTGTTAATTTTTTATTATCTTTATTTCAGCCGATTGATGGCATTAAAGCGTATGGGTATTGTTGACAATTATGAGAAGATACGAGAATTAACAATAGCTATTGTTGGAATTGGTGGTGTTGGTAGTGTAACAGCAGAAATGTTAACAAGATGTGGCATTGGAAAGGTAAAAATGTTGATGTTATCTACTGTGCGTTAACAGAAAATTATTGTAATATTACAATTAATGTTTCAGCTGATATTATTTGATTACGATAATGTAGAACTTGCAAATATGAATAGATTATTTTTTCAACCACATCAAGCAGGTCAGAGTAAAGTGGAGGCAGCGGCAAATACTTTGCGTTATATAAATCCTGATGTGGAAATTGAAATGCACAATTACAATATCACAACTATCGATAATTTTTCAAATTTTATGAATACAATAAGGTATAAGTTTACAATATAAATTATCTATTTTATAACATTTATACATATTGAATATCTTTTTTACTTACTATATTTTATGATTAATTTAAATTTGTATTTTTGCAGTACTTCCAGCTTGGAAAATGGACCAGTCGACTTAGTATTGAGCTGTGTTGATAATTTTGAAGCTCGTATGGCAATTAATACCGCATGTAACGAACTTAATCAGAAATGGTTTGAAAGTGGTGTTTCTGAAAATGCTGTTTCTGGTCACATTCAATTTATTGTGCCTGGTGAAACGGCCTGTTTTGCAGTAAGTTCTTGATTACATATGCATAAATTGGCTATTAAGCCACATAATTCTGACATGAATTTTTAAGAATTCTATATTTTGTAATTTTGAATTTTTAGTGTGCTCCACCTTTGATTGTAGCGTCTAGCATTGATGAGAAAACTTTGAAACGCGAAGGTGTATGCGCTGCATCATTGCCCACTACTATGGGTATAGTAGCAGGCTTTCTTGTGCAGAACACTTTAAAATTTTTACTAAATTTTGGTCAAGTATCCTACTATTTGGGTTACAATGCTATGGAAGACTTTTTTCCTAAAATGACTTTAAAACCAAATCCAAATTGCGATGATGCACATTGTAGACAGAGACAAAAAGAATATGTAGCAAAGCCAAAAAGTCAACAAGAATCAAACAAAGTTATTGAAGAAAAAGCTGTGCATGAAGATAATAAATGGGGTATATATGAAAAGATACTACAATGTCTTTTATAACATATCTTTGTATTTTTACATTGTTTTTAACTGAATATTATTCTTTGTAGGAATTTCATTAGTCGAACAAAGTTGCCATGCTGATGAAAACACGTCTGCATCAACTTCAGGTGTAAGATATGTATATACTATTCCTACATCTACACCTGCATCCAATTCAGAAAGAGAGCAAACTGTTCCTGAATCTACAGGACTAAGTTTAGAAGAATTAATGGCAGAGATGAAATCTATTTGAAAATAGTGCAGTATAAAAAAGTACACATATTCCATACTCAAAAAATTTTTAACTTTATATTCGATATCATATATGAACTATACTTTATTATTATAAATGCAATTCTTTTTACTCTGAAAAAAAATCATTTTCAATAGCTTAAAAATTACGATATATATATATTACATATATAAAATTAGAAGTTTAGCTCCTAATATCCATTAAAATGTATAATAAGATTATAACAAAATTATACTATACATATTAGTATGGTAAACATTTTTTATATCAAAATATTTTTATCTAAATAATTCAAAAGAAAATGTAAATTTATTTCAGCAACTTATTTGTCTAATTATATATATATATATATATATATATATATATATATATATATACATTTTCTTTTGAATTATTTAGATAAAAATATTTTGATATAAAAAATGTTTAACATACTAATATGTATAGTATAATTTTGTTATAATCTTATTTTACATTTTAATGGATAATATACAATAAGGACAGAATTATATATCAAATTTTTCAAAGCATATAGATGGTCCCTCTTCTTCATACTCTTCCCTTGTTACCAAAAGACTTGAAAACATTGCGTCTTGTGAAAGTTTTTTTCCACCATACCATGAATAATTAATGGGACTGAAAGTAGAAGAATATTTATTAGTACATTTTTTTGCAATATAAGATACAAGTGACAATAAAATAATAAAGTACTTTTGTGGTAAATAGACGTTTACGGCATATTCTGTTGGAGCTAAACTTCTAATTTCTTTGTACATTCTATCTTTAAATCCCGGAAATTTTGCATTTCCACCAGTAAGAATAATATTGGATAGAAAATGAGGCCATGTTTCTTCATCGCAAGTCTTGATGGAATCTATAACTGCTTCGGGTATACCCATTTGTCGAATACCAATATCCGATGGATAGAATAATATTTCTGGTATGGCAAATCTCTCATTAGTCAAACGTAATGTTTGTTGCTCATTAGATGGTTCCGGATCCTTCAGATATCCACGTCGCAGAGTCGTATAATCTGGTAAAACATAATCCTTAGCAATGGTATTTTTCTCCAACTTATATTTGGCTCGTTCCATATCTTTAAAGAAATCTTGAGACACGAAACAACAATCTTCCTTCACTTGATTAATTACATATGTTTCATCCATAACATGCAGCTGACGATAAGACAGTATCTCTTTTAGGTGATTTGTTAGAAGCTTGCCACCTACATCTATCCTTCGTATCCCTTCTTTTACTTTTGTATCATTAATATAAGGTACAATATGCGTAAAACTATAACCACTGTCTACTACTATGCAGCATTTCGTATTAGGATTCTCAGATCTGTAATTGTAACACGAAAGACTCGCTGCGTTTATCCTCAGAAGACTATGACATTCGTATTCCTCAAAAAAGATCTCCGTCATAGCTTCCTGTATACTTGGAAAATTAAATACTGGTTCTGTCACTATCATAGACGACTGATTTAAATTTACCGAACAAGATTCCTTCGAAAATATGTAATCCCATAAAGTTTTCTGAATATCCCAATTCACCAGATAACCTTTTTGGAAAGGTAACATGTAAAACAATCCAGAAGCATCCCTACATTCTTCGATTTGATTTCCTATAAAGGGTCTGCGACGTTCGCTCTTTGCTTTCATTATACAATTTGGAACTAATCTAAAATAAATATTTTCATTCATTATTGAGTGCAAAAGTGCACATTATCAAAGATTCAAATTTATGCATCTTGACATACTTACTTAAGTGTTTCATTAGATAAACCAGCTTTTGCCATGTAGGCACCATTGTCGAGGATGAAAGTGGAGTTACTCATATTTTTAAAAAATATCGTAAATGCAATTATAAACAAAGTTTTCTCTCCACCGGTAATCAAATTGCTAACGTTGTTTTATTATACGACACAAAAAAGTTTGTCGAGCGTACATTGGTTATGACGGAATAATTTCTAGAATTCTAATAAGAACTCTAAAAATTCCCTATTCGCTAACCAATCGGCATATATTTTAAATTTTTGGAATACTACGATTCAATATTCGAAAATAATTATTAAATATTTATAATTATTATAATTTATTAAAGTATATATTATTATAATTTATTAAAGTTTGATTGAATTGACCAATTATTGGGGCAAAGAAATATTCATGGCTTTTATCGCGATCGATCGATCGAATGATTTGACCGCAAGATTTGTAAAGCGCTCGTGCGCGCAAGTTTAAATTTGGCGCCAACTCCGTATCCGAGGGCGTCCGCACACGAGACGCGTGACGCGTGGCAAGAAAAGACGCGTCAGCCAATCGGTTGATCTCGATCCTACTTTCTATTGGCTACCGCGGTGCTTCTCGCCACGCGTCAACGCGTCCTGTGTGAGGAACGTCCTGTCACGTGACCTTCTCTATTCGCTACCGGCACTACTCCATCCTTCGCATGAATTTCGGTCATATTGAAATCAACAGTTGAGGCGAACACGTTTCTACTTTGCTTTATTTGAGATTTCACGTGTACATTTATTCTCTTTGTTTCACATAGATCTGTACAGATTATTATAAATCAACATGTTTTGGGGTAATTGTTCTATAATTTGTAAAAAAATTTTATTTATTTAGTAAAGATTTACTGTGTTGTGAGGAAATATATATTTTATGAAATGGCTTCGCCACGTGGTTAACATACAAAAAAAACACGCATTTTAAGATGAGACTAGAGTCGACCTGACCGTTCGTGTTATTATATTTATATTTGATTCTTCATGTTATCCTCATTTTTGCAGGATTGATACTGCAACCGAATAAGCGGTACAACCAAAAGGTAACGGAATCATTCCATGTGACCATGGCGAGTTTAGATACGCGAACATCCGGTAAGAGTTGCTTACTTTAATTTATATTTGAAAATTCTGATTATCCTTGAAATTCGTTTTTTTTTTCATTTTAATATGCTAATACTTTTACATATCGAGTAACAATATCGCGACTACATACATGTAACATGTGTTAAATATTCTCTTGAAACAGTTGTAGATTGGTTATTGAATAAAATTGCAGTCGAAAAATAACATTTATTCATATATATATGCATTTTGAGTATTATACATAATATAAATGGTTATTGTATTACAAATGGTTCAAAATATTTGATGGACTGCTTCTGAAAATAATTTATTCTTATTGTTTCGATTAGTCATTGGTAAATAATGAAAAATAGAGTGTATATATTATATGTATGCATATAATATAAAGATTTTTATATGTCAAATTGTATAAATATATGTTGTGTGAAATATGTTTATTTATTAAGAAATTCTTATTTATTTCATTACAGATAATGGTGAAGTACGATTAATACTAAACCACAAGAATAAACATTTCCTGATTTGCACTTTACAAAAGAACAAAGTATTGCAAATGCCTCTCGATTTAAGTTTTACTAAGGGAACCGACTTAGCCCTTTTAATTGATGGTAATAGTAATGTGCATCTGACTGGATATACGATTCCGGACTTGGAAGACGATTTCAGTAATTCAGAAGATGAAAGTTCATATATAGAAGGGTCAATTGAGAATGGAAAGAAGAGAAAGGCAGAATCACAATATAATAGAAAGAAAGTAAAGCAAGCTAAGCAAGAACTTGTAAATGATAGTAATAATCAGGATGAGAGTGATGTGGATAATTCTCAATATTTAGAAGAAGAGTTTGATAGTGATGATGATATAGAAAATGTAATGACTGGTGATGATTATAGTGAGGATGAGGATGAGGATGAGAATGAGGATGAGGATGAGGATGAGGATGAGGATGAGGATGAAGATGAGGATGAGGATGAGGAACAGAAACAGAAAAAAATAGCAAAATCTCAAAAGCATGAAAAAAAGGAAATAAATAATCAGCAACAAAAAAAGAAACATGATAAGCAAAATAAAATAAATGAAGAAAAAACCAAACAAGAACAACAAAGTAAGAAACAAAATAAGAAAATGCAGCAGAAACTGCAAGAGAACAATCTACCGAACAGGAGATTCTTTCAGGGTAATGTGATAGTGGAAGATTTAAAAGTTGGTGATGGTACACTCGCGACAATTGGCAAACTTATCACAATTTATTACGAGGGTCGTATTAAAGGTCAAGAAAAGAAATTTGACTCTTGTACGAGTGGAAAAGGTGTTAAAATACGCCTCTTTAAAACGACATGTGCAAAGGATTGAATATAGGAATGTGTGGAATGAAACCTGGAGGAAAGCGCCGTATCACAATACCACCTATGATGGGGTATGCATTGTACTTTTATTCTCTTCTTTTATTTTAATTTAAGTTTCCTGTTGTCATATTACCAAATTTCATGTAACGAGTAGTTATCTTTATAACTTTTTTTATTCTCTCTCTCTTTCTCAGTAAAAATTTATATTATTTTAAACACTAATTTAATGGAACAATGTTTTTTTTATAGGTTTGGGGATAAAAGCACTTATAAAGTTCCTGCTAATAGCACACTTGTATACGAAGTTGAACTTAAGAATGTTAATTAAATGAATATTTTCAAGCATTTGATATATATATATATATGACTTATTCTATTGTGTTCCTAATAGGATTTTCTTCATTTTTCTTTAAGCATGTCCTTGTATAATTTTTTTTATTTGAAAAATATCTTTTGCTATCGCATATTACATTTCAGATTATTCTTATTTAAAATTTGACAAATACTCTTTAATACAAAAATAAATAAGACACAAAGAAAAAACATATAATAAGATGTAAAAATATGTAAGACATTACATGAATTTCACTTTTATTGCACACAATAGAAATTTTTACAAAGTTCTCAAGAGATACATTTGTTTAACACTAAGCACTAATAAAACAGAAAAGTTTATAAGTAATTTTTATTTTATAATAACATATTACACAATATTATATATATATATATATAACATTTTATATTTATTATAATATATGTAAAGTATATTATATAATGTATATATAACATGTTACATATATATTATATACATATACATTCTTACATATATATATATATATATATTAGATTTTAGAATATATTTTAGAGTAACATTCCTAGAATTTCTACTTTTAGTTATATGTTCAATTATATCTTCTACTGTAGATCATAAGTAAAATATAAGTTTTTTGTATTATGTAGCCTATTGTATGCTAAAAATTTATATAATTAAAATAAATCTGAAATAGTAAAATATAAAAACTAATTTTTATACAATATGTAAAACATTGAAAATATGGTATTTTATATATTATGGTATTGTATATATATATATATATATATATATATATATATATATATATATGTATATATATATATATATATATACTTTACATTTAGTAAACTGAAGCAAGATATCGTATTTTTAATCAATCCTATATAATTTGCTGAGGATAACTCAAATTTTTTATTTATACAAAGTAATTTGCATGTTTACAATTGCTGTATTGAGAGAATATATATCATAGCTTTTTGGAAAAGTTTAGCAATCAAATATAAATGTTAACATAGTCTATATCGATTAATCAAATATGTGTATTCTACAGATAAACTGATTTAATCGCTTTTTTTTACAGCGTCTCGATTATCCTTCCATGATAAAGTACATGTTCCATTTTTACATTCTTTTATTAATTCCGGAGATGGCTCGTCCCCCTTGGCCTCTTTCCCGTTATTCCTTAATTGCCACCATTTGATCAATAATGGTTGTATGAGAAATCTCCATATTATTAGAAATATAGGAACAGCAAAGCATGGTACACACACCATTTTGTGTATATATAACTTTTATAATCTAGAATTATACATGTATATTTTATTTTAATAGAAAATAACATTCTTATCTAAGAAATATTACAGTTATACTATACGCCTTTGATTACAGTTATTTTAAAAAATGTTTATATTTTTGACATTTTGCATTTCGAAAAAGATCGTTACCTTAGAAAACAGGTAGAAGTAACGCTATAGCGAATTTCTACGGAATAATTGGGCGAATGTGACAAGGAAATCGATACAGGCATAACCTGAACGATATCGTCAATATGTGCGAGACTTTGTGTATCACCGACACTTTGATGTTGTCGAAAAATATATCAGTCTAAATGCCAGATTGTCGCGCTGATGATTATCAGCACTATATTAATGCACTTGTAATCGTAATATACGAAAATTGTTTTGTTATACGTTTTCATATAAGTTTACAGTTTTCACATTTTTATCATATCTTCATTATCAGTGTTTGCCGTTTGCAGCGCCGCGCTGAGCGCGACTAGGCTTGGACTAGTGTTAAATTTAATACGCATGCGCGTATAAATTATCAACTGCATAGATGTAACTAATTAGATATAATGATTAGAGAATACAGGTAAATACAACGTCACGCAATTGTCTATCAAATTTGTTTAATTCCGAAAATTTATTTTATTTGATAATCAATTGTATGACATTGTGTATTTTTCGTTAAAAACTAATAGATATTATATATATAGAATAACGTTACCACGCCTTTCTGTAAATTATATTTTAATTATTTTTATATATTTAGCATACGATCGTATTTGCTACACACGATCTCTAATATTTAATTATATACATAAGGACATGGTCACAGCCATTCATTGCGAGATTATAGGATATTTCTACATCTATATAAGGTACTGAAATATATATATATAAAACGAGTATTGTATCACAAAATATGGTAAGAGCTACCAAAATATTCCGTAGGATATTCTAGATATATTAAAATATAATGTATCGTTCACGGAACTCTTCGACTGGTCAAAGTTTAGCAAAGGAAAAATCCTAAGCACTGGGTTGCTGTGAGTGATTATTGTGATAACATATGTGGGATGCTTCCGCGCAATTTCAAGGAATGGTTGCATCCGGATGAGAGAAATCATCTTTGACTCTTAAATACTTCCAAACACCTTACGACCTCTCGTTACGCATAACGAGACGACGATGACGCTTAATACGAAGAAAATTAAACCAAAAAGAGTAGTGAGGGCTCTGCACCATTGCCGTTTTCGTTTCGCCTTTGCGATTGTTCGACTTAAACGCTCCGCACGTGTTACATCGAGAGTGAAATCGAAATCTTCTCCGAAGCCTCTGACGGCCAAGCGACGATTCCAATCGTTCGACGAGGCGATCGTTTCTTCGCTAGACGAGCCAATGTCGCTGTAATCCAGCTGCTGGAACATTGCATTTTTCATATATATATATATATATATATATATATATATATATATATATATAAAATTATAAAATATAACGAATAAAATTGAAACCTTTTTGCAAGACGATACTGACTGATCAAATTATATATTTATTAATCATCGAGCATCATCATTGAGTACTCACCGCTGAATATTTCGATTCGGATTTCGAGGTGAGCCCGTTTTGGCAACGCTTAGAAGCTTTAACTAATCCACAAGCACTTCCAACGTGTCTGTCATTGAGATATTCAAGGATATACGGGCCACTGGACGTTTCGCAAGATTCCCTTTCTATGTTTTCGCGTCTCGTTATCCTGTCGTTCTTAAGCAACAACGCGGATCCCACCGAGTTATTCTCGTAGAAAGCGCGAGGACCGACGTACAATTCAGAGTTGGCAGAATTTACTCTCGACGACGCATCCTTGATATAATTCGACGATGCCAATAGATTATCGTCGTTGAAAGTCCAGGAAGGGCAAACGTATTCGTATAAATTGTCACTTCTTGGACCAATCTCGAGAGAAATGATGCGCGAGATATCGCGCAAGATGTCCTCCGGTGCCACAGCAATGTCACCCTCTATCACAGAATTGAGAGTTCGAGATAATTCGAGCAGCACCTCGCGCGCTGATGCCCTCAGCGGTGATGATGTCGGTGGCGATGATGACGGTGGATAGCTACACGTGCAACCACATACGCGACACGTATAAATACCTGTTAGAAAAAAGAATATATTACTGATGATGGACGATATTTTTGAAATTCGGAAGAAAGTAAAATCGCTGCTTTCATTCTGACCTTCGTAATCGATATTTTCGACCTGATGATACGCGGAAGGCCAAATGGATTGCGGTACACAAGCTGTCTCGCTCTCGTGAATCACAGCTAGACCACCGTATGACAGATCTCTCGTCGATGTTGATGCGTAATAAGAGCACGAACCGACCGACAACAGCGGAGAATGGCTCGAATAACCGGAACTGATGGATGTTTTGTAACATCTTCTCGTATTATTAATCCGTGTCGCAGCTGCTGACTTGCCTATGATGCCGCCTGCGAACTTGGAGATCTCGCCCGAGTCTGATCGTACCCTGAAAGATGATTTAAAGGAGTAAATGTACACGGAGAGAATTTTCTCTTAAAATTTATCTTGAAAATCATGATAATTATGGGATAATATGATAGAAGAATTTTTTAAGTTTCTCTGATTAATATTTACCACTTTTATTTTTATTGTGGTAAATATTAATCAGGGAAAGTCTTATAAAATTTTTCCAATACCATATTGTTCCACGATTACCATGATTTTCAGGATAAATTCTAAGAGAAAATTCTCTCCGTGTAGGTATATCCCTATAAGCGCATGATATTATTTGATATTTAAGCAATTATTCTAGGCATATTTTTAGAATATTTAATATTCTAAGAATACGCCTAGAATATTAAATAATATCATGCGCTTATAGGGATATGATGATGATGATTTATGGATGATAAAGATGTATAAGAAAGGTACAGAAAAATCGATTTCAGATAGCAAACATATACGTCGTGACGTCGAATGACGTCAGTTTGTTACTTGGGATATTATATTTTTCATCTTTTGACATTTGCTTGAAAAACTCCAAGAACGGCTCCGATTCTTACCATTCAATCCCATATGGCTCGATCGTAGGTGACACGCGTTGTCTTTCTATAGCATCAAAATTGATCCTTGAATCACGCGGGATCGGCGCTCGAACGCCGGCGTTCGAATGCATCCCCCGATGACATTCGACGATGGCGTTCGATGACGCATAGGGCGCTACCGCATGCAGATTATTCGTCCAAAGCCGGTCCGGACCATCGCCGCGTGCTCCAACAGCTGCGCTCTCGTCATCGACAGATCATCGTAGCTTCTTCCTGAAAGTCATACGGATAATAAGAAATATCTCTCTCTGTTTTTAGAGACTTTATATAGACTTTTTACATCTTTCACCGGACATTTATCTCGCGCGCTCCCAGTTATATATGAATGCATACGAACATTGGACATATTTCAAGGTCGCTTTCACATTCACGTTACGTTCACGGTCGACGTAAAACGCCTATTACGTTATTATATTTGTTGAACGAACATTAATGTGGGTCATTCTTTTCTTTTACGATTATTGCCGATGTAAAGTTTTATCTTCCACTTTTATACATCATGGGACGAGATCGAGTTATATCCTTTCAGTTTCTCAAATTTCATCAACGAGGAATAATGTGCGTACGAGAAAAAGAGAAAGTGGGTGGGCGCGCGCACGCATTTTCGAATTACGTCAACTTGAATATTTAAAAAAATGCCTTCTGTATTTGTGTTACGTTAAATTCCATTACGTATATATATGTGATACAATATTCATCAAATATTAACTCTTCATTTTTGATTCGTTAATTAAAATTCAAACGACTCTCCGTTTCATTGAAATCAGCCGTTCATCGCAAATTCATATATATACATACATGGTGCCCGTCTGTCTTTCCTATAAAAAAATATTACTTATTAATACAACAACGTTAACTTATATAATTATATGTATTTAAATAATCTATGGCTCAATGTGCGATATTGCTGCAATATAAGAGGGAAAAAGAGAGAGAGAGAAAGAAAACGTCATACATTCCAACACCAATTTTACCAGCCGACCAGCCAACTACTTTCACCTCGACGCGACACGTTCGTCTCAATGTTTACGTATTACACCGCGTACGGATCGAATGACCGACGTTATAAAAGCATGAGGAAAGAGCGATCTTTCCACATAACTCGATCATAGTGATCGTGACCGCGATTGGCATAATGATCCGTAACAGGCATTCAAATGACGTTGCGTTATTTGCGCGCGCATATTATATTTTTGTAAATGAGAAAATGCGCTCTAGATTTATTTGTATTTTTAATACGTACTTTTGGGTAATTTGCGATTCGATCGTGCAAATGCTATTATTCCTCAAAATTCTAAACATTCCTAAATAGCAAGCGTAACGTTATTTTGACGTCAAACGACGTCATAGATGTTTAATGACGTCAGTTTATTACTACTTATTGGGATATACTTTTTTTTTCTTTAGACATATTCATCGCATCTAATAGATCGTAATTTTCTTCATATAAATCTTTGATATAAGAGACAAATCGAAAGTTGATGTCAAAGGTGTTTATCGATTTATATATTATAAATTATGCTTATCTTCTTACTAATCCGAATCGAGCTGTTGATGAGCATGTTGCGGAAGAGAAATATATATATATATAATGATTCGAGACTTTACAATGTTCCTCTTCCTTGTATGAAGTTACACGCCAATTATATACATATGTGTGTATATAGTAAGATATGTATGTAGGTATTATACACGCACGCACGCACAACGTAATGAGCAACGAAACGAAATCGCGAAAAATATTTAACTTACGAACTTTCACTCGCACTCATTCAGGGGCGTCGGCGGAAAAGAACAATCATCATCAATCATTATAGTGTACCACTTTATTTTGAGTATTCGATCGAATGTCTGAAAAATATATAAACATATATTTACGATCATTTTTGCGGCAAATTTCGCGAGTAATCTTTAATTAAGATTCTTAAACTAATATCCCAGTAAACAAGAAATATTTAATCAACATTTTAAAATGTTGATTTTATATAAATTTTCTAAACGTTACGATATAATGTTTAAAATATTATTAATAAATATAAAAAAAATATTAATTGATGTTTTATAAATGTTTTAAAAATATTATTTAATAACATATTGCTCTCAAAATATTAATAAAATATTTTAAAAACGTTAATTTCAATATTACCGAAACCTCTAAATCGATGTCAAAGTTTGTTCATAATGATATTGCATACAATGTTAAAAACGACATACTTGACAACAATAATAACGTTGTAGCAATGATTTTTTGCTTACTGGGATATATATTATTATTAGCGCGCGTAAATTTAAATATTCAATCTATTGAGAAATGAAAAGAATATTTAATATTCAATGCCGGCTTATTTTATTTGCAGATGCGAATATTCATAATTTGCGATAGTGATTCAATATCGTGTGAATTCCTCTCGATTTTCGAGAAGAGAAAATATATGTATATATATATGTAATAGAAATCTATATTAGAATATAAAGAGCAAAATAATGATTTCACAGAGAACCTTGCAGTATATTATATCGAGTTGCAAATACTAAAATATAATAAATAATTAATATAATTAATAAACAGAAGATATATGCCTTGCTCATTATACATATAAGATGTATATTTCTCCCTCAAAGAATAAAAAAAAAATAATAATTGTTTTAAGAATGAGAAAAAAAGACTAAAAATAGTTTTATATTCATATCACGTAATTATGGATGCTTTCCAATTTTGTAATCCAATAAGTCGACAAAAAAGTGTCGCTAAAATTACGTAAACGCGGAAAGCACTCTATATATATACACTTTATCTGTTTTATTTTCTCTCTTTTTCTCTCTGATTTTGTTGTTTACCTCACGAAATCATCATAGTATTAAATTGTATTTACCTCCGTGGAGGATGCGCGCAAGGAAGTACATGAACGGCAAACTTTCACACGCGCATCATCGTGTCGATCGCATCCGCCTGATGGTGATGATACACTCACGGCGATTCAAAGGAAACTGAAAAACCTCACCGGGGCGATGAAGCGCGCGCGACCGTCTTTTCTCTTCTCTCGAGCAGTCGTATCCCCTGCTGCAACGATTATCCCTCTCTTTGTCGCATGTCTGCATTTCATCCTTTATCTTTTCCTTTTTCTGCACGCACTTATATCAATTACATTTCTTCTCACATTAATATATTTCCAATTTATTTTCGGCTTTATATTTTGCATTTTTCACACAAATGTGGACTAAAATATAACCATATATTAGAAAAATTCTTCTGATTCCAAATTTTCTTTTTTTAAGTATATATAAATAAAATACATATATAAATGCTTGAAGAAAAAACTCAAGCAATATTACTTACTTTTATTTTCCATAACTTTCTAACAAACTCTCGAGTTTTCGTTTTCTGAGCACATTTATTTGTGCAAAACAAGTTTACTCAAATTTCCATAACAGCATGCAAAAGTTTTCAATGCGTATAAATTAAAGAGAAATGTATCCGTAATACGAGTTCGTCGGATTGGTTATCGAATAGGGAATTTCTAGGGTTTTTCTACTATTTTGCGAAATCTGTCCAATAGAAATACGTTTCGACAAAGTTTGTCGCCGACAAATGAGATATTATTCTCAACGCGATTTGGCGCTCTATCTTTTTTGATTTATCCATGACTAAATTTGTCGAGTGTCGTTTCACGTCAAAATTTAAAGTGGATCACCCGTTTAAAATTATTGAAATATAGATTAGTGATATTTGCGTATCGTACGTATATTTTTTTCGAGTAAAGATCAATTCCTTTATCAAATTGTGATTACAATGACTTATTTGAATTCGTGGGAAGAATTCGAAAAAGGCGCAGAGAGGTTATATTTACAAGACCCCATGAACGTATGTTTCTTTATAAAATTATTATTTTTATCATGTTGTATCGTCTTTGATGACGTCTGTATTTTGATATGTAATAAAACAATAATATTCTTGCAATTATTTAAGATTAATATAAGGTGAAAAGAAGAATGTATAATTTGAACTTGTAATTAATTATTATTTACTCCAAATTAAGGATTAACATATAGAACAGAATTAATGTATAATTAATATCAAGAAAAATATATATGCTAACAATTCTCTTTTTTAGAGAGCTTTTATTAATTATGTATTTATCTTATTGTACAAATTCAAAATATTTCTTGCGTAATGTTCAAGATTATTTCTAAGTTTCTTCCTATTATTAATCATTCATCTAGAATAGTAGAGAAAGTAGTATGATGCGATACCATATCATATATGGAACAATAAATTAAATGATCATCTAAATTTAATATTGTTGAATTAAATAATTTTCTGTATAATACATTATATTATTTAACTCTTGTTTTCACTTTGTTTCAGACTCGGTATATAATGAAATATTGTCACAATAAAGGAGTTTTGTGTTTAAAGTTAACAGACAATCGACGGGTAAGAAATTTACAAAAATATCTTTAAAGTTTAAATTAAGTGCACAATATTGTTACTAATAGTAGCAATTAACATTGCAGTGCCTCCAATATAGAACAGAAATAGCTCAAGACTTAAAAAAAATGGAAAAATTTATAGGCAATCTCATGAGACATATGGCATCAAAAGATAGTTAAATAAGCAAAACTTATGTACAGGAATGTTGATGATTATTGAGTATTTATCAAAACATTTTTATTTGATATAATTTTTCTTGTCTCATAAGATTTAACAATTATGAGATCCATGGATATTAAATTTGTTTAAGGTATGAAAACTTTCTTAAATATACAAGATGGTAAATGTTAAACTGTTTTATTTTGTTTTATTAAAGTTTGTTAATTATTTCGGCTGGTTTCGCTGCCTCCTTGTTAAAGTTCTGAAACATATGAATTTATAAGTCAAACTAAATTATACTGTAGAAAAATTATATATATTATACAGAGAATTTTTCCATTACATTTAAAATATTAGTTTTTTCAAAAGTCTGTCGAACCTTTCAAATATCACAACCATATTGTGCCTAATTTATTAGATCTTAATAAAGCCAAATTTAAATCAAATTGAGATTTGATCAAAGAGATACTTATGGCCAAATATAAAGAAAGCATAAGCACTTACGATATAATGGGTTGAAGAACAACATCCAAAGTAGTGTCAACAGGAGGATAGATTTCTTGATTTGAAGGCAGTTCATAGAGTACCTCTCCCCCTAATTGCAATTGTGTCTATACCAAACAAAACTGTTTTACTAATTTATTATTTAGAAAATAGTGTCATAGTGTTCTACACATTACTTAGTTTAAAAGAAAGCTATATATATATGTAATTATAAGCATGCATATGAAAATTGTATCATTGGGAAGGATATGCATTTTTAATGTCATTTTCAAGGATTTTATGATATTTAAAAATTTGTAGAAAATGAGAGAATAGGAAACTTTAAATTATTTGTTTGTAGAAACGGTTGTTTTTTCATTTGTATAAAATAGTTTATACGACATGTACCTATCATGTATAATAAATTTAAGTTACAGTAATTAAATTTTTTTTAAGTAGCAAGAGTACAAATTACGAAACAATAATTTGTGTTTATTCTTTTCAATTTTTAGCGCTCATAAATAACTAATTATTGTATAGACAAAGTAAAATGCGTATTGTTCTATTGATACTTTGAAATAAATATTAGTAAAAATAGTAAATGAAAAGAAGATGAAATATGGAAACATATTAAAATACGTACTAAGTGAATAGGTTTATTGCTGTCTGTAGAACTTGAGCGGCAGCTTGAAAAGTCCTGCGGTGTACTCTCCCCGAGACCACTGTCCGTATTATTGCCTATTGACACTCTGTTGTTACGAGTATAATAAAAATCCCTCTTGATGTTATATTCGTTTCGAACTCCGGGAGATTTTGCCTCGACTCGATTGGATGTTGCGGACAGCAAGTTATAAGCACTTCCATCACGATTATGCCGCACGATTCTTCTTTCTCTTTTGCCAATGGATCCGACAGTTCTGAAAGGGAATCCTTGACAGTCTCTCACCTCGTTTTAACTTTGTCGTTTTAATTCCATCGTAGACTCGACTTTTTCAAATTGATGCGTCTTTTTTTCTTTGTTTTTTAATACATACATTGGCTGTTCTTACACATTACAAAATTTAATATATATAAATTCAAAATTTTCCACTAATCCATTTGTTTCTTTGTCAATCGCATTGTGGCGCATTTTAATTTTTCGCGAAAATTTAAAGGGACACAATGGAGCGGATGCATAAAATGCGCCTGGGATATGTAGGGAATCAAATAGGATTGAGGAATATCATAAAAAAGATTCAGAACATGAAGTGTTCTGAATGTTGAACGTTGATATGGTCCATGATACTCCCAAATACCAATATTTATTACACAAATACATGGCGCATACCATATAATATATACCATATATATATATATATATATGAATGAGAAATAAAACACACACACACGAATAATTATTACGATCCCAGAACGAAAGGCGCGCATCGCCTTTTTTAAAATTCCACGTAACACAGCCAAAAGCGAATGAGTGCCAGCTAGGATGTAAAAATAAACGAGTGCGACAAGCAGTTAATTTTACTTATTTATTAAGGATTCATCATGCTTTAAATAAATAATAGGGGCATGCTTAAAGTAGACAATATACACATGCTCAAAATAAATAAAAAATACATGCAAAAGGAGATCGAAGATAACTAAACAATGACTACGGATCCCGTCTCATCCTCCAATTGCGGAGGATGGTTGTAGAGGTTGCAGGCCGTCTTGAGATCATCGTACCTAGGTAGGGACGGTGAATCTGTGTCGTCTAATCGAGAATTGTTAGGTTGTAAAGGAGATTGTTGTACAGGCTGCGACTGCACCACCGTGTAGGATATCTCTCGACGTTGCTGCTCACTCATCCCACTAGTATCGACTAGGCCAAATTCCAAGTGTCTACAAAAAAAGAATGTTATATATATTTTTAATATTCTTTGCATTATTACTTCTCAATCAAAATTATATATATAATTATTATAATTTATTTCTCAAAATCAAAAGCAATAGCGAGCAAACTTGAATTGTAATTTTCCGTATAGAAAAAAAAAACTATAAATGATTTTACATTCTGTATATTCGTGATATATACATATATCTATATCACAAATATATCTTGAAATTATATTGTAACACTTGTAACATTTCATATATGTATGTATACTTTCGAAGTTCATCCGGCAGTGACTGTTTTTGGGAAGGACTTCGATGTCTGCTTCTATGTCTTCTTCTAGGCTCTGTGTGACTTACCTGCAAGACACACACATATTTGTTGAAAGTCAAATATTACAAAACAAAATAATTTCGATAGGGACTTTCAATACTTACGATAGCTTTTTGCACGCCTTCCCCTTTTCGTTTCTGCGCTTCTCTCCATTGTGGCTCTGAATCTACCAATTCGTGTCTGCGAAAAATAACATATCAGATTGAATTAATTAGACATTTTTTGATATCCGAATTATTGTAACACAAAAGATATGAATAATCATAAAGTGAAATATATGAAAAATTATTGCAAAAGAAGTTTTATTTGTGAAGCGATTTATGCAAAATAAGTAAATTTAATGTTAACGAAGGTCGTTGAACTCTATCGTTGATGGGAACGGAAAGCTTCATTATCATTACATTGCTTTAATTATATGCGCTGATGCTTATAAGGGATCGTGATTTGAATTTATCAAGAGTACATACTTACGGGAGACAATTATGGGAACGAGATATTATCGCGATGAGAGCGAACGTAGCGCGATGTATTGTAGCTAAGAATGATTAAAGGTACCTAGAAGAACGGGAATTCCTATGTTTTCTACGGTGTTTCCGGTGGCCGGATCTCGTGTCTGAACATCTGGAGAGTTCAGATTCACAGTCGGAATGTCTGCTGTGTCGACGATGACTATGACTATGACTTCGTCTACGGTGACCGCCGCGACTATGACTATCCCCTGAGCTTTGACTCTCTACTGAGCTGCTGCGACGTTGAAGTCTACTTAAGAGCTATATTATAAAAAAATAATGTTTAATATATATATTATCCAAATATGTGTAAAAATTTTATAACGCATATAGTACAGATATGCTTGATCCGTCAACAGAGTTAAGCAATTTTACACATTTCTACGCGTGAGTTAACGTTGCGATTTGCAACTCTGTGATGCATCAGGCATAATCAATATAACATGTCAACTAACTGCCGGCGCTGTTCCCGCGGAGCGAACGGAGCGAGGACTAGACGAGGTGTAAAGACCACGGGGTTGACTTTGCGTCCACGGTGCACTTCTCGTGCTTCTCGGACTCGAGGTGTTCATCTGTCTTTGCGTATTGCACGGAACATTGCCGGATGGATTGCAACCTGAATTCGTGATTACGGTGACGGGTGTTTCGATGAATGAACCGACCATTTCTTGACCTTCGACAACTCGTCTTTGTGCCCTCCGACTGGGGGTCCTCTGAAACGGCGGAGGATTTCGTCTAATAGCTGTGTGTTTCTCCAAAGTGGACGGAGGACTGTATGAATGAAAACGAGAATATGGACTCAAAGGCGGTGGACCGGTTGCCATTAATCGGAAAAATGCTTGGTGCTCCAAGCAACATTTCCAGAGATGACGGCAGGCTCCTTTTGATGGTGTCTCGAAACCATGTGTTCTCTCCTCTGAATTTTTTTCACTCACCCTCAGCATGAAGTATCTACCCTGGAAATTGTTACAACTCTTGTTTTGACTTTTTGTGGAAAATGTTTAGCGAGTATTGCATTCTTAAGCGTTGTTAGCTTCGCAATTTAGATCAGATTCTAAAAATTTATATTAAGCTTGAAGAAAAATTAGAACAACATGTAAATTACATACCTTGTAGTAGATTTTATTAATTCGAGGCCAATAATAATTTCCTACTTTGGTTTTGTTGCGTAGCAATATTATTCCGCTCGGTGTTAGGCCCAAAAAATATTCCACGCTATCCTCGCCCTAACAAATTATATTTTTGTGAGACAAATATTAGCAATCATACGACATTAATCTTATCAATACGTACCAACACTGGGTGCAAATCTACCCCATACATTTCCAACCACTTTACTTTATCCAGATAATTTAATTCTGCAGCTGAAGGTAACTGTCCTCTGAAAAAGTGTTATCCATCTTATTTAAATCATATTTTATATACGATTCAATAGAAACATTAATATATAATTTGTATTAGAATTTCTAGAATTTGATTTATTTTGGCTATATTTTTTCTCATATGCTTATGAAATAAAGACTCGAGTAAATAAATCATTCTAATAAAAAAATGAAAAAGCTAGTTATGTGCGTATAACTGACACGAATTAGATTGTTTTAATGTACGTTATTCGAATCCTATTAAATATCACGACTGACATACATGAGAGTTTTATGGATTTCTACTATACGATTCTCCAGTTCCGTAGTCTGATTGGCGAGGAATCGAAATTCCGTGACATATCCAGGAGAGTGTCGTCTAGGATCATAATCACCAAGTTCCGCTGAAAGAATATCAGATTATTACGGAATGGATAAAAGAATAATTATGTACATTGTGTATTTTTCATTTTTTTCCCTTTTTCCGAATTTTCTTATACAATGTATGTATATAGATTTGGTTTTATGGTTGAAAATTAACAAAATAGATTTTTAGGAGACATCAGTTTATCGTTATGAAAAATATACACGTCTACGGAAAATAAATAATCGTAAAAATATGAAAAGCATAATTTGATTACGTTATAATGGTTACGGGATAAAGAGAAACATTCTTTTCAATAGTTTCTTTTCATTCTACTCTATTTCTCACTGTGTCCGTTTCATATCCTGCGCTTCTTTGGCGTATATTATCGTTGAATAGAAAGAAGGTATATTCATTTCGTTTCTTTTGACTGCGATGAGATGCAAAGCGTATTTCAGTTTACCTTTCCTTTTTTAATCTGTACGACTTTGAATCTCCCCACCAGATAACTGACGCGTGGACCATTCGTGTATCTGTTTGCTCGCGTTTACCTGTATCTCGCTACATACAGAGTGCATATGTACACATGTTTTGTATTCGTATTCGCCGTATTGAATGGTCTTTTCTCTCGCATAATTTTAATTCTTTATCCGTTTTCTTCATAAGACGAACTAGACGACCGACGTTTAAGAGTGCACAAGAAATAATAAGCATCCGTGATGGATATGCATTTTCTTATAAAAGATACACACTTACATTGAACAACGTAGGCTCCCAATTCCGCAACTAAATCAAAGGATACGGGCAATCTTCCTTGCAAAATATCTTGCTTGATTTGTAGGAAAAATTGGTATCTGTGGAAAAAGTCAGAAACGTCGTTTTATTACATAATAATGGTTTTGAAATTTTAAATAGTATCAATAAGCACATTGCATTTACCAGGACACATTGAAAGAAATATAATTTTGGTATGAAAAAAGGGCAAATATTTGATTTTGTATTTTATATATCAGAGGGGGGCTTTTCAATTTATTATAGAAAATATAATTTTTACACGAATATTTTTCGTCGTGGAAAATGTGAGAATTTAGCATTAAAGGTTGAATTAAACACGAGACAATGGATAATGCCCGCGAAATGCTGACATGAGACACGCGTATGTATATATGTATGTATGCATGTACGCCGGGCGCGTTTCAACAAATTCGACGCACGTGGAATTCTCGTGCGTCCGCAACGTAACGTCCCTGGAATTTCCTAGAATTTCGAGACACCAAGCGTGAAAGAATCGTTGGCGCGAGAGCGTGACATCGAATAAAGATTGTCCGCATATTATCAACATCATATCCACATATCATGTGCGCGTTTAAACCAACATATATTTGAATCTTTCCTCTTTTACTTTTAAAATTTAAATATACTAATAAAAACAGTTTAAATTTTCTATTTAGAAAGTTAGTTTTTAAACTTGTCTCCTTTTTTGTTTCTTCATTATAGAATACATATCGAATTGTAATGTCAGAAGCGACAAACTATATGGATCTATTTTTTGCGAAATACATTGAAATAAAAATACTATATGTTATATCATCCGATAATATGGATTAATGAAATATACTGAAAACTTTCTTTTTATCTTACATTAATAAGTGCGTAATTCATTATCAATCTACTTGTATATTTTCAACGAAAAGTAAGCTTATAATGATTAGAGATTATGACGATTGATCAAGATTTATAAATATTTATTGATTCACAAACTAAAAAAATATAATTTTTGAGATATAATTTATCGAACGTAAATGCGTATTTAAAAACTAATTTATTTTGACGTATTCCATAAGAAAAAAATATTGCTTTTGAAGTTATAATTAAAGATGAGATGAGTGAATGACTAGGAATTTTAACAATGAGTTGTACAAAAATGATATAAATTATGAGTAATTGACAGAATATACTTTAGCGTGAAAGACATTTTGAAAAGAATTATATTCAAATAAAAATATATATGTGATTAATGAATAAAGATGAAAAGAATACCTGGTAATCTCTTCGATGAGTTTACATGGATCTGCCGCGTAAAATTTAACACCAAAATACAGAGTGTGAACATCTGATCCAGGATCTCCTTTATGAACCTTCAATTGCTTTCCGAGCTTTTTGCTTTGATCGAGCCATTGCTAAAGAAAAAGAAAAAAGCGCGAATGTATTACTTGTAACAAAGTATGATTTTCAGTTTAAACACATACAATTTCAACATTTACACTCATTAAATGTTGATATCGTTTTTTGATCCAAGTTACATTATTATTATAATAGCAACTTTTATATAATATAGATTAAATATATATGGATGATATCCTACCGTCTGATTTCCGTGATCAAGATAGCGTAATCCAAAATAAGAAGTTTCCAATAAATTAAGATGCTTGAACACTCGATCCAACAATTCTTGACCTAGGTTCGAGCTCTGGAAAACGTATACATGTATTTATTATGTTGAAATAAATTCACGCTTAACATATATGTAGCGATAATTGAATTAATAAATTTTCCTGGTGATTTTGCAAGAAGCAAACGCGTATACTATGCAAACTCTACTGTAGGGAACTGCCGAGATTGAAATCAAGAGGGACGGTTTCCCACTGGTGTTGCGAACCGTGACGCGTTGTTTGCTCCCCCGAGAGAAACTAACGGAATCTTTAGGTAAATGCTCATATCGTTAAATTTTATATGCATGTTATCATCCTTGCCTGTTGGTGGATTTACGCGTATTATTTATACGGTGACCATAAGAATCTAACGCTAATATTTTACGGAATAGAATTAATCTCTTGCTCTTATCTATCTATTTCTTAGATTCACATAAGCTTTTATCTGAAACTTTTGAGCCGAACGAAAGAATAAGTGAAGGGAAACGCGAAATACAAAGTATAACGAAAGACACTTAAAATATAGTAAGAAATTGTCGAAGAGGTGGAAGAAGAAGTGAAGGAAGAAAAGAAGAAGAAGAGAATGAGAGACCTCGCCCTTTTTCTTTCGCCTAAGGCCTAGAAGAGTCGAGTATAGGTTCAGGAGATGGGTAATCATCTCCAACTTGCGTGTTCCGAACGATCCTTCCCCCTTTTTTTGTTCACTTCTTTCTCCCTCTTTCCTTTTTTCATCGGTTATTCGGATGATTTCTTTCATTTTTCATACATGGTGTAATTTAAACATTTATTTAGGTATTCTAATCTTTCCTTACTGTAGCTCGTTGTGGGAATCCAGGTATCATTGTACGGATTGACTGATTCTAGTATAGCTAAGGTAGCTTCAGAAAAGGAGAAACAAAATTGGAGTAAATCGTTCAGAATCGTTCACTGGGCCACGCATGAATGTAAAGTTTGACGTTCATTGTTCAAAATGCAGAAATGTACGAATAAAAGAGAGAGAGAGAGAGAGAGAGAGCAGAAAATTGAACGATAGACAAGACACGCGAAAATATAAATTATCGTAAAATATAAAAAGTATGTCCTTGGGTAATGACAGGAAGAAGAGGATGATTGTTCGAGCTTTTCGCGGCAACTAGCCAACATTGCTGCTTCATATTTTATCGGAGATTCATTCTTTCGCCTCTAGGTATCGTGACTAGATATGGTAACATCAATGAAAAGTAGGAGCAACGCGAGAAAAGGAAAAAGACTTTGGCGAATATCGCCCGCAGCGGATGCCGAGCGCCATTTGTGTAATTGGACGTCAAGCGAAGAAGAGGTAATCAGAGGTAATCAGAGAGGTATGAAGCGGTAAGGTTAAAGCGGAAATTCAAAAAATTCGAATGCGAACGAGGGGCTTGTCTCTCTTCGCGTTTTTACTTTCGATTCATATCTCATTGACAGCGCGAGTTATATTTTACCGAGAATATACAAATAAAATATATCGTACAATTCGTGGAAAGTTTGATGGTCTTCGAGTTACGACTTGTGGACTGGCTTTTTTTCTCCATAAACGATAATTGTGGATCGGATATCTAGTCTCCATACACGGTTGCAGATTCAACGCTATACACCAATTCCATATATTGAAATTATACCTTTTAGAAATAAAATGCGATAAAAAGATGTAGGCGTATAGGAGAGATTCTACGGAAAAAAGTTACTCGTTTATCCGGTCGCACAATCTTGACGCATGGTCATTCTTTCGCGCTGTTACGCTGCAATTACTGGGGAGGGACTGGTTCTACGAGACTGTCGGTATAAATTTGAGAAAATACGGATTTCGATACTGCGGTAGCAAGATACTGCTTACGAGTATCGCACTTTTTTATTTGTCGACCATCCTTTCTTTTCTCTTATATACACTTCTCGATTGTACATACAGGTATATATTTTTCTTGTAATGATTAATAATCTTTCTGACTAAAAAAATTGTGTAAAAGTTGCTGCCATCTTTATATATATTACAGACTAATCTTAGAATAAGAAAACAACGAGAAAGAGAAAGAGAGAAAAGGAGAGCCAAGGAAAGAGGAGAAAGTGAGAACGTGAATTTCCCTCTTCGCGAATACAGAATCTCGTGTTTAACACGCTTGAATGAATTTCGACTTGTATAGAAGCTATAGACACATACATAATGAAGGATTATACATTCTTATACAGGTTCGGAATGTTAATCGACAAAATGAGTCGGACGATGAGTGAAGCGAGGCTGGAGAAAGAGAGCGCGCGCAACGCGAGAGTGATTCCGAGAGGAAGAGAAAAAAAAGAGGAAAACGAGAACGGGTAGGTAGGTAGATAGGTAGGTTGAAAAGACGCGGGAATTAGTGTGCGGCTTGGCCATCGGCAATGCGGAGGAGGTAAGGCGGCGTTGTCTACGGTGGCCCACCGCCAATTTTGGCATATCGTCTAATAACAGAGAAGAAGACCAAAGGAATTCTCCGGGTACCCCCTCTAGAGAGAGATACGTATGTATGTAACGCGCCTTCTCTCGCGTCGAAGCCGCACACAATCGACCATAACACACCATAGCCCCCGGGCACCAGTATATAGTCCGGTACAACCGAAACAACCATCTAGAAACGCGAGCTGGGAAAGAAAACGCTATTAATCCGCTAAATTATATCTTGGCTAATATGACGTACGAATTGCGGTAGGATATATACGGCGCCGCGCCGTTCATATATATATCATATATACGAAACAACAATATAGGAGCAACATGAATTTCGGGAATGCTTTGGGGGAAATCGTTCGGTTAAAATGTTTGTTTTCACTCCGTGGACATCAACATTTGCTATTATTTTTTTTCAATAGGAAATATAAAGAACAATTTAAAAAAGCTATGTAAAACAAATGCCTTGTATTCATTCAAATAAAAAAGCTAAATAGCGTTATAGTCGCATAGCGAGTTACACATAGTGTACTGTGTTATTCTCTTGTTGAAAGGCACTCGGGAATGATTTTGCGTCATTACGTCTTCACTGGAGCAACAAAAGTTTTTTTAAAGTTTCCCACTGTTTTTGTTACCAGCAACAAAAGTTGTCGTTTGTTGCGTATGTTTCCATTCGAAGCGATAAAGATGGAAGAAAAATTAGCAACACGCGTCAACAAATCGCAAAGGAACAAATGTAATTGTGTTGCTTTAGGATGAACAAAATTATCGCAAATTGACATATATATGTCGAATTATTTTGTTGTTGCTCCAGTGAGGACATGGCTTATTGAAACTCTCCGTTTTTGCGTATTTCTGATATATTTCACAGAGCTGGAAGAAAAAAGAAGTCGATGTGAATTTGATGTTGCGGTTAAAGAAAAGTCCTCGAGATGATCGAGGGTAGGGTGAAATTAACTTACCAAGACATCTTGCAACAATTCGTGCTCGTCCAGAAGTATCACTTTACAGTGCAAAAGACGAGGCCTGTTGCTCCTGGTCGGCCTGAGTCCAGGGCATAGCCACTCCACCACCATCGCTTTCCTCCTTCCTCGATCCCTTTGTATCCCCTTTTGCCTGGCTCGCGCGCGTTTATCCGCTCGATGCGTTTGCGCTCATCCTGAGATTACATCGTGACAACGTTCTTATATAGTCGCCGTGAAAAATTACCCGTACTGCGTTTCTCCTTATTCCTTGAGACCGAAATCACGATTTCATACGTTTTTTATATCGTTGTATAATAGCAAAACTGATATTCTATCGACGGAAAAGTCGTGGGCAAGAAAATGCGGAAAATATAAGTTTCGAAATAAACTCGTTCTCTCATCAAGCATGCGATCCCGAAATGATTTTCCGCGCGGCGTTAATTCCATGACAGATGAAGAATATCAAACCCAATCATAAATATGTATAGCGGGAATCGAGACTTCCTTGGTATCCGCTTCTACCGTTACTTTATGGTTCCCGCTTGAATCGAACAATCTGTAATAGAAATAAGCTAGCCACGACAGCCGGTTCGATCTCCAACTTTTTAACAACGTTTGCGTTAGTATAGCTGTGTGTAAGAAAAAAAATACTTTATAACGGATGCGTCAAAAAGATGCGGATTACGGCCCACAACTCTCTTTAACCGAAGTTAAACTCATTATAAACCAATCCTGATTAGGTTTAACGAGTTACACTTCGGTTAAAACGAATTGTGGGCCTACGTCTGCTCGTTTCGATCCCGATATATCCTTTGACCGTAATACGTCATCGGTAATAGACGTCCTGTCGAGAGAACAATTTTGAATTGGAAATATATATCTGATTGAAATTTTGACAAAAGCTTTGGCAAGTTTCCATTCTCGCTGTACAGAAGAAATATTGTCATATATACGCGGACAAGGGAATCTTTGAAATCGTATATAGGTATATATGTATATATATTCGCGTTATTGTATTCGCAAATGTAGCATCGCTGCCAGAGACGGAACGAGAATTCAAGTACACCTTTTGTCCTCGCGTATATGCGTCGCTTGAGAAAAATGTCTGTACAATGTCTGTGGCCCAAGTGGCGAATGCCATTGAACTCGGGGAACGAGCGGGAGTGTAGTCCGTGTGTGGAACAGGTTTCGAATCCAGAATCTCAATTGCATTTGGCATAGAAAAAAATCATAGAGTAATGGATCGACACATTGGCAAACTAACGGGGCCGTCCTCGCGTCTTTCTAATAAAAGAGAAAAAAGGACCAATGTTTTCCAAGTGAGCTGCTCCCTCACGACTTTTATCATTTCGCTTTGTTTTTATACATTGGTATATTATTTGATTATTTATGAATAAGTCAACTCTTTTGTATCTTTTTCTTTTTGGCGCGCATAGTTTTCTCTTCTCTCACTTCCTCCCTTCAAGTATTTGTAAGTAGAGTCCTGATAGTTGCATATAAATTTGCATGATACTCGTATATATCGATATACACGACCACGGTCAAGATTAAAAATACGACTGATTTTTCGATTCTTTATTCTCTCTTCCTTTTTTAATAAGCGATTTACATAAAGTGCACAAAGTTTATACATATATGTATCGAATCTGAAAATTTGATTTGCATTTTCGTTTCGCTCATACAAATTTGAAAAAGATCACAGAATTATTGATTTTCTAATTAAAATTATTCCAAGAAATTTGTTAATATATCTGACAGTTTTATCGAATCTATACATGTTAAATAAAGCGAAACAAATATTTGCAATAATAAACATTCGTGCACGCGCGCGTACACAAATACATATATACATTACATTTTATTACGTTATTATAATCTCATAATTTACATATTGCAACATGTTTAACTTTCATGAGAAAATATTTTATTTCGATTCGTAATAATCCACCACAACAATGAAAAAAGTTTATATGCAAATGTGCATATATAAATAGAAAAGCTAACTTAAAATCTCTCCATTTATTCTTTATATACGAATACTGGTAAAATAACTAAAATAAATGAATGATATTTTAGCGTTGCAAAAGAAGCGAAAAATCGCATGTATATCGTACGTACCTGCGTTACGATTTACGTTTTTCGAATTCTCGCGACCTCGGCAGAATTGCTCAGCAGGACTTCCGGCACTGTCAGTACTTTTCGGTACTTTCGACACTTGTGGCACTTCCGGTAGTAAAACTGAAAACTCGGAGCGTTTCGTATACGTCGTTGAACTTTGTCGGCGTAGAACGCGCGCCTGTTGTCATTCGTGAAACGACCGGCGAGTCTTTTTCCTCAAGCGCTTACGTTTCGTACTATAGTACGCGTACATGTGAGACGTTCCAAGCGGGGTCGAGCGAGTTTGCCGTGTACCGAAACATGTCAAATATTTGATCGACGATCATCGGTAGATACCTTCTTGGTAGCTTTAAAGCTACGATGCCCGGATGTAGCCACACTCGCGCGATTGACAGTTTCAATGATTTCAACGCAGCGGACGGACGCGAGTTTTCAACTTGTATTGGCCGCGACCCGACAGACACGACGCGGAACGAGACGAGACGAGACGGGACGAGGCGAGAAGCGAGACTGAGCGAGGTGAGGCGAGACGAGGCGTGATAAGATAGGTTGGGAGTGGGGGAGGCGAGTCGAACCGAAGTGAGCCGAAGTGAACCGAAGGGAGTCGAGGTGAGACGCGCGGTTCACCATGAACGTGTCAAATGTGTAGATGGGAGTATCAGCTCTTTTTCAGTATCTGTTATCGATTCGAGATAATAAAGAGAATTTTTGGTATCGAACGATTAACATCGTTCGATATCGAGCGCGTAAACGATTTAATAAACAATTTCAGATTAAAGGATTTTAAAGAATTACGATTATATATAAAGAAATGAAATCTTTTATCTCAATTTTATATTAATTTTGGTTTCGAAACTTGATTAATTTAACATATACGTAGAATTGAAAAAAAATCGATTAATTAAGTTTTAAGATAGAGCTATATTTACTTGTTGGAAAATAGATCTTTTTTGAATACACGAAAGAGCGTTTGAAAATGAATACACGTTTCAAATGTGGATACTGTCTCGTGAAAAACTATATAAAATCTAGTAACTTTTCGCGAAATTGTCAACCATGATTCGGAGTAATATATGTGTATATATATATATATTGTATATATATTTTGCGTACTACGTGGTACATACAATACGTGTTGGCATGTTTTTGTATTTCGTGTAGAATTCCAGTTTATCGTCGTAATGTGTCGTGTGTACGATGATCATTATCAGTGATAATCAGTTGTATATTTGTATTATAATTATACGAGCAACGTTGATTGCTGATACGTAAAATGGCCTGGTTCGGAGACAGTCTACCCAGTCTGTCGAATTTAAAGGGACAGATTACGAATTTCACGAAAGAGGTTTTATCCGATGGTATCGTTAAGGAAATAGGTACGTATACATATATTGAAATTTAGATCTTTTCGTGGGCGCATAGATGTAGAAATCCGGTTAAGAGACAGGTTATGATGTTGTCACGTCAAGTGACGTTTCTATTTTACCGATCGTTAACGGCCGATTCTATCTTACCGATCGTACCAACTTTTTGTTTCTTGTTATTTTGTATTTTCTCACCAGAGGGCATCTTATGCTTTATTTTGGAGGAACTTATTTAGCGATATAGTTTATGTTACGTATATTATAAATTTTCAGTACTTGCAGTACATCGGAAGATGCCCATAGTAATCTGAATAGTTTGTAAAATCGGTAAAATTTTATCTTTTTCAACTATCGTAGTTATATACATTATATATCGTATTATATTTATAAACATAATTTTAAATTCGAAAATTGTAAAAATTATGTTTTAATTTTTATTTCTTTACACATTATATATACTGTTGCTTTAATAAACTTTGTAATTATTCATCACGATCTTATTCCACATATATTTATTATTTTGAATATTATTATAATATTATATAGAAATTTTGTATATCTTTTATGGAAAAGAATAATATTTATGGAAAAATTACTAATTGTATAACAATTGTATAACATTGTGCTAATAATTTTGTTCTTATTTTACTTTTCAAGTTTATAATAATATAATCAAGTTTTCGAAATACTTTTACGAATGCTTGCAATTGATATAATCTATAAAATTTTCCAATTATACGTTCAATTAATAACAATGACTATTTTCAGATGAAAGATCACAAGCTTTGGACGAAGCGAACGAAAGGTGCAGTCAATTGCAAGATCTGCTCAATGCGAAAGATGCCGAGGTGAGCATTTATTTTATCAATTTTATACAAAAAATATTTTATAAATATATATATATATTTATAAAATATTTTATAAATGTCTAGTGTCTCTGTTCAATAAATATTTTATAAATGTGTAATGTGTCTGTTCAAAGATGAGCGAAGGGGTTACATGTGATTAGAAATTATTTCAACATATGTCACGTTTCCTAATAATCGTGAATAAGTGTAAAGCAAACACGTTCACCTCTTATCCGTTAACATATATGACACACATATCTGAAATCTGTTAATCTTTGTTAAAAACAGTGATAGATATATATCGTAAAAAATATCAAATAAATTTTAAAGAACGGAAAATGAATTTTGAAAAATTTATATTTGTCAAAATAATACTTTTCGTTTTTAAAAAGCATCAGGATGAAATATTTGATATATCTTTTTTTTTTACCTATATATACCTACATCTACCTATCTATGACGAAACAACATGGCGGAAGGGATGGTAGGGAAGGGGAAACGAAGGATGGAGGGTTTCGGAGGTACCTAGGGGCTAAGGGGTCATACAAGATAGCACATCGGGGATTGAAAAGTGGGGATCGTTATCGCAATGCAAACGTGAGATAAGAACGGCAAATGTAAACGCGCATCGTACGTCCTGTATCCAAGACGCACCACCGGACTTCCTCCTGATTGTGCTTCCTAATATATTTAAGCCGGAGATTCGCGATTATTTTAAGAGCCCAAATTCAGTCGGCGATGAGATTTATTTTCTAAAAATAAACATTTTATTCCCGTTGTAAACGATTCCAAAAATCTCGTAACTTTCTGCCATCCGATATACAGTCTATCTCTCCCTTATTTTTCTTTTTTTTTTTATTACGCCAAATTTTTAGAGATTTGATTCTTTTGTTTTCGTTAAATTTATTGTATTTAATTCGCGCTTATTGTCATTTATCAGTCATATTTGCCAAAATTGTTGTTACTGTTAACGTATATGAGGAAACGCGCGTGAAAAGAAATTAATATGCTTATATATAGACTACTATATAATTTTACAGTCTTATGGTACTTTGATTTTATGTGTTAAAAATTATGCATTTGTTTATAGATTTCTCTCCTACGTCGACAAAATATCGAGTTGCAGAGTACTGTTATCGAGATAAATGCAAAGTCCAAAGAATCGGTAAGTCAAAATTCTATATTGAATATACTTTTATTACAATTGCTAAAGAAAAGGAAAATGCTCATTATATTTGCACCGGACGTGACTTTTTACGAGAAAGATGAAAATGTTTATAATCGAAATCACATTTTTTTCCCTTAATCACTCGTTAAACAATAATGTACCTATATATTGTATATTGAATAATGAAAAAATTAAGAATGTTAACAAACATGAAAGCATGTTCCGTTTCTTTTCTAAGCGGATATGTATTATGTATTATTCTATGCGTAGCTATTCGCGAACGTTCGACACTGGTTATCACCTTTTCGAATGTAGTATAAGAACTGTTTGCGATTACGTGACCTATAAACGCTTAGCGTCGTCGTATATAAGCTCACCTTCTTTTGGGTTTTCTTTTCTCAAATTATTAAGTCGCAAAATTTCAAGAGTTGCAATATATTATCGCAATGATTTATTATTACATCATTCCATTATAATAATTATATATAAAGGAAATCGAGTCATCGTCTCTAAATTGCTATCGCCCATTAAGTCGCAAACGATAATTTGTGTGCGTGCATATGCGTGCGTGCGTGCGCGAAAGCGCACTTGTGATAACAAAAACTTGCCGTTTGGCATTAGCTGGCAGATACCGATAATAGTTGTTAATAGCAAAAGTCATTTTTTATCAGCGTTTAGATAAGGGACTTTTGTTTCGCGTACTAGTTTTGTAGGAACAATAGTTTTATATTTTATTTGTATTTTCAATATACATATATTCCTCCACAAAATTGGCTGGAATATCAATTTGATGACAATCAGCACGAAAATGGAATATTTCGATAAAGATCAAAAGGGTTTTGAGACGGAGAAAATACACATTGCATATGAGAATATATATATAACACAATTGATTAAAAAATACAATTAATTAAATTAAAATTAAAAAAAAAATATATATATACATATATTTATGAAAAAATATATATCATTTTGTGTCAACTTCTCGACACATTGTTTGAAATTTGTTTTATGCCTCAACCTTTCAAAATTGTGTAGGATGTGTAAATTGCGTTAGTCTAGATAGAACGAAAGATAAGGCAACGCACTGCTCTCGTGTTCTTTATTACATATCTTGGATCAACAAAGGATCGGTCTGACTTGGCGTGGAATGTGTCACAAATTTCTTCGGGGAGAAAATTTCTCATACGACTTTTTCTTCCCGATGAACCAGCAATCATTTTTGTTCTTTGAATATTTCTTCTTTTCGTCAATTGCATATATTATATTTATCATGCATATATATATATATATATATACTAGATAATGTAATATACATATGTATATGTGTATGTAATAATCTTCACAGTGCAAGTTGCATCGTGCACTCACGCAAATGCAATTGTGCATACGAAGTTGTTCTCTGCTCGTGCCGTCGCGTGATTTTTCTATTATGACATAGAGAAGACGTGATATTAGTGTCTGTGGAATTACAATATATATGTGCGAGAAAGAATGTCAGAATTAACAGAGTCAAAATTATCAAGATCTTCTACTGTATATATATTTCGCGCAATTAATAATGCTAAAACAAACCTGGGAGATGACAATGTGCTAGTTTTTCTAATTCCTTCGAACTATAAAAGAAGGCAAAAAATGGAAAGCAGACAGCAAAAGGACACGATGACTCATCGTTTGTGCGTTGTTATGTATATGCGAGTGCAGCGATTTAACAGTCCTTGAAAACTATATTGCAACTAACGCATCAAAAGTTATCTAATACGTCGCTCGTATCGTTTAAAGGATAGAAATTTCACGTTTGGTATTTTGCTTCTTGCCAATGTCAAATATTGTCTCGACACATATAGATATATATTATTGTACGAGTTACAGAAACTGTGCGTTGGATACTCCCCAAAAATAATATACCATTAAAGTAAAATGCGCTCTCATCGCTCTCAATCGCGTGGCTATAAATACAGATTGAATGGAGGTTGAACATTACGGGATATATTGTTTGGGAAAAAAATTTACGTTTAAGGCTCCTAAATCCTCTCGCCATGTTAGATTGTGACGTCAGAGGCACCCGCTGAAAAATTTTTAGATGTTATTTTTAAATGATAAAAGATATTTCGATTAAACATTATTTCGGATGATTTTAGCACACTTTTAAAATACCTCGAAAACTATATTTTTCCTTCAACAGTCAGTTATAAACTTCTCGCAAATATATATGCATTCGGGGCGGAATCAGTCCGAGAGATTTGAACATCAGATTACGAAGGCGGCTCCTAGATGTTACAATAACGTAAATTGGTTGAATCTATCGATCTCGGTTTGTGCCACCCTACAGTTCCATGTCGTTGATAACACTCAAAAGTATGATAAGCAAGTTGGGGTTGCTCAGTTTTCAGCACGATAGTGACTATGACTACTGTCTCATCGAACGGCTATAAATACAGGTCGAACGAGAGAGAGTTTGCACAAAAGTTAACCAAGTGCTATTTGAGCGATAAAGTTCGGCAGATAGGAAATTTTGTCCCCAAAAGAATTATTAAAGGTTAGTAATGTGTATTTCCTTAATTCAACGTTGTCTCTGTTTATTTTTCAACTTATCTTTTACATTGCATTTTATTTTTTCTGCGTATTCTTTTCTTCCTGCGTTTAATTGCATTTAGTTTTGATAATCGACACTTGCAGTCTAATTAATTGAAAATTGCTGTATTTTTGCAAATATTACGACGCTTTTTTTTTCAAGATCTTCGTGATACGTAATTATATAAAGAAGAACTATAGCGCAAAGGGAAAACGTAAACGGAAGAATAACATTGTTCGAACGTCATTCTTACAATGTAACACTGTCAGTAAAAAAAATACAGTTACACATTACAATTATAGCAGCAGTGTCAATTGTATATTTGAATTCCTTCCGGTCTATGAGTCTACTTTTTTGTTCCTCTTTTTTGTCAGAAATGGTGTTCTATGTATAGTTCTGTATCGAGAACAACAAATCACTAACGGTGATGCTACGAATGGAAAATTAGTCAGGCATTAAAATTCAGGAATATGAGAATTCATAATATATGTATGTATATGTACTTGTGATTTTTTCATGTGTTTTTTATCCTTGTGCGATCCATCATTTATATCTCGATGACTAGTCTGCTTTTTTAATTTTTAATTTTTTTTTCTATTCGTTTTTTTGCTTCAAGTATACACGTTTCTTCAATGGAAAAACTAGGAAAGTCTCCAAGGTTTCTCGACCGATTTTATTCTAGCGATTACTATGGCTCTTTTATAATGTTTCCTCATTTCCTTCAGCTGTGCCCGCACCATACGGGCTGATAAAAATGTCCTGTCGACGCCTGCGTTCATATAACAGCACGTACGACACGTCGTCCGTTCATAAGTATGTACATTATAACGGAAAGATATATAATAAAATAGTCCAATTATTTTACATACGCGCGACAGCTTCTCCATATTTTTTTACAGTGCGTTTTATCATTTCTATAAAAAAAGAAAAAATTAATTTATGTTCTCGAAAACGTATTCGCGAAGCATAATTTGTGGTCCAGTGTTCAGTGTTTGCTGTTATCTATAAATAAAATGATCATCTAGATGATATTTTGGCGTCATCTTATCTTTAAATATTATATTTTTATATCCCTTTTATAATTTACATTTTTTGTAATTTTATCTAGATACATTTAAAACAAAAGCATCTCTTATCTCATCTAAGATAAAAATTTCCATATTTTTATTCCATCTTTATCCAGCTAATTTAAAAATTATCTAACAATAAGCATAACATTGCATATTACATATATACAGTGTTGTGCTTATAGATGATTTAAAATTAGCTAGATAAAGATGAGGTAAAAATATGTAAATTTATCTTAGATAAGATGAAGGTGATTTTGTTTTAAATATATCCAGCTAAAAGAAATAAAATTATATGGCGATTCATCTAGCGATAATTCTCTAGATAATAATTTTGAAGACTGCTTATGTAAACACAGTTATAAAAAACTGTAAATTATAAATAGCAATATAAAAATATATTCATATTTTTATTTATAAATTTTCAGCATTTCTTATAATTTTCAATCAAATTATCTGAACATTATCTTAGATAATTTAGTAAAGACAATACTTGTTTTCATCTAAGACGCAGATATAGCTAATACATATTTTTGTCATCTGTATAAAGATAAGATGCCATAGTTTCATCTAGATGATCATCTATATAATTTTCTTTAGATAACAGCAAACACTGCATATATGATCGTGGATCCTCGCGTAGTCTTACGTTGCACCGCTTCGCGTAACCTCCACGCTTAGTCTCCTCCTCCTCCTTCGCCAGCTGCGTAGGGTCGCGCCGATGGAAGGTGAAATAGTCGAAACATACACAGTCATTCGTCGACCAGCGCGTTCATTCGTCGCGTCACGCATCTCGCAATGTGCGAGTGCTTGGGCGTGCGCTGCCGCAACCCGTGGACGTTTTTTTTCCTCCTCGAAAAATCGTCTAGCTGCGAAACTCGCTCTCCGTCAAAATCGCTCGAAACCTTGCACGTCGGTATTTCGTGAGTTTTTTTTTTTTTGAAGAAGCATAGAAGCGGATCTCGAAAGACTATGCGGCGACAATTTTCAATCCACAAGTAAGTTTTTTTCAGAATCGTTCCTCTTAATGTAGAGAGAGAATTGTTCTTCAGAGTGGAGTTTTATCGAAACAATCATTTTAAAGATATACCTATTATTATTATTCTTATCTAATTACGATAAGATAAATTAATCTAGCGTATACTAAGTCTAAAACGATTAAAATAAACAGTTTTCATATTTGGAAGAATACTGAAAGATTTTTGTTCGTTCATTTTTTACTAAAAAAAAAAAAAAAAAAAAATGAGCAAGAAATATGTACAAATGCAGCATTCTATTTTTATCGAGAAAAAAATAATTGTTATCACATGGAAAAAATGTTAAATAATAAATTTGCGCGTGTGTCTCGGATACAT